CGCGACATTCTTCACGACTGTTGCTCTCTTCCAAACGGTTTGTATGTGTGAATGCGCCTATATGGTTGGTAGGATAACTTCATGCGATATTAAATTCGCCAAATCCAACCGTATAGGAAATTCACTTCCTGCAGTGCGGCGGGTCAGTACAGCTATAAAGGGATAAAAAGTGATCGATTTTAGCTTTTCATAGGCATCTCCGTTTTACCTCGCGTACTCAAGCACATTTAAAAAAAAATATTAATTAAAAAAAAAAGGTAATTTCGTCAACGGACGCATAAACAAGTAACAAACTTGCTGACCAGCAACAATGTAAAGTTGCGTGCTCGGTGTACGCGAACTTATTGGTTGTTACAGCGTGTTGACTCGTACACAAGCAAGATCCCCGAGCTTAATTTGCAGCGTCGAGATTCCCAGCACTGGCTCGTCCAACGACCTCGAAACGCTAACAGGAATGATCGACAGGAAAGACAAGCTTTACGTATGGTTCGGGCTTCTGCTGACGATTCGAGGTCTAGCCATTTAGGCTAGTTTAGAGACCTGAGACGATCGCTCGGGACCAGAAAACATGAGATAACGGTTGGTTATAATCCACGCACTGTGTACGATCTCTTGTCGACGTGTCGATCGAAACCGAAACCATGCCGCTCTCCTCCCCGGCCAACTAGTTCCCAGAGTGCAACGCGCGCAGTGTTGCATGCAGGGGTTTATGGAAGTAGTTATGATTTTTTTTAAGAATATAATTAAATTCATAATAAAAAATTTCTTAGGTTTAATGTCTCAAATAATGCCCCAATGTCTTTAACGCCAGAATTCGCAAGAAGATCCGCGCAGCTGTTATTATGTGACAATTTTTCGAAGATTGCGAAAAACCTCATGTATTCTCTATGGGACTCTGAGGTGCGCCCCCTCTTAAAGGGGCACGGAAACAAAAATTGAAATATTCAAATTTCGTTCGGAAATGAGTCAAGCATGACGGATAATAACCATAAATAATAATCGCACGTTTGTATTTTGAACGACGGGCTATATTTTTCATACGGTGCACTCGAGCAAGCGCTCGAAGAGAAGCGAACGGAAAGCGCAATGCGCCATGGGATATCCAACGCAAACAAAAACAGAAAAAAAAAAAAAAAAAGATTCCCCTCATTTGTGACGTAGCAAGGCTGGCGTAGTTGTGAGCTTTGCCGTTGGCGGCGTTGGCGTTGTGGTGGTACCGCGCAAGGAGGTTAGAAGTACTAGGAGGGGGCACGTTGCAATATTGGTGAAGCCTAGTCATAAAAAGTTTAAACGATTTTGTGCCCAGCGTGACCGCAGATCTCTCTGGCGATTGGTGCGCGTGACATGTCACGTGTGAGATGGATGGTTGATTGTAGAGGGACTCCTTGCAGGCTTGCACGCGCTCCGTCCAGTAGGTTTTATCGGATCGAAGTCTAGACTGTGGTGTATTCTAGTACCCCATAGCAAGACGAAAGCTAGCTACGGTCACGTGATGTGGTCACGTTGACATGGTAAGTGAGGAGAGTAAGGAGGAAAATCAGAAAGAGGCGAGGCGTCAAGGGAGCATGGCTTGTGGAGGCTACGCGGCCGACGTCATGCCCTCTCCTACCCTTCTATTCTCCATGTTACCGCGTTACAACCGAGCCGTTCGAAGTACCCGTGGGGTGACGAGCGTGTGGCTGGCTAGCTTCCACAGCACTGTCAGCTCAGGGGTGAACAGGGTGGAGAAAGCAACTTTTGTCCGGTTTTCAGCTACGGACCAATCTTCTAGGGGGAGAATGGCTGTGTCCGGGTACACAAACGAGGGTCCATTTAGTACGATGCGCGATTTGTGAGTTGAGGAGGAAAGCTAAGAAGGAAAATGTTGAAATTCCAAGGAACGGCCCTGCTCCGATGGAACTTTCTACGTCATGGCTACGTAGCAAGTTCTCCAACGTTGCTAGATTACCTCCCAAATAGGCTCCACAGGCCTCCACCAGGTACACATTGAAATATCGTTGAATTTGCTTTAAAATTTGTTTTCTGTGCCTTTCAACAAAAGACTGGTATTTTTGAGGTTATGCTGCAACAAGCAACACATTAAAGCTAAAAACTGGCAGCAGCGCAAAATATTTTTGCGCACTGCTACCAGTTGTATTTTTGATCAATGACGTTGAAAAGTATGAACCCATGACATATGTTTCTAGCCGGCGAACAGATAGTTAGGAACATAGGCGCCGACTACAAGGGGGGGGGGGCTTAGGGGGAAGAGCCTGGGCTCCCCCCCTTTCGCCTCCCCGAGCTCTTCGGAACAGTAAGTACCATCGCGTCCGCGGGAGGCGATGGTACTTGCTCTAACATTTAAAAAAAAACTCAATTCCAGGCGAAAAAGAAAATAGCAATAAAAAAAGGAAACAAGCCTCCAGACGGCAGAAAATAAATACTAAAAGACTCCATGCAGGTTTTGGCGACATAGGCTGAGGCGAGCCCAACAGCAAGCCAGGCCTGCACAGGAGGCCACGCGCCAGCCCAAAAAGGCATCAGAGGAGGAAATAAACACTAGACCAAAGAGGTGCTTTAAAGGCAGCCGCCCTTTGAATTCGTCCTGTTGAACATTTCAACTCCGACAAGGTCATAACAATTGCGACGGCAATCGGTAAGGCGCTTAATTCGCTCTTGCCCTACAAAATGAACAGAAAGACAAAAAAGGAGCTCGGCCACCTTACAATTGAGACGCCGGGAGCAAAAAGAAAGCATGCAGAAGCAAGACGAAGGGACTGATAAAAAAAGAAAAGTTGTCCGCTCACTGGCACAATTGACAGCAGCGAAATGCCTTTTTTGACGCTCAAAGGCGTTCTAAAAAGTGCACACAACAGACTGTAAAAAAAAAAACAAAAAAACGATTGTAAAACAAAGAAAGGCTAAACATAAAAGACAAAACAACATCCACGTGTTGTCGGCGATGTGTTGTTTTATGGTGGTAACAGGCGGCGAAATTCGAAGGTGCCACCAGACGCAACCAACAAAGCGAAGCTTCAGTGACCGACGGCAGCGGACTGGAGAGTCGCCTGGCTGCCGAATGACCTACCGAGAGCCAGCCTGGCTAGACAGTAGCTCTCTACTTGGGTGTTGCCTCAACATTACGAGGAGGTGATGAGGAGGGCAAGCAGGGATGTCTTTTCGTTTTCTGTTAGGGGAAAGCCAAACTAGCATTAAACAAGCCTCGCATACTTTTTGCTTTGTTTAAACAATCCTTCTTTTTGTCTTTTTCTGTCATCGTTCCCATCAACTTCGACATTCGAGACATGAAGAACTAAGGTGGGAGCTTGGATGTTAATACTGTTCCAGCAATATCACAAACAAACCAATAGTAACTGCTACTTTTGTACTAGGAGTAATGTTTGCGATCAAAACTAACAAGATGACAAAGCTAAATTTAAGCATACTCGTATATTTATTGGGCTGCTCCTGTACCTAGAGCTTGATTCTCATTACCATGTTGCACTGCAAAATGACTTATTTCGAATAATTATTCGCTAGACGAAATCGCATTTGTAACCTGGTAAGGCGACTTTCCGTGGAGGGGGGGGCGGTGCTTCGTCAACCCCTTCTCCCCCCATAGGCGTAAAGTTTTCATTTTGTTTTTCTCTCCGAATCCGAAAGCGTGCTGATGTCGAGGCCATGTTTGGTTTCGTAGTGGCGTTGAACTTTGTATTCTTTAGGAGCCGCGAGAGACTCTCGACACACCAGACATAAGCAGCATTCTCAATGAAAAAGAACCTCCATGATCACCCTTGGTCGAATCTCTGGCCCTCCTGGTCGATTTTTCTCTTCTTTGGAAGTGCACTCGTATTTCAAGCGTATCACGGCTAGCTTTTCTCTACGCAAAAATAATATGGTATATTTTTCTTCTGCAACAAGCCGTAACTGATCATGCCCTAACAGGAGGGTCGAGAGATATAGCTTCCATGGCGAGAGGGAGCATGAAACGGGATAAAGAACAAGGAAATACAATATAGTCATGCCCCAATATTGGAAACTCCCGCGGCGCGCAGGCAAGAAGTGATAGCAGGTTTTTGTATTGTTGTCATCTGTGGGTCTAGTGGAGAGGAAATATTTGAACTGAGGATACGCAGTTTCCCCGCGGAAAAAGAAAACTCTGAGAAAAGTAGGCCAACGGGTTCGAATGCTTCCTGCCAAGTAAACAGCCGCAGTGCACTGAATGACACGGCGAGCGGTTTCTGAGCTCAGCTGGGCTGTGGGCCGCATGTTGTGCACCCCTGCTTTAGACGTTTTTGAGCGAGAAGAACAGATACCTTTTTATTAATTACCCCACTAAATTTAGAGGAAATCCTGATTTGGTGCATGGGTCCTATAATGTCAATTTTCTCGCTAAATTTGGCGGTGACCAAAGTGGTTCAGAAGTCAAGCGATGTCATGTCAGTGGCACCAATTTTTCCACTAAATTTAGCGGGGAAACTAAGTTGGCGTTTAGGCCGCGCAATGTCGATTTCTCCGCTAAATTAAGCGGGAAATGCACGGATGGACGGGCAAAGTTTAGAATCGAGGAATTCCGTTAAAAAGCATTTTGTGTTTTAAAAAGTGACGTAGGCGATAGCCACCAACATCACGGAATTGAAGCATTCACAAAGCAAAAATGTGATCATAGGAAATTCTCATCACTTAGGCATGATTTCATGCAGAATCTTTTTCTGGCTCTGTGTGATTGACTTTTTTTTATAAATTTAATTAAACCAACTTTAACATTTGAGGCAAAGTATTGCTAATATGTTTTGTCAAGGAAGGAACTAAACTTCGCTCATTTTACAGTGGCTTGGATATTAGCAATTTAAGGACATTTACCAATGTTTCACATACTCAAGTCGACACAAACCCCGCCCCCCTCCGCCAAGTGACCAAATCGACTCAAGTCTTGCATTCTTTTGCAGAAGCATGAATGTGAACTCTGAATCTGTGCAGAGACTCCTGTAGAATGGGGTCTACCGAATTCACACCTGAAATAAAACACAAATTTCAGCAGATTTATTTACAGTATTTCAGTACAGGCATCGGATCTGCAACGTGAATAAAACAACAAAATGACATGGGAGCTGTCTTTTTTTTTTTTTAAATTTAGCTGATAGTAATAAGTTTAGTTAATGACTAGAAGCCATAACAACAAAAAAATATCACATGAAACAAATCCTGCCATTAAAAAGAAAGAAAAAAAAATCACATGGTGCAAGGCCCCTTTTGCCCAACTTAAAATCGCCACAATATTGAAAAAAACCTAATAAAGTAATAACCCTAAAAAAATAAAACCCAACTTTTTATATACTTTATTGTTGTCAGGTACAAACTATGCTACACCTTCACATGAATCCTAAAACAACTGGAATTACACTAGATAATATACTAAAAATAGACGCCCTCTAACTCGGGCTACGGAAACATTCTATAGGAACATCACGTTTCCTGCACTCGGTAGAAATAAATAAGGTCCTGAATAGTATAGAGTAAAACTCAATCGGTGCCCTTGCGTGTAAAAGTCTACAAAAATAGGTGTTAAATTAATTCATCCAGAACCACGCTATTCCACCGATAAAAACTATGCATCATTAACACCACCTTTCTTGGTTATAACAAAACCACCCCTGAAGTAACAGCATTGTGGGAAAGTACTGTTCAGCGCTCCAACACCTTGAAACAAATAAATCAGGTAAATTGTTTTTCCCATCTTCAAGGTAACATACAACCTCGCAGTGTAACGGCGGCCCATGGTACACATATATATCCGAGAAACGCCAACAATAACTTCAAATTGCACAACCAGTAGAAATTGCTCCTGCATTATTGAGAGAAGAAATTGAAAAAGAAATGTACAGCACTGGAGCACGGATGCTGCTTGGCCTGTTCGTATTCCAAAAGAAGGCTCACGCTCCGTACTCGCGGTTAGCTCTCCATGGCTACGCGGTCGAAGCTATGGGCGTGCGTGCGATTGCGCATCTGTAGTGCCCATCAAAGCCGCGCACTTGCGTGCACTCTCCCTTCTGAAGTGCCACGGAAGGTTGCCCGCGAGCACAGATCTGCCGGTGCAAAAAAGGGCGACGGAAAGCGTAACGTAACCTTCCATCGCATCACACTCGGCCTCTGGTCGCCGCGGGCAACCTGGCGGTGCGCACGTGCAGCGCAGATGCACCCCAGACGATTTCTCTTCCCCTCGTTGCGTCGCCGCAGACAAACACGTTCAGATAAATTAAACCGAGGACGAAGTGGGTGCATGTGTCGCTAAACGAACAACAAACACAAAGGAAGCGCACCGCTCAGAGCACGACATACTCTTCGGAGTTTCGGTGTACGGAGCCGTCGCGCGAGTACACGTCTTGAAGGACATGGACGATCTCTTCAGGCCTCTTCTCGGTGTCGGTGTGGTCGCTGCAGCTTCCCTCCGATATCAGGAAGACCGGGTACTCGTGCCGCATCTGCTTGGGCACCGTCAGCTGAACAGAAAAAGGTGTAAAGAAGAAAGTAATCTCCTTCGTTGATTTATTCATTTAAAATACGCCGCGAGCCTTTTTGAATGGGCCCCTACAGGTGCGATATACAAAACGAAGCCAAGGCAGCTGACGGGAACACGTAAAACAGGAATGCAATTCATGCACGGCCTCACAATTAGGTATACAGGCACATTGAAAGAAACACAAACAAAAGCACAATGCAATCACACTGTCACCCTAAGCCAACAAAAAAAAAAAGCAGAGTGCAGGCGAGCAGGCGCAAGCTGAACACTGTGGTAAACCTGAGACTGGAGCAGGAAAACAGAAAATGCGAAGGAAGACGAAAAGAGAACAGGCAATGTTTCAAACTGAGCTACAAAGTGTTTTCTGTACACGCCTTAAGGCCCGTTCACACTCTTGCGACCGAGTACGACTGAGAGAGACGAGATCTCTTAAAACTTCTTAAATGTTTTTAGAATGAGGGAACACACTGGGCATTGTGGTGCCATCTATGCGGTGACCCTGGAACTGCATTTCACAACAGCGAAGGTTCTGCGAGATTTCCGAGGTCAAATGTGCGTAATACCCATAGAAAGGCTCGTTTATAACATTGACAAAAGTTTTTCGAGCCAAAAAAGAAAGGATAATGCGCGAGAAATAAAAAAAAATATGCCGGACCGCCGAGTTTACACTGCTTCCCAGTAGATGACACCAGTGTGTTCTCTGGTTTAATAAGTTTTAAGGAACCCAGGTTTAAGAGGTCGCAAGAGTGTGAACGGGCCCTTATATACCACGTCTTAGGTTTACCAGGCAATGGTCAAGACATTGCCTGTTCTTTTTTTGTCTTCCTTTGCATTTTACGTTTTCCTACGCCAGTATCAAGTTTACCATCGTGTTCAATAAACCAACAGCTGATCAATTATATAGCACTGTCTCAATCAGAAAAGGGATACACAAACCCAAACATCGGCAATAAAATGGCATCTGGAAAGTGCCAAATCTCCTGTACCACGTGTTGTACCATTTCGCTGCTACATGCCAAAGATTTGAGGAAAGGTAGGTGCAGTATATTGGCACGTACAGGCCAGCACTGTTCACAAACAAGCCCACACCAGGTGTGGGTAAGTGCGCAGTTCCCACATGAAGTGCAAGCACCGCGTGTGCACAGGAACCAGATTCGCGTGAAGAGGGGCGTCTGCGCACGCGCCCTGCCAATAGCGGCGTGACGTCAAGGTCACGAGTTGGTGTATACGTCAACCTTTTCAGAAATGGGTGTCTCAAATTAGGGTATGTATCTTAGAAATGAATATCTAAAAAAATCTTTAGCAACGAAACAAAAATTTTTTTTTTTTGTTACCGTATTTACTTGAAAATAGGTGACCACGAAAATAGGTTGACCCCATTATTAAACCCACCGAGAATAAAAGGAAAAAAATTGAATATAGGTCGACTTTTTTTTTTTTTTTTTTAAGAACAGGGGAAAGTTTGAGCAAAAGAAACAAACAAACCTTTAATTACAGCTCTCAGCTAAATCACAGGGTGATGCCAAAACTTAATCATCGTCAGAACTTCTGGACATGTCATTGTCGTCCAAAGCTTCGTCAGCTTGGCAGACATCCTTGCAAATTCGCAACAATACCTCACTGACACTGTTGTAAAATGGCGACAAGAAGAAACAAAAGGTGGAGACGGGCGAAGCGACGAAAGACCAAGTACAAAGATGCGAGTAACGCTGGCAACGCCTCGAGCCGCCGTGAGCAACACGCGAGCCACCGCAAACAACAAACAAAAGTAACCTCCGTTTTTTTTTGTTATTTTTGTGCACGCTTGCAGGGGAGAGGGATAGAGGGCAAAGTGCATGGCGCATCGCGTTCCTCTCCCTCCCTTTCCCCCTTGCCGAGCAAGGGGAATGCTACAGGCGCCATGGCGAAACCCAATGCCTGAGGGATGTGCGAAAGATCCCCGCGGGAGGGCCGTCAGCTGCTGCTGTTTCGGTTGTTTTCGTGCACCAAAAGCCTTTTGAAACAAGAAGCGACGCAGCTCTACGGCGATGCCGACTCGGTGACTCGATAGCTTAATGCCCCCAGTAGTCGCAAAATTTGGTCGCGAATGTAAGTCGAAATATTTTGATCACAATTTTAGGTCGATCCTTAATTTTTGACAACATTTCCGAAAAAAAAAAGGTTGACTTATATTCAAATAAATACAGTAGGTCTATATTTGGAGTTGGCCTATATGTGGCAATATACGATAATACAGATTACCTAAGGTCTGGGCCACTTGAATAAGGCAATTACCAACTACTAAAGTCACAGACAGGATTAGTGCTGCAAACGCGCCTTTCAGTTGTCCTGCATCCAGCGTGTGCTTCCTAGCTTTGATAATGCTTCAGCATCTTGCAACATCTTGCGAGCTTTGAGCAAGCATCGTTGCTCGTGACACGTTGCTCGTAAGCCCGTCTTCTTCAAAGCTCACTTCACGCCAAATGCGTTTGAGCATTTTGCCCTGGCACTCGCTCCGTAGAACGTGTTTGCGTTGGTGTCGACAGCACGGATTGTTTAACATGCGGAAGTATGGCTGCCACTGGCAAACTTACCTCTCTGATGTTCTTCGTGAAATCCTCCAGGTCGTGCTTGGTCTTGCAGTAGAAGCCGATGGTGCAGCTGGGATCAATCCTTGAAAAGGACATCTTCCGTGGCCACGAGCAGTGGAACGACTGGTACGACGTAAACCGAAGAAGACAATAAACGACTAAGTTCGGTATGTGTCTGAATTAAGAGGAGGCACCTAGTGAAAAAGTCGCCCCTTTGAAGTACTAGCATGGCAAAAGCAGTCGTGACACAGATTGCGATGGGCTAGTGTGGAGAAATTGTGTACGCATGCGGAGACCAGACGGTGCAAAGCGGCCCTGTGTTGTGCAAGGTAAGCGCACGGCGGATGTCTTACTCGTGGGTGCAAGCATCTGCGGTTGCAGTGTAAATGTGACTTTCTCGGTGTCTGTTGGAATGCGGGACGTGGTGAACGGAGCGTGCGGAAAACAGAACGGTTGGAAAGCGGCAGCGCCGAGCAGAGACCTGGTGCCAGCTCGCAGCAAAAGAAAACCAAATGCTTTTGTGGCGAAGTGAGCCTGTGCTTTCTTTTCATTTCTACTGATCTCTCTTGTGCTCTTTGTCTGGGGAAGCCCGGAGTGCACTCGCTTCACGGTGTAGAGCGCCGCTGTATTGCCACGCACGCGCTCGCTCGGCAACGCGCGTGGCATTATGTCTGAACACGCAGTGTTTTACCCCCACCGGGGGTAACAACAAGGCACTCGAAGAGGAGGTTTGGCTTGCACCGGTGTCCAATTGGTGAAGAGATGAGCGCTGCTGGCATCTAATCGCACATGGTTAGGTGCCAGCAACGTAACAGATTGTGTATTAAAAAAATATTTTGTTGTATGAAGGTTTAAACAGTGGGAAAATAGTTTGCCACAACATGGTCTCTGGTCCCTTGAAAACGGATGGGCCATTCAGCTAGCGCAATACAAGTACTAACTTGGAGTCCTCGACTCCAAGTAGAACATTATCTCGTTTACGTCTTTTTCACAATATTCATCACCTAATCCCACACTTCGTGAAACATTATTTATAGAACCATCTTACATATCATCACAAACAAATCAGTAGTTAAAGGTAGACATCCACCCTTGTAACACCTCCTCATTTAATGCCTCTTTTGTTCCCCCAACCTCAATCGATTGGAATCACCTTCCCACACCCATGGTCTCAATAACTGATCCTGCTAATTTCAAAACTGCAATTACTCATTTTCTCGTTGTTGCCTTGCCATTGTTCCTATTTTTGCCACGTTCGTTGTTATACTCATATATTTTTTTTTTGTATTAAAACTCGCTCCTCTCCGTAATGACTTCGGGCCCCGAGAGAAAATAAATGAAATGAAATACATGACGCAATAGCGACCACACAACCGCATGCCCCATGCTCATGAAAATCAAAACGGGTGGTGCGGGGATGAAATCCAGGAATACGTCAGACATACGATATGATCCGTTTCACTTTTGACAGCGATGTCAAGAGTTGTCCTCTCTCTTGATTGACCCTAGAGCTGGTCCCTTCAAGCGACACCTTCACTTCTTAAAGGCCGACGACCAGTTCGCGCTTTTCACTTTTCTCTCACTCCCTCTACCCTTTCCACCGTTGCCTACTACCCCTTCCCCCCTCGTCCCCTACGCCTAGTCTGCTGAGCCACGGTGGCTAAGCCATAAACTCCAACTACCGTAAAATACCGGGCAAGCGCCCACTCAAAATTTAGAGATAATCATGAAAAAATGGAGGATGGGCTCTTGTCCAGTCATCAATTTTACACATCAATGTACTGTGCATATTTTCTCAGATCTTACAAATTTGGGTATGGGCGCTTAGTGTGGAACGGGCAAATGCGCAATATTCTACGGTAGTAAAAAAAGGGGTATAAAGTACAAAAAAGCAACCCCAACATGATTGACGTGCAGCCTCGAATCCATAAGTTACGATGCTGTTGACATCGGTGCAGGTTTTTAGTCAGCATGCCGTTCACTAATATTTTCCCTTGGAGATTTTCTTTGGGCGACGTTGCTATATACAACTGGAAGCAGCTCTCGGCTTTTGAGCGCTTCATTTCATTTCTTCCCTTTTTTTTTATCGTTGAAATATGTACGATTGTGGAAAAACACCCTCTGTGCATCTGCAGCCCCACGCAAACGCCGGTTCAAAAGCTGCAAGTATGAAAATGGGTGATTGCATATTTGAGCGAAATAAGCCACCACCTCCCAAGAAGGGGAGAAAGATCCCACATCGTAGACCTGCGAGTGATTGAGTTCCCCCACCGCATGCGTTGTATGCACTGCGACTTATCTGCAGGTTATCTTTTGCTCTGAAGCTCGTACAAAGAACCCCGAGGCCCTCACATTTTCATACCCATGCATTCTGATCCAGGCTTCTGACAAGGGGAAGCAGTTATTTCGAAAAATAATGTCAATTTATGTTAATTAAGAAATGTGGCGATTAAAGAAGCATCCAGTGAAGACATACTGCCCAGTGCGAGAAGCAAGCACAATTCTCGTTTCCTGGTCCTGGAAGATTCCTTCGCTAATCCTCCGGCGCATGAATTGCGACGCATCCATTGAAGGCGGATTCTATTCACATGCTTGACCTTAAACCACACCACCATCCAAACGGTGTGCGCGGACCCATGAGCCCGCCTTCCTTAGCTCCTTCTTTCCAACCTTCGCTTCCCTCGCTCCAAGACGTGGAGAGGAGATAAACGTTGCAGAATCTCTAGTCTGGTCGTCCACCTTTAAGTGTTTCCTACCTTCAGTGGTCCTGACAAAGGTAGTTATGGACATTATTAATAATACGTTTAATTTCTTCGAAGCACATACACAAATCCGGCCCTGAAGGCAATAGATGTTTGTCAAACAATACATCACAAGAGGAGGCACACTGGGCCTGCAATCACATGTTAATCGGGCATGACCGTAAGATGGCACGCCGAGTCGTTCAATTGGGAAACGTCAGAGTGCTTACATCCAAGGGGAAGTCCTGGGAGTTGACATCCACCATCTCCTGGCAGTAATGAGGGTCCAGGTAAATCACTTTCTCCTCTGCAGCAGACAATTGAAGCAGAAATGAAATGCCATACTTTAAAAAAAAAAACAAGTGAAGCCAGCTACTGTGAATGCACATTCTATTCCATATTTAGCCCACAGACTGTTGTAATTAAAACCTTTTTCACAAAGCACCACATATATAACACATTTGCACATCAAAGGTTGCAAACACGGACTCATACCTTTGAAGCCATGCTGTGCAACACTCTTGGTGCAAACAAGACATAGGTGCTTCTTCACATTTTAGTTCAGAAGGGTATTTGACAGCCATCAAATTTTGCTGCATAGCTTAGTGCTCCAAATTAGTGCCCTTCACCAGACCAGTAAATTTCACAACGTCCTTCCGATTCCAAGAGGAAAAAAGAAATTGCTGTCTGTCTGAATGTAGCGGAGGTATTTCCTCACTAATCGCGGAGTGAAACTTTTGACGCCACGCAACGTGACACGGTAGCTTTACCCGCTACTGTCGTGTCTTGTAATACGGTGACGCCACACGACACCGTGGTGTCGCATGACACTGCGACATCATGCGGTGCAACCGACACGAGCAACAAAGGCCCGGGGAGAATTTTAATATAAAGTTGTAGCTTTAACGTAGAAGAAAACGGAGATCACCCGTTCGTGCTAACAGTGTCACTCTGCGTGCTCACTCCAGCTGCAAGTGCATCAGTGTGTGCAGCAAGAGTCTCAATCACAGATAACAGCTGGCCCTTGCAGCTTTTTGCAGATTGCTCAACATTGCAGATGTGCAGGTGGCCAACTGTGATGACGGGAGAATTTATCTCTCGCGGCAAAAACTAGGAATTAAATTATTAAACACCCAATAAAGATTTCACCAAAAATATGTTTTCCCACTTTCCAGACGACCCAACCTTCCCCAGAATGTCTAGACAGATACTTTTCTATGGGACGTGGAACACAAACGGCATTGGAAGCCGCTAGAACCAAACCTTTTGCACAGAACTGGACAGGGAAGGAAGGCATGACGTCAGAATAGCCCCCAACTCTAGTGACCCCAGAAGACAAGTGTAAACGTGACATGCAAGCTGCCCCGCCTCTTGCAACTGCACATGGCAAGGCGGTACCTCTATAACGCAACCTTCATTCATCATAGTGGCGACCTTAAAGGGATTCTTAAATGAAATTTGAAACATATTTGTCGGGTTCAGAAATAGGTTGAATATGATCCACAATACCCGTAAATGACAATCACACATTTCTATTTTGAGCCTAATGGCTGTATGTTTTGTTATAAACGGCCCACTTTGGCAAATGCTCAGAGAGCAGCCAGCGGAGACCACGTCACATCCGCAGCAATCGTGACGTAGTTTGTCTCGGGATTTTACGTCCGAACGCAGCGGACGCTGCAAGCAATCCCAGCCAATCCCGCTCTGTGAATGTAGCCCGCGATACACTTTCCGCGCGTCACTCTGCCCCCCCTCCAAGGTCACGTAACATTCACATGGCCTTGGATAAGCACCGATGGCTCGTAGCATCCGCTGAAAGCAGCAAAAGCACAGTAGCGATCGGGCCACCGCAAGTAACGCCAAAGTTCTCTTTGTATGAATTTTGAGTAACAGGTTAATCTTCTATAACCTTGTAGAGGGACAATAGCGACTTTTGGGACACGCAAGAAAGAGAGTCTCGGGGGGTGGGGAGTTCCTCCTTCAACTCTTCTCTCGTCGTGGCCGGAGGCGAGACAGCTACCGTCACTACCTGTCAAGGTTCCTAGACACGCATTACAAACGAGGCATAACCGATATCCACCAGGTGCTCTTTGCTAATCGTTTAGTTTGTTTTAAAATTCCTTTTCGTGTCTTTTTCAACAAGAGATTGGTGTGTCTGATGTGATAATGCTCCACTGAACATGAATAGACCAAGAAATAGGCACCGAAATTTCGTTGTAGAATCCCTTTAAAGGGGTACACTGGCCGTATTTTGAGCTCTCCAAACTAATTGCATCTTCTGAATATCTGGACTTCATCCTTCCCGGTATGCTATTTATTGTCCCAAAATTCAAAATAGCTATTGGAAAAACTGAAAATAAAGATGATGCCGAAATAGCATTCACATTTCTATGCACTCTCCAGCGGAGTGACGTCACAAACGGTGGAGTTCCAGGTCGTGTAGGTAGCCTTAAACAGAGTATGTTGAGTGTTATTTCTTGCTCCTCAGTGAATGAGCTTCCATGCATTCTTTTCAACCATTAAATGTCTCGTAATCAGTCGGAAACGTGGTTTACCGCCCACTTTGTACCATTTCTGTCGTCACACTTCAGTGTTGCCAGTAGGGGCTCTCAGTTTAAAAAACACAATAAGAATGCCATGAGAAAATTAAAAAATTAGCAAATTATTTTCTTTTTTTACACACCACTTGGGTGATTTTGTACAGCCGTGCATCGGAGTGTCGAGCCAATTTTGAGGCAAATCAGCAGCCATAAAAAAATCGCTGGAGTACCGCTTTAAAGGGTCACTGAGCTTGCAAAGAAAATTTTTTTTCAAGCATCTGGATGGGACACGTTTGTAAGGAAACTAATTTTTACCAAAGAAAATATGAAATTTACAGCAGTAAGTATGTCGTAAGACACACCCTGAGCTTCGAGCGATTCCAAAAACATTATCCCATTTCGAGACGTCGACCCAAAAATAGAAGTAGTCTGTTTCGGGATAGTTCAAAAGATGAAAAAAAGAAAAAGTAGAGAGAGAGAGAAAGAAAGAGAAAGGAGACGGCAAAGGACAATGCAGCTTACCTTGCCAGCCGAGGAAGTAGAGTGAATGTCGGGGCCTGCCGCCGATGATGCCGATGCAGTTGGCGTATGCCAGCATGGCCTTGACGCACGGGATGTATGCCGAGTTGATGCGTTCGCCGCCTAGCCGCACGGGCACCAGGATGATGACGCCTCGCCACTTGGCATTTCCTGCCACAAAGCGCGCCACAGAGATCCGTTAATACATACTTGAGGACGTCGTTCTTCAAAGCTTCCTTCCAGTACCTTTACGAAAAAAGGAGACAGCACACATTGTGTCTCGACATACTGTGTGTCGACCCTTGTTTTTCTCCATTTGCCACGTTTATCTATCGACAGACCGGCAACTTCGATCACTGTATTCCTCCGAGTGTTCTTTAGCGTCTGTTAGATACTAGTGGAGGCCTTCTGGCAGCTGATGAGGGAATGAGGTGAAGACATGCACCGAAGAGGATAACACGAAGTTTGAGCATTCTAGACGCTGGCACAATGCGACGCACGAAAGTCAAATTTGGGACTTTGAGGTGTCAAACTGACGAAGGGTACCTGGCACGTTCCAGAATAGAACCAAGAACTAGTTTCGACTGCCCGGGGATCTTTTGACGTTCAACTGAGTCTCCTGCGCAATGAGCCTCCGTCAAACTGCAAGCACCTCGGCCAGGAATTGAACTTGCCACCTGGACATCCAAAAGTCAGCGCTTTGCCTCTCAGCCACTGAGGTGCCTAATGCGACGCATGAACTGAATACAAGCATTGCATCAGTTTTCCTTTCAGACTCGCGGTCAATCAAACAGTTGGCACACATCACATCAAGGGGCCCACTGGCCCCTTGATGCGATGAAGTTTATCAAATGCTTTACTTGAGTCACTGTATATGAGTGGTAACTTGGGCGAGTTGGTGATGCCTTATTAACGAAAAATGGCGCAAAAAATGATGAAGGACAGGTAGAAGAAGTAGACACGACAAGCACTGACTTACAACCGAATTTGAATATGAAGAAACAAAGCCGTCGGACCACTAAAAACGCCAGACACTGCCTATCTGCGTATCTTATCAAGGTATTTACAAACTCGCTTCGAAACGACACGCGTACACAATCTCGCTGCTAAACAAAGCAATAGACGCAGAGCTGACCCACATGCCCTCCTCACATCATGACATGCTGAACGCCTCCGCAATCTCTCTAATTCCTTGATTAGTGTGCTGCATCACAAATGCAGAGTCAGTAAAGCGTGACACACATCTGCACCTGCCACGGTGTACCGCCAAAGGGCCGAAAAGAGAAGACCTCATATTCAGATCATGCTCCCTCAACCTATCGTTAGTGCATCTGCCCGACTGCCCTATGTATATATTTCCGCACGACAAAGGGACCTTACACACCAGCCCGACTACACAGTTCGCAAACTGTTTTTTTGTTTCTTGGTACCCCCCCCCCCCCCCCCTTCCCCTTCTCCCCCATTTGACTCTGCCCCTTCACTTTCCCAGCTTCTTAGGAGCGGAAAAATGACGCCTGCATACGGTGTTTGCTTGCCACTATTTTAATTCGATGGCTAACCTTTTGTATATAGGGAAGTGCTACTGGTCCCCACCCCCCTTTTTTTGCTACGCCATCTCTCCAGTATGCCAGCACTTGTCTGGAGTCTTTTCAAGGGGGTCCCCGCTACTGCCACAAGAGAACCTGTGACCTAAAACTCTCCATCTTGTGTAGGCATGATTTTGATAGAGCGGCCCGCAGACACGAGATGGCAATATCCCCTTGACCACTTTTGAGCGGTTGGACTCAAACGGAAGCAAGGGAAGGTTACAGTCAAAGTCCGTATCCAAAAAACTGTAAGGTCCCTGCCACGGGATTCTCTCGAGTAAAATTTAAACCCTCCGACGAGGCCTCGAATACCTTCAAAAAAAAAAAAAGTGATACCGCCCCTGCCCTTTGTGTTTCATCTGGGGGGGGGGGGGGGAACAACAGTGCCAAGTAATCGTCAACATATCTGGAGATCTTCATTGCATTGCTCTCTAGTTTCTGCTGAACTGTTGTCGCACCACGAGAGGAATAGATAACTCGGGACCGGGGTGACACTTATTGACTGATGCAGGTCCCGCTCTTCAGCAGAAGAATCTTCTTTTGAAATACAATGTATGTGGACGTGAAATAAAAATCAAACTGCTCTAGAAAATTGTTCTCGTTCATTCTGCAATTGGTCTGGAAGCCAATCATCCCATGATTCTCAATGCTTTCACAAACAGCTACAAGAAGTTCATGGTGGGATTCAGAGTCCAGGAGGTCTTCCACATTGAACGAAACCGCCCCACATGTCCAACGCACATGGTTGGCCATGTGCTTCGTATCATCCTGAAATTGACTGATTAGGTTTTTTTTTATGAAGCTCGACGGGTTTCTGATTGGAACCACATGTTTGTTTTCACCGGCGAAGGGGTTAATTAGCAAGTTTTAGGGGACTGTTTTTGCTAACTAGTATGTTTTCTGCAATCCCTCACATATGCTGTGGCTGGCACCTCGTTCCCAAAGGGAGTTTGTACTTTTTTCTCAAACCGGGGGGGGGGGGGGGTCTATTGCAAAAACACCGAGTATATCTCCTTTCGAGAATAGGCGCCGCAAGATGGACAGAAAGTGAGAGAGACAACACAAATCGCTTTGTGTTGTGTCTCTTATTTTCTGTACCCATCTTGTGGTGCTTATTGTCTAAAGGAACCACTACTAACCAAATGGCACATTTGTCACTATCGACACCCAGTATATATTGCAACATCTATCACTTAAAATACACTGTACACAACCGCATGCTTCCACCTCTGTGTCTGCCCTCCAGAAAACATTTCCCTTCGAGCTAAGACGGTTCGGGGCAATCGGCTGAGTCACACCTTCGGTGCTTCCGGCACTGCATAGTGCCGTCACGTCGTCCATGTAGATGGTACAGTCCTGCGCCACATAGATGCACAGCTGTGCCAGGCGCTGGTCCCGGTGGGCGGCGTCCTCCAGGGCGTCCTTGAGGATGTAGGCCACGCTTGAGGGGCCATACCAGTCGCCCGCCTTCTTCCCACTCTCCCGGCCCCTTTGGACCAAGTTGTGCAGGGAGAAGGGCGTGGAGGCATCCGCCTTGTCACCAAACCACCTGGGAGGATCGTTCTCCGGTTTTGGTGAACACCGTAGCAGTACCGCTGTTCCATCCCCCCCGTGCATCAATAGCCTTCCCGAAGAGGCCACAAGGCGTGTCGCGGGAGCCTGACTCCCATCTGCCTTGGTTACCATCACTCGTCCAGCTCCAAAGCATTTTCGCCCCCGTCCCCGCCGGTGGAATCGTGACAGGCAAAGGGACAACGCTTTCACGACGCCGTCGTCGGGTGGAAATCGAGGGACTGCCTTTGAGGCCGCAGTAAACGCGGCGGTTGAGGACATGTTCCGTGCACCGTAAGGGACTCGGCCCTTGAGAAGCTCACTCTTCACTAGACAAGTTAAAGTATGTTCTGGACGTTCGCACGCCTCAAATCACCACTTCGTGTACCTGCTACGAAGGGGCAATTTGGCAGGTGCTGTACCAACTTCCAAGGTTAATACGTATCTATGTAGCATCCCTTTTGAGGCACTGCCATTTCTTTGTCTCGTCATTTTGATAACATCAAATCGAGGAGTCCTCAATCGTTGCTTTGACACGAGTGAGAACGACCACCTTAATGTCCCGAGAGGTAGCCCACCTAAAATCAATAGCAAATCGGAGGAGAACAAGGGGGTGGGCTAACTTTCTATGTGCATAAAAGAAAAGTTGAAAAAAAGCTAGCTTTAGATTTTGTGACCCTCGAAACATGTGATCTCAGGAAGGGGCAATGAACCAAAGACTACTGTCCTTCCCAGTCAGCAATAATCACCGATCTCCCGCAGGTAAGTAACACCGTTTTTTCCGAGGTCACCATTGGCCAGGGCCCTGCAATTACTAGAAGTGGGTTATATTTCGATGTTTCAGAAAAAGAGCAAGTCATGCCAAAAAAAAGGGGTGGGTAATCTCTGGCGGGTGGGGCATTTCTCGGTAATGTTATGCCAAGGGGAAGATACAGGCTTGACTAGATCACATTAGCTTTTTGCTTGTCATTACGTGCGGCCATTTGCAACAATCGCATTGCGTACAGCATATCAGCGGAACTTCAAAGGCAGGCACAGTGTGTCTTTTTTCGTTCATGTTTCTCAGGATAGCAAATTCTCCCTTTGGCAAAACCCAAGAACCGAAATGGCTTTCCGACTTCTTGCCAACTCCAGATTAACTTGCCAAGAGAAGTAATATTAATGACATATCAAGCCTAGTTTTCCAACGTTCACCAACTAAGTGCCATTGAAAGCTATCCTTCTATTGCAACTGGCACGCAGTGTCCGTATGGTAAAATTGCAGTTTGCTCGAAACGGGCAAGTCTCTGCTTTAGCGCGCGAGTAAAGCGCCATCATACCTGGCCACGAGGCGATGTATGAACTCGCCAGCTTCCGTGTGCACCTGCTGCCAGCGCCACTGCCGACCCAGCAGATGCATCACGAACGCCTGGGCCAGAATCATCTGACTGCTCCTCAACATGCAGCCCCAGCCGCAGTCCGTCCGGATGTCCGTACCAGGAATGGCCGGGAACTCCCGCCGGTACGTGAACCACAGCCGGCTCGAGAAGTCTTCCAGGAACGCATCGAAGCTGGCGCCGTCGTCCACCACGGCAGACGCGCCGTAAAACTGCGTCATCTTACGGTGGTAGATGACGCCGAGAAGCCAGATGGGAGCGTCCTTGTTGAAGCTCGTCCTGGTACGAACCGTCCAGCCGTACTTGACGTTGTTCCAGACGGACATCAGCTTCGTCTTTACTTTTTCTGGCGAGGTCGGCGCTTCCACGGACGCCGAAGAGCAGGCGGACGAAGAGGACGGTTGGGTAGACGCGTCCTGGCGCTGTTTCAGGTCGTCCGACGAACTGTACCGTCGGTGATGGACAATCAGACCGGCATTCAGGTTGGGTTTCAAGGAGGAACGTGACATTTCGGTCGGCGTGTAGAGGGGTCCGCTTCGAGCGTCTGGTCGCGTTAAAACGCTCGAACCGTCGCAAACATCCATAGCAGTCCTAGCATGAATCGCGGATTCGATGGATTCGGCGACGCCTTTACAAAACTAGCAACTTTTGGCGTTGAGCACAGACACAGCTTGACATGTTTGGCATCTGGGGCGACGCAACGGAGCTTCGAGGTCGGGTATAATGTACCGTGAAATGTTGTTTTGTTGACGTCGGAGCGCGTCTGATAGATGAGGCGGGTTGCATTTTAGTCGGTCACCAATCACACGGGATTAGATAAGGGTTTCGATTTCCAAATATTGCCCGCGCTGGCTAGCGCAACTCCGCCTACCAAAAGGCTGCGCGATGCAACTCCATTTTGTTCCGCTGTAGCGTAGAGGGCCTGGCACACATCAGACTTTCTCTTTTTAAGACAAGCGCTGTAAGCCTAAAACAGTTTAAGCAATCCATAGGAATTTTCTGGGAATTTTATGCGAAAAATCCTCTTGGAAGTAAATGAACTGGCATAAATACTTAAATATTAGTTCTTTTAGCTTTAACGCGTATTACTTGTTAAATATGATACAGAACAAATTATAACTAAACTTTTTGTAATGACGCATCGTTTTTATTATTTTTATTGTAAATATTAAAATTACGTTGCATTATTCAATAGAAAGGTTTTAAAAAAAAGTTGTAAAAAGTTGCTACGTCTTCAGCGCCCCAAGTAACTTTCAAAAGAAAACGTTTGGTTGGTTTGGTGACACGCCTCGTTGGCATTGTGGCATTGTATGCTTGCTTTACTGTACGCCGGCTAGCTTGGAAGGTATGTACGATTATAATTATTTCTTCATACGCACGCCTCGCACGAATTTTCCATCAGATAAACGCGACCCTCGTTTCACCGAAACATTTCAGACTACCGTCTCGATCTTTGTCGTATAGACCAGGCGTCGAGTGCATGAGACCGTGGCCGTTCTCTCAAGATCGCTCGGGCGAACGATTGATTACGAATCAAAAGTTTAGCGTAGCGTATTAACTAAGACCGCCTCAATTGAGTTCAATAAATGCAACACAAAGCGGTCACGAAGAGCACCAATTGCATTAATGTTCAAACGTGCGGGTTTTTTGTTTTGTTTTTTTCGGGCGCTCCGTGGTCGCTGCGTTCTCGATGTTTGTCGGCTCCTTGGCTTCCTGGTATGAATTCACGTTTTTTTGTTTTTTCTTTTTTAAGATTTTATCTTGTTGTTATGGAAATAACTCTACGTGTATTCTAGCTAAACAAGGTACGTTAAAATATATAAGCGTATAACAATGCGGGGTACTAGTCTAGAAGTGTATCGCGCCGCACAAATCACTAAAGCGAGACCGGCTTGTATGCCACACGTGTCATACGGTCGTTGGTCGGCTGGAATGTTTTGCTCTTGTGCCGAATGCCGCGGTGACAGCGCTTTCTCGAACAAGTTACGACGTCTGGAGGTCGACGCGCGCGCGAGTCGGAACACCACGTTAATCCCTGCGCGGTCCTCAGGCAGGAATGTGGCTCAATTGTTATTCGTCCTTGACTCTCTGTTTTGTGCAATTTTCGTTGCAAGTGCGCCGTTTCCTAGTGTTGCTTCACGTCGGGAGAAAGGACGGATTGCCGTCGGCATGAATGGGAAATTTTAAATCGAAGGTTTGACGCTGACAGCTAAGTGGTATTTCACTGGCGGTCATAGCCGAGCTCGCTGCTGCCGAGCATGTGCCGACGGCAAGCTTCCACAACGCTTCCGACACGCACATTAGACTCCATCAAGATTGTCGTTTTTGGACGACCATAAATAAACTCATCCCGGACATGCGCTGTGAGGAATAACCTCAAATATGGCGTCCAGAGTTCCTATGCTACATATGCATGTCTTCATAAATTTGTCACAAAGCTTTCCTGCTTAGCAACAAATACCCGACGTCCCACAGTGATGTCAAACTTGTGGCATATTCTTGCCGCTGTTACTTATACGCTCATTGAACTGAGTTAAGTTTGATGGTATAAAAATAAGGGCGCTTTCTACGGCGTGTTATGCATGAGCCTTACGTTCTAAGCCGCATACAGCAAAGCAGCCATCTGCACGCTACTCCGATACAACAAATTGTGATAAGTTTACTTCACGTCGGGGCACTGCACAAGGACTCAAACGTTTTCAGGTCAACTGTTGTGTTTCTGCTTGTTGCCATATACTTTTATTTGTTTCAGAATTCTACAGGGTGCTACTTTGTTGTTTGCGCAGGTAAACAATGTCGCACGTGAAAAGGCTGGTGCTCTCCATAGTGCAGTTCCTTAGGCAGCAGCTCCAGACTGCCGACTTGAGCTCCGACGCAAAAGAAAGTGTTGAAGGTTTGTTCGTCCTTGCTTTCTTTTTGCTTTTGCTGTTTGTTTATTTTATGTCAGTTTTTAAGGCTCCTTTTGGCAACCTACAATAGTTGCCAGTTCGTCTTTGGTGGTAATTGTCTGTACGAATACCCGATTCTTTGAACGGGCTTCTCAAATCCTTTTCGGGGTCTGATATTGACAGCGATCAAATAATGCTTTTGGGCAAAGCATTGTTTTTGTTCGTCGCAACGGACCATACTTGCAGGGTTCAACATTCGTAGAACCCGTAAACGTCGGTTCTTCTCCCAAACCATGGCTTTCAAACTGGGTTTTTAGGAACTCTGGGTTCTCCAGAGTACCTTCATTACACTCATATTGAAGTTTGTCTGCTCTTTGCGCGCCTTGTGCATTAGTTTACCCCCCAGATGAAGTTACATGCGTTTGTTTTCCCCTGACCTCAACCAATGAAGATGTGCGCTTGGCTACCTTGTCATCGCGCGTTCCGTGAGCATTTATTTCATTTAATTATTTATTTACACATACTGCGACCTCTTTGAGGTCATTGCAGGAGTGGAAAATACAGAAACAAATTAACATTCAAACAATACAACATGCCCTTGAACATAACAGAAATGAGCACGATGGTGTCATGAGTTGCTGAAAAGAATAGGCTGAGCCGCACTAATAAAATCACCATAGGGAAGAGTGTATTTTCCCATCAAGATTATTTCAAATTTCAATACTCCCAATAGATTATTCCCGATGTTGCCTGTTTATTGGCGTGGTCCTTCTTGCGTTCCAATGCGCCGAAGACACATTTTGGGGCATTTGCTCGCCGTATATAATAGGGAGAGACCCAGAGACGTGTAAAAAAAGGGGGGGACGGGACAAACACGAAGCCTTTGAGTGTGTCTTCTCTTTCTCTCTTTTTGCACCACAGTCTCCGAGTTTTTCAAAGTTACCATAGCATATTGCGCATCTGCCCATTCCACACTAAGTGCCCATTCCCAAATTTGTAAGATTTGAGGAAATATGCACAGTACATTGATATGCAAAAATTGATGACGGCACGAGTGCCCATCCCCCATTTTTTCGCAATTATCTCTCAATTTTGAGTGGGCGCTCTCCTGGTATTCTGCGGTATGTTCAACTCCTGACGGCTCGTTAAAGCACTAATTTAACTGATTTGAGCCCTCTGTGGTGCTTGAGTAGGTGTCGAATGCACCTCAGTGTAATGCCTCTTATTGTTTAAAAGGTCCGTGGGCTTCCAAACTGCTTTATTACAAGAATGCTGGGGCGTTCGTTGGCTATCAGTGAAGCAAGATAAGCCTTCCTCGACATTAAAAAGTTTGAGGACGTTTGTCACAGACGACGAGCCCTATTTGTTAAAGAAGGGCTCCGGCGAAATTTCACTAGTCACTGATTTGCCTCGAAAATTGGTTTTAGACCCTCTCGGAAATTCATTCTGGCCACTTTTTATCACTATCATCATCTCGGGGATGTAATGACGGCTTTGCGGTTACTGATAATGGAAGAAGTTGAAGATGCTCTGAAGCGGATGATGCAAGGTCGTTCGAGGCGTTAGTACGGTGCGGCGCAGGTATTGAATACAAAAGCTGCGTAACCATTCATTTCTAACTCATGTCCAGTCAATTTGTTGGCTTTAAATTAGATTTAAAGACCCTCGATGTATTAAATATTATCACAGCTTCAATGTGGGTTTGTGTTTCGTCATTACTGTCCCCGACGGGTTACGAGAATTTTCGAGGGTGTAAAATGAATGCTGGCTAAGCTCGTGCCAGCATAGCAAAGAAACTTCCGCAAAATGTCCTATTATTTTTTTTTTTTAGACTGCCCGCTTGATTTGCAAGTTGTACAACACACGATGTCGCCGCACTGGAGAGCGCAGGAAAAGTTTAACGCTGTTTTGGGATCACATTCACTTGCCGCTTCCTCAGTAGCTACTATTTTGATTTTAGAGGTAATAAATAGCACATTGGAAAGAGCAAGGCCTGGGTTGTCTATAAATATGTTAAGAATGGGCACCCCAAGAAACTGCCGAAGCTCCCCTGAATTTGCTACTTTTCGTTTTTTTTACAGCGACAGCTGTTAGTTTCTAGAGTTTTTGACGGGGTGAGCATAAATGCCGTCAGTTGGCCCACTAAATTTAGCAGAAAAATTGACGTTACGCGACCTACGCAGTAATTCAGTTTCCCCGCTAAATTTGTCGGGAAGATTCATATCACGGGACCTACAGATAAATTCAGGCTCCCGCCAAATTTAGCGGAAAAATTGACGTCACGAGACCTATGCACCAGTTCAGTTTCCCCGCTAAATTTGTCGGGAAAACATGTGGCGACCTTAAAATTGTTTATTCGTCCACGACATGTTGACGCTAAATCAACGCAACGTCATTTCAATATCAGATCAACGCATGACGCACGATCGGCCAATGTCCATCGGTCGTCCTTGTCGCATTGTCGAATGAGCAGCACAGCTGTCGCTGTCTAAACACATCACATTGTGTGATCGTCGCGCTATTTTTTTCACACTGCAGTGGCTGTCCAGTGCCTGGAGACTGCGTACGGAGTGAGCATCGATGACCTTTCCAATGACAGCCTCCTCGTGTCGAGGACACTCCTAGACATTTTTCGCGAAGTTGTGGTCCAGGAACACGTGAGTGACCCGGTGTGCGTCGTTAGTCCCGACTACAGGTCCACTACCGTGGACGTCCGGACAACTCGCTCAAGCGCACAAACAAACTGGGTGCAAATTTCGGGCTGAAATTAGAATCGACATAGCGTTAGCCATGCTCACTATTTATTTGTTCATTTACTTTTCTAAGCTGCCTACATTCCACTCGATGAGCGAGGCAGGATCACAGGCGAAACATGAAAACATGCGCAAGAGACGGTGTGAGGGAAGCAACTGCTCAATGGAGAAGTGATCCAAAGCTTGTGATTAAAAGAAAGTCTGTGTTTTCGAGTTGACAACAGTGCAAGGAAGCTTGTTGCAGTAGCTCATAGTACTTGGGGACAAGAATGCCTCGAACAATGGTCATTAGGTGGTGCTTGTTACTCTACGACCTTGTTTGGTTAACTGGCGTATAATGATGGACGCACAGCCAGACTTTCTTGGGCCAGGATACAAAGAAATTCGGCCAGTTTCATGGCAAGTTGCTGAACCACGCAGCGTCGATGCAATGTATATTTTCAGAAGTATCGGCATAATATTACGCACCAGCTGTAATGTTTAAGAAAGATGCAAGTCAAAAGACGGCAATATTTTGCAAAGTACTGTGATGTGGGGTCTGGTGGTGTTTTATTATCTTTAAATCTTCATATTTTATGTATCTAAAAAAAAAATAACAAGTGCCGGTGTGGTCGCGAAATTAGCCGAATACGCGTTGAAGACCTCCCCACAACCCAGAACAGCATAAATCTGAGCCATTTTTCTTTCGTGCGGGGTTCTTCGAATTGTGACTTTGCCCGCCATTGCATTTACATTGACCAGTAGGCCTAGCGCCTCCTCTTCATCACCGTCATCTGTAGTTTCGATTTCTCACGAAATATGATTTTAAGAAAATATTCTTTTTCCCATTGCGAAAGAGTATTGCTACAGATCATGGTAACATTCAAGCAGGTTTTTCTCTTTCTGTATTTTCGGGGCATCCTCACAGTTTGTGCACAATAATATTTGTTCTCATTATTGTCCTATCACAACCAAATTTGACGTGCATATAGACAATTGTAAGCACGGCACCCTGACTGGGGCTTCATTAGTGCAAGCATGTGCAGCTTGTGCATGCTTACACATGCTTGCACTCATGCTATACTTTGGCGCACTATGGCCCGAGTTGCTGCTGCGCCGAAAAACTCCAAATTCATTCATTCATTCATTCATGCTATACTTTAGCTATGCCCCTGCACATGTGCATGTGCAGCTTGCACATGGACATAGCTTTGGCAAGCTCGAAAATTGCACGGGCTTGTCCGCACGAGATGAGACATGGCGGCGGCCAGGGGCCTTGCTTGCAATCGTCTGTAGTTTAGAATACATAGAATGCAACTATCTAGGTTTGGCTAGAATGTATTCTCTTTATATATTTATGTAAAATTTAAGAAACTTTTGTTTGCCCCTTGAAAATGACATTTTTGCGATTTTTAGTTATTTTAAAGCAAGTCTTGCACTCAATATATTTATTGTTCATTGCCCTCAGTGGTTTGGAAGGAGCTAATTATTTCATTTTCTAATGCTCTTTTAAGTGTTTTTGAAATCCAAATTACGGTTTACCATCCCTTTAAGAAACAAACTACGTCAAATCTAACACCAGATTTATTAAGAGAAGAATAAGCACAGAAGCTCTGAAGATTCCATTTAGTTACTGTAAATAATAATAGAAAAATGTTTTCCCTTGGTGCATGTCCCCTTAATTGACAAGTTCTTGCTCATCGATTAACAGCTTAGTAGTAGTAGTAGTAGTGAGGTGTTCGCACAATGGCTTCGTTGTATTAGCCTTCTGGCTGGTGTTAATTCCATTACACAGCTTCAACCAGGCAAGAGAATGGTGCGCAGGCTTCGCAGATCAGTTGTTAACAGTTAGCTGGATGCTCTGTGTCATATTTTGCAAGCGTTGCTTCTTTTTTTTTTTCTTTTTTAGGCACAGGTGCACGAGACGTTGCCCGAGCCCACGGAGGCGCAGAGGGCTGAGGCCGAAAAATACAAACAAGAAGGTGTTTCTCAAAATTTTTATACTTCCTCTTTAAGTCTGCGGCATTTCCAGATCAGGTTCTTAAAGTTGCAGGAATGCAAAACCGAAAACTCAGGTGGAGAAGTTTTGTTGGTATTAACAGCATCTTAGTTGAGCACACGTAATGCCTCCAGCCGTTTGGGCATGTTGAAACGTTACCAGACAAGAGCAGGCATCTCGCAGTTAAGCCTAATTTAAACCTACCGTCATAGTGTAGATCAGTAAGCTACCGCCAAAACTTTCAGACTCTAACCTTGTTCTCCAGGCAATTAGGTTTCTAAAAAAAGCTTTCCGCTTTACTTATGTAGTGACGGGTGGCATAATCCCTAGATACTTTTTGCACATTAACTTAAGTGTGAAGCTACCTCGAGAGCTTGAGGCATTGAGTTCGGTGTGTGTTTACATTCAATGCTGAATACGTTTTTTATTCCTTGTTGCAGGCAACAACATGATGAAACTAGAAATGTACACAGCAGCCTTGGAATGTTACACAAAGGCCATCAGTTTGGACGGGAACAATGCGGTGTATTACTGCAACAGGTATGGAACTCAGTAGCTGTCATTTCTTCTGGATGCCTCTCGCAGTAACAATGAAGAACGACGACATTACACAAAAATAAAAAGCATTTCTAACTGCTTTTTTTTTTTTTTTGTGGTTTTGCTTGAGTTATTTAAGTCGCTCTATCCTTAAATATGTAGGGCTGCAGCGCACAGCAAGCTGAACAACCATGCAGACGCCATCGAGGATTGCCAGAGGGCTTTGGACATCGACCCAAAGTATGGCAAGGCATACGGACGGATAGGGTATGTCTGCGCCGAAACGCATCCCAACAGCCTTACTCCAGATGGCTTTGCCACATGTTGCGTCATGTCAAACTTGTACGAGCAGCCTAAACCTCTTCATTTGCAGCATAACGTTTAGACAATGCCTGAAAGTTTTTCGAGGACAGAGGTTGCATTTTTAAACTCGACAGCTAATCGGTAAAGATTCGGAGGGAACGTTAAATGCATGCAAGCTGGTGAACTTGCACCGTTACGAAAAGCCTCGGAGTGGGGAAACAACAGAATCTGACAAACCACATGTGTTTTTGCTCGCTCTTGCGTTTTTGTCAGGGTTGAATGTTTGCATAGCAGAAGAGTGAAATTAAGGGTGTTCCTTGGCCACCACCCATTGCCGTTTCGCGTCTACGTGCTCCAACCGGACAGTTAAGGGGGGACACTACCCAGAAAGAAAAATTTCTGCAAATAAACTTGATTTTGAAAAATGCCATATTTACATCCACCAACATCTAGAGAGTATTCACTGGAAGTTTCATTTGTTTTCACGGCATAGTTATTTTTTTATAAATTATTTTCGGTCCACCGATGCTAAAGGAAAGGTAGAGGTTCAAGCATGACGAGAATAATCCGTGGAGAAGGGGAACAAGAGGGACAAAGGACAAACACAAATCTTGTTCAGCTCGCTTGCAGCTTTGCGTTTAATTGCCTTATAATCGAGGTTCAAGCACTTTGAGCACTTTTTTCTCAGTTCAACGTTTTGGCAGCAAATCCCACCTTAATAAAATTCGTTTGAGAACAAAGCTATTGGGAGACTTAATATTTGTGGCATATATGCCAAAAATTTATGGAGCCGGTTACTACTTTGCATTTTCATAATCCTTTATTATGAAAAATCGTAATTTGTAAAACATAATAAATGTAAAAAAAAAAAACTTTTTTTTTAAAATTTTTTAACTTAAAAAAAATGCATATTAAAAAATATATAGCAATTGGCAACAGGCATTTCAGTATGCATTCCACCAGAAAAATATGTGATTAACAACACCATATCTCAACGATAGATTCATTGAGCAGATTCCATGCAAAGCTATGTTTGGGGGTATGGTACGTCATAAAATTGGTTCACAGGGCTAAAACTTTGCATGCCCTTTTTGTATAAGGCTACAAACATCACCTGCGAATATCACGCCGATTGAGTAAGCGGTTCAAGATTTGACATTGCCAGGTAGTTAGCTGCAGCGATGCTCTTGATGCCGACCGCAGGGAATAATCTTGTATTTGCTTTGGGAATAATCTAACGTTGTTCTGGCCATGACCTCGCTTTTGCAGTCTAGCCTATGCGAGTCTTAACGAACACCAGAGAGCCAAGGAGTGCTACCAGAAAGCGGTAGAACTGGATCCCGAGAACCAGAGCTACATCAACAATCTCAGGGTTGCCGAAGAGAAGCTGCGCGGAATGCCCGTAAGTCTAGACTCCAGGTGGTTTTCCTGTTGCGAGCCTTTTTAATTCACAAACATGCCTTCATAAGCATGATTGACGTATTGGAGGAATTGTGGGTGACTTTTGGATGAAGCACTTTCCCCTTTTCATACGTACCAAATCGTGAACCAGGAACATAATGGGTGTTCTGTACCCGCTGCCTGTTGAAGTTTTATTTGAAGCATTGTTAAACCAAAGATTGAAATGGACATAGATTCATAATCCAGTTCATGGCTGTCCTGTACGTCTGGACTGGCTATCGCTAGTTCGCCATGGCGGTAGCCGTCTCCTAATTTGAAATCTTTGCGTCGAACTTTGATTGACTGCGTGGAGCCAATCGGACGTTCACTTTCTTCGCGTTTTTGTTCTCATAGAGTCCGGGCAATGGCGACGCACGCCGAGCCGGCGGAGTTGGTGGAGGGGCGCCGATGGACTTTGGCAGTCTTCTAAACAACCCCACCCTCATGAACATGGTAGAGTACTCTCGCTTCTTAGTTCCATCTACCGTGCAGTATTAAACACGGTACTGGGCCTGATATCTGGGGCCTACAAACGGCATTGACGAATGGGCTAGTTGGTAGTTCATTTTTTAAATTGCACCAGTTGAAATCACAGTCCACTTGGTTAAGGTTAGCAGGGATGCCAGTGAAAGATCATTTCAAACCCAGTGACTGGGCTCGTCCTTGGGGCCGAGCATTTCTTGGAAAGGTGTATACGAGGATCTGTTTTACAGCGATGGCTGTTACGGGTTCTTCCCACCACTGAAATGATGTCCATTGTCGACGTTGTAGTTGATGATGTAGGGCATCCGTCGTCGACGTTGCCAAATCCCTGAAAAAGATCTCCCGCCGCCTGTAGGGATCGAACACAGGCAGGGTTGCCACTGGGTTTGGAGTCAAAGTAGCCAAATCACGTGCAGAAAGTAGCCAAAAATAGCCATTCTATTTAAGATTTCGCCAAAAAAGTCGCCACACCAAATATGTACAATAAAAAGGTATAAAAAAAAAGAGAAGTAGCGAACACTATATTAAAGGTTAATAACTAGGAGTCTTGAGTTTACTGCACACTCGTGCCGGCCGTACAGAAGTTTACAAGCGTGAGGGTGAAGCACTTCAAACTAATATCAAACACTGCAGCAAAGTGCTAGTAGATGCTGCTGGCCCCAGAATGATTTGCAGTCATTTTCTGGAGCATTTTATCTGGGATCATGTATGTAGATGATGTCTTCTGCTGCAGTCGGTGGCCACACTTGCGAAGTTCCGTTTTAGTCAGCGCTGGGAGAAAACTCTCTCTGCTTCGGCATTTGAGACTGGAAGCGTCAGGATCTTTGCGGCGCCTGCGGTTACTCCTGGGGGGCATATAGCGGCAGCATCCGTGAAAACCAGTGCTTGATACCAAAAGCTTAACACAGGGCTCGTCTCGTTTGTGGCAAAAGCAGACCACAGTAGTCGGATCTCCGCTTCTAGCTCATTCCTAAAGGTGCTGAAAAGGTGAGAAGGCAAACTAAAAATTTCCCTGCAAGCATTGAGCCCCATTTCAACCTCCGATCTGATTGCTTGAAGCCTGCAGAGTGCAAATGTTGTGTTAAGAATGCGCGTTTGCAGTTGACTAGCCATTTTATTTAAAACCAAAGCATCGTTCTCGAATGCAAAGTTGCTTTTGGGGAGGCAGTCCGCTAGCAGCAAACAGTTCTGGAAAGGCTTCCCCGAGGTCAGCTTGTGCAGAATTTAGGCAGTGGCGGATTCTAGGGGGGGGGGGGGGAGCGACGAGGGCGGCCGCCTTTCCCCCCCTCCCCCCCCTCCCCCCCTCCCCCCCTCCCCCCCCCCCCCCCCCCCAAAAAAAAAAAAAGGTGTTCTGGATTTGCCCCTGACCAGGTGAATGCTCCATGTTTCTTTATTACTTCCGCCAGCCTGCCCGTTTACAGCGTTTAAAATTTGCAGAACGAGCATGCTTTGGCCTGGAAACGTGTCTGTGCGATACTGCTAAGAGCCGCAACGAGCCGCCGAAAGTAGCCAAAAATTCGCCAGATCGCCAAGCGTAATTTTTGGTAGCCAAGCGCCCCCAAAAGTAGCCAATTTGGCGAAAAGTAGCCACCAGTGGCAACCCTGAACACAGGTCCGCTGCGTGTGAAGCAAAGGTGGCATCAGTGAGCCATGCCATATCGTACGTGCTTTATAGTTAGGATTTTTCTAGTACCCGATGCCGGCCGCATGCGCTGTCTGGAAAGAGAATATGGTTTGTAACAAAAAGCCGTCATAGTACCGTCAGTGCAAAGAGCTCATGCCGGGAAACGCGCTTTCCCTTTCCCACGCTTCGGAATGAAAAAGAAACAAAAGCGTTCGGAACAAAATGGAGCAAAACAAAAGCGGTCGGAACAAAACAGATTTCCATTTTGTTTGGAACGCCTTTGTTCACGCACCCCACAATGTGCGAACGCAATGCCGATGCCCAACAACTTCGCCGTGACGTGTTGCAGCGATCGCTATTCGTTACGATGAGATGCGTCAAATTTTGTGGACAGGGTATGTTAAAGGGACACTGACACCCCACAAATATAAAACTTTTTTTGTTAGGCAATTTATTATGGTGTCGGAAGACTACCCAGTCAATATTTTGCTACAGGATCACACATATTTTTAATAGTCAAAAACAAAACTTCTAGAAACCGAAACTGGACCGGGGAGGAAGAAGAAATATAAAGGAGAAACATACCAAAAATCATATATAACTGCAACTTATTTTTTTTATTTTCTTCTAATTGACATATTTAGTTTTTTTAAAAGCCACAAAAAATGGGTACTATAAAAAAAAAATTATATTTTTAATATTGAGTGTGTGCCTTTGACGACCCACGACTTAGGTTATCTTTGGCGATTGTGTCTAAACCAGTGATTCTCAGCCATCGACATTTCGCGGACCCCTTGAAAATCGGCATAGATAATGGAGGACCCCCATTCGTGGCGAGGGGAAGGAAAAGTATAGGTTAATTATGATAGTGATTTGATAAATGGATATAAGTAAGGGCTAGTGTGAAATAGACTTCCCTTTTTGACATATACACCTGAAAACGCAGCCGAAAATTTGAACATTTCTTCACAGTCTGAGAAAAGACAACTTTTATTGCCGGGCTTGACTGATGAGGCTCGGCTTCGCGGACCCCCATTTGAGAACCACTGGTCTAAACCATAGAGAACGGCCCGTGACCACAGAGAAGAGTAAGCGCGACTCAAACCGGCCAGTTCTCGATCGGCAGTGTACGGGCGGAAAGAAAACGAATTTTGAGCCGCAAATTGTGTTTTGGATAGCCGGGCTCTGATATGTCATGCACAAATAAAAACCGTGGCAAGCATAAATACCCTGTCACTGTCCCTTTAATGACGATATAAGCTTTTTCATAAGCTAGTAAAGTGGGCACCTGCCAACATGTGTCGTGTATGAGAAAATTTTACGTGCATTCATAGTCACCAGGTGCAAACTCTTGTCCAGAAAGTGCGTTATGTCTCTTCGCGGTGAAATTAAACTTCCAACGCATATTTTACTCATGCTGTTTGTGCTCCAAAATTTGTAACTGCAGTCCTAATTCCAGTGTGTGCACGACTTGCTTTTGCTTGTCGATACTTGCGGCGAGATTCTTGACACGCGTGCATACAAGGTCCTGTACAGTTCTGACATGTCCCTTCCATTATCGTCCCTAAGGGTTGTTAGCAAGAACTCCTGAAAAAAGGTACCTTACACACTGGCTTGTTTGAATGCAAGGTTCCTGCTTTTTAGTTATGATTTTGATGTTTTAGTTGTACTACTGTGCAATATTTAATTCAATTTGATCTTACCTTTCAGGCGGCCACCTTGATGCAGGACCCCACCATGCAAAACATGTAAGTGCACAGTTGCTCTCAGACCATTTGTAAAGTATGCACTTCATAGGCAAAATTCAACACTTCTTGTATTGAGTGTTTTGTGAGGTTGAAAAAACATGATCAAACAAAACATGTTTTCTAAAAAAAGAAAAGAAGTGGTTGTTGTCTAAAACCAATCTAATCGTTGGGTGTGAGAAATGTGTACAACTTCTGAAAGGCTGCAAATGCCAGATTTCTCTGAATGATACCTAAGATACATTTTTGTAAATTTGCAAGTCATCTCTTGTAGTTGCTCCTGCAGCATCCATTCCCGATTGTTTTTTTTGTTGCAACTTACGTTACATTTCTCCAAGACCTTCGTCAAAGTTGGAGAGAAGTCGAGTCAAATTGTAACTCTTGCGAATCGTGTTAAGCAGACTCAATGATTTAACTGCTGCGTAGTTTTGCCCGCAAGTGCCTAACTCTAGTTACTAACGTGTGTTATGTAAACCAGGTCTTGGCACTTTTTTTTTCTTTTTTTTTGACGTTGCACGTTCAAAAATTTAGTGATGGTGGCGTCTTGGACAGGATGGCTGGCTTGATGTCCGGTGGGATGAGCCAGAATACTGGGGGCGGCTTGGATGCACTCCTTCAGGCGTAAGTCTGGCATTTTGGTGCAAGTTATCGTTTTACTCTCTGGGGGTGGCTTGGATGCACTCCTTTAGGCATACGTCTAAAGGAGTGCAAGTTTGCATTTTACACTCTGGGGGCGGCTTGGATGCACTCCTTCAGGCATAAGTCTGGCATTTTGGTGCAAGTTTGCATTTTACACTCTGGGGGTGGCTTGGATGCACTCCTTCAGGCGTAAGTCTGGCATTTTGGTGCAAGTTTGCATTTTACACTCTGGGGGTGGCTTGGATGCACTCCTTTAGGCATAAGTCTAAAGGAGTGCAAGTTTGCATTTTACACTCTGGGGGTGGCTTGGATGCACTCCTTCAGGCATAAGTCTGGCATTTTGGTGCAAGTTTGCGTTTTACTCTCTGGGGGTGGCTTGGATGCACTCCTTCAAGTGTAAATCTGGCATTTTGGTGCAAGTCTGCGTTTTACTCTCTGGGGGTGGCTTGGATGCACTCCTTTAGGCATAAGTCTAAAGGAGTGCAAGTTTGCATTTTACACTCTGGGGGTGGCTTGGATGCACTCCTTCAGGTGTAAGTGTGGCATTTTGGTGCAAGTCTGCGTTTGACTCTCTTACGTGGAAGCACTTTTAAGGAAAACCTAAATTAATTGAGCATGTAAGAAATGCCACAAGGCATTATTCAAGCTTTAGGAAGCATGGCGTAAGGTGCAAAAGACAACGGACACAGGGAAGAAGACTCGCAGGTTTTTTGCGCTTTACGCCATGCTTTTTAACTTTCACAAAACTCCTGTAAAATACTGCGGAAGCACCCACTTCATTCAAGTGCCCACTATTAACATTTCCCAAACATTGAAATTCTGCATATCATATGTCAACCGTCCGAAATTCACTGGACAAGTGCCCACGTCTGGATTAACCACGTTTTCAGTGAAAGTTGGTTGGGTGCTCCCCCGGAATTTTACGGTAGCTCAATTACGAGTTCTTCTACGGTGTTATTCAAACTGCCTTTATCTGGAAGCCATACTGCCTAATTTTAGGGGGCCCCTTTTTTTTTTCTGCCTTCGCACCGATACAATTTAGTAAAGGTCTTCCGGCGAGGCATTTACACGCACCTAGATTTTTACGGCGGCACGACCTACAGGTGGAGCAAATGTTTCATGAGGCACGAACAAATGCACCTGATTTAGTGGCACCGTGCTTTGGTCACCTGACAATGTCAACTTCATGCAGGTACGACGACTTACTTGCAGTAGGATAGGAAACAAATTTAGGGCACGTGCCATTGCTATTGGTGGCAACATTGTTGCTGCACCATGGCCTAATGGGAAGACCAAGATGGGCTTAGTTTGGGGGCCGGTCGGGGTAGCTTCGAGTGGCCACTCGTATGGTCACTGTCCCGCCGAAAATAGGAAGTGCCATATACTGACTGCTGCTTAGCAACTTTTAGTAAGAATTGTTCAACTGTCAAGTTGTAGCGCCGATCGTTTTGATTGTTCAATAATAGAAAAAGTAAAAAAATTACTTTCCTTGTCTTTTTTTCTTCAAAGCATTAGATTTTTTTTGCAGTGGTTTCTGATCCTCCTCCCAGCTAAAAAATACATTAAATAAGTTAAAAAAAAAAAAAAATTTTAAATAGTTTTTTTTTTGTCTCTTGCCCAGATTTTGAGTTTATAGGAGCAGATAACCACCCTTATTGCTTCTGGGTTCATTTATTGCCACTCGTGTTTGTGCGATAGCCAGAGCTGCTCTCGAGTTCTGTGAATCTATCGATGCAGAATTACCTTCTCACCGAAGAAATTAGAGAGTTTTAGAATAGGGGCCCCCAAAGCTTGGGGCCCCCCAAGAAATAGGGGCTCACCACTGCGCATGCGCAGAACCCAAAATCTGTTTGGGGCTTTGGGTTGGCGCTTGGGGTCGGGTTGCGTCGGCAAACATGGCGGCGCCCTTTCTGCTCGCTTCGGAGCGAATTCGCCATGGTCGCTGCAGTATTAGCCCATTTAAATGCCAGTGAATAGTGCTACCGGCTTTCGCTTTGCTTGATCTGGCTCAAATTACAAAGAATGAGCAGTGGGCTCGCCCCATTTTAAAGATCGTCCCCGATTTTGGCCGTTTCTAAGCCTAAACATACGCGGTAACCGTTGACATGGCAACGTATTGCTACTCGGTGGCACGATACCTGCATCTTGAAAACAAGTATTTCAAGGCTTCAAACTCGCTCCAGCTCAGATCTAAATAGTGCAAGTGCCCGCAGAGTATGCGTGCTCGCGTTCGTCTCAGTCTCGGCATAGTTGAAGACCAAAATCTTCGGCTGCATATGGTCAAAGCGCACACCCAAAAATATTGAGAACGAGCCATACCTAAAACAGCGCGCAAGCAAAGGAGGAAGAAAATAGAACACAGGAAAGAGCGCTGACTCCCAACTTATGTATTGTGAAAGAAAGAGAAAGAGGAAGCTTCAGACATGAAGCCCACGCGCACAAACAAGGTATACAGAAGAAAAAATAAAAACATATAAATTACTAAGTTGCAGTAGAAAAGGACAAAACTGACATTATAAGGTCACGAAGAAAAAAAAAAAGATGAGAAAAAAGAAGAAAGAAAAACAACAACGTGGGCTTCATATCTGAAGCTTCCTCTTTCTCTTTCTTTCACAATACATAAGTTGGGAGTCAGCGCCCCTTCCTGTGTTTTGTTATCTTCCTCCTGTGCTTGTGCGCTGTTTTAGGTATGTCTTCTATGTACAAGCTAGCTCAACTCTCTATGTTACTACGAGAACAAGCGCCAAATTAGAGCGCTACGGATTGGATTGTTTCGGCTACACCCGAAATGGGATGGCCGAACGAGTCGAGGCCGATTTAAGGCCAAAAGAAAATGGAGGAAGAGAAGGCTCCAGCGCGCGTTCGCTTCTCGATCGACGATGACATTTATGTGCTACGCGAAGTGTATGCCACTAACTCATTCCAGGATTCCAGGAGATGGACTTGAATGGCCGAAAGGGTCCCCGAAGCAATCGGAAGAAATTTCCCCACGCGGGCCAACCGCGACCGGGTCGACCTGCTGCTGGCACAGTTTAATACGAAGCACAGATTTCCCGGTTACTTTTCGTAACTTAACGTAAAAAAAAAGAAAAAGAAAGAAACGGGTCTGAATGAACGAGCCTTTAGCCGCGGAGTAGCAATACGTCACCATGTCAACAGTTACGACGTATGTTTAGGCTTAGGAACGGCCAGAATCGGGTACGATCTTTAAAATGGGGCGAGCCCACCGCTCATTCTTTGTGACTGGAGCGAGATTAAGCAAAGCGAAAGCTGGTTGCACTATTCATTGGCAATGAAATTGGCTAATACTGCAGCGACCATGACGAATTTGCACCGAAGCGAGCGAAAAGGGCGCCGCCATGTTTGCCCGCCCCCAAGCAATTGGGGGCCCCACGTTGTTTCTCGAATTTCACGTTGGGGGCGCGAGCCAACCCAAAACCCCAAACGGAGTTTGGGTTCTACGCATGCGCAGTGCTGAGCCCCTATTTCTTTGGGGCCCCAAAGCTTTGGGATCCCCGATTATAAAACTCTCTATAACTGTCGTGCTGCTTCAGCTACAGGATGAGCTAACAGCAAGTTACACCTACCAGCGTTGTGCCTGTGACCGGGGAATGGCCCGTCCAGTTCTCAGATAATTCCATTGGCTCACATGATAGCCTGGTATTTGAGGGCGTGCACTCTCTTGTTGACCAGAGAAGTAAATCTTCTGATTCAGAGACGGTCGGCAGATGGGCCTTGCTGTGCCGTTCCAACTGGTGTTAGCCTCCCTATTATTTGAACCGCAAGCCACAATAAAGTGTCGTTTCGGCGCAAATGTTTTGCGTTTTAATAATTTTTCACTGTTAAGAAGTTCGTTCGTTGTCCACAATGGCGCTGCATGCGAAAAAGGCGAGCGTGCCGCGTTGCGTCGTCACAAACCCTATTCTATAAGCACGCTGCGTGAGGTGTCGTTGCGTTGGGTACCCCAAAGCTTTGGGTTACCCAAAGCGTTGGGGCCCCCTATTCTAAAACTCTCTATTAACTCTGATTTCGCAAGCTGGGAGGGTTGGCCCCGTTGACCAGCTGCCGAACTGATGTGCTGAGAACCAACGGCGCGTGTCCGCACTAGTTGCTCGTTTGTCGACACTTTGAATCACCCCAGTTGATGCTTTCTCATCTTGGTTTGCTCACCCTCAATGTTGTCTCAAAAAAAAAAAGTACGACAAGGTGACGTTTTGAGGTCGTGTGGGGTGTCCATTACTAGAGAGTTTTAGTAGATCGTTCCGATACCTCCGATAGCCCCGATAACGATACTATGCATGCACAAGGGAGGCGGTGGCGGAGTATCGGGTATCGTTATCAGAGTCATGGAAACGATCTACTAAAACTCTCTAGTAATGGACACCCCACATTATGGACGAAATTTCTTCGACCCATGTTTTTTCGCCATGCACTTTTGCCCCGTTAATACAGAAACCCGCATTTCGGACTATGTACAGCTACTTTGAGGGGGAATCGGGTAAATACGTGCAGGCATTTCTGTCTCATTATTCTCACCACCATTACTTACACCAGATTAAAAAAAAAAAAAAGAAAACGTCCTAAAATTTTTTTAGATAGTGGACCCAAGAGGATTGCAGTGTGCACCCGGACGTTTGCTGCAAGTGGGTCCTGCCCACTTGCACAATGTTTTTGCTTAGTCTTCTACGTAAAACGAGTCATTACCGCTTGCAGTCAGTCGTTGCTATAGTCAGTTACAGGTTAAGAAGGTAGCGGCAAATGCCCCTCAAAGGGAGTCAGATATCCCTCCGCCACCTCCGCATCCAATAGCGTCCCACCGTTTCCGTGACGTCGCGGCCATTGCGCGAGGAATGTCTTGCCTTTCTGTACATATTTGCTTTATCTTTTGACTTTGACTTAGCATTGTGGAAGCCGCGAGAGGGAGATTAGAGTTCTCCCCCACCGACGGAAACAGATACGACTTTCGGGGATTAGCTTCCCCCCCGATGGATACAAAGGCTGCTTTCAGGGGCTCGGTTCCCTCTCCGATGAATACAAAGGTCGCTTTCTTAAAAAGTGGGATCGGAGACAAGTGGGAATCCATTGAAGCGGAACAAGGAGCGTTTGCAGTGAACTCTTCTTTCGACTGCGGAGAGATTTGAAACGGGCGCATCACACTTGTGGGAGGAGCTTCTCCTACCTTCTTGACTTGTAACAGACTAGAGAGACTGTGCATGACCTATAACCGGGAACAATGAAGAATGAACCCTAAAGCCTCTAGGTCACTCCACTGCAGAGCTCATCACTGTTTGGGGAACGGGAGAGAAGCTCCGAACCCCACAATTAATCTCTCCCGTGGGCAAAACTTGGCAAACAGCAAAGGCTACGGGGGGACAAACAAAAGAGGGTCTGGACACAAGTATCTCCTCCCCCTCTTCCACAACTGCTTGGGTTGGAGACGAGGAGGAGGAAGTTCCCTCTGTGCTTGTTAATATGCGTGTTTTGACCCCGATCCATTATGGCAGACGACTCGCACTTGTGAGCGATTTTTCTGGGGAACGGAGGCATCCATGAGACACGACTCCAATGAGCTCTGCGTTTCTCAAAAGACAAAGTGCAATGCAACTGTGAATTTTTTTTTCCTTTGTTTTTTAGTGTTGCGGTTAATTATATGATTTCCTTTCCTGGCAGCGGTCAGCAGTTGGCGTCGCAGATGCAGGCCTCCAACCCCGAACTGGTGGAACAGTTGAGACGTCACATGAGCAACTCAAACTCTTCGGACGCCAGCAATCAGGACCCGTCGGCGGGGAACCCAGACGCGGACAACTAGGTGTGCTAGGACTCTACCTTCCAAGAGTAACGCGAAATAACACAAAATAAAAACACCATTGATCCTTGTTCAGTCCCATTAGAAACTATGACAAAAGGGCGGAGGTTAAAACCAGACTCGTTTTGGGGGGACAAAATGTCATAGTCTCCGCCAAGCAGACACAACACGACTCAGTTTTTGAAATAAAAAAAAGAAAAAACACTCATTTCTTTTTGTTTCATTTCATTTCACACACGGTGCGGTGTCAAAGGTGCCTATGAACAGAAGATGGGGGGGGGGTATGGGACAGACTACTATTTATTAAATATTTATATGTAATATCAAGGTATCATAGTTGATGCAAGCTACTATTGAATTAGTGTATTTCAAACTCACTGCTGTTGAAGTAGTTGAAACTCCCTACTTTTGAAGTATGGTAGCCTCATAGGTGGTAAGGGGAAGGGGGTTGCAGCTTATGGGCTGGCATATGCAGCTACTCTCAGCTTGGTGCTTGAGCAATTTAGCCAAAAAGAAAAAATGCCCACAGCTTTTCAAGGATAAACACATCTTCACAAGTGGTACCGCTAAACCATGCACCCAAATCTAGCAGTCTTTAAGAACTGCTCCATTTTTCTATACAAGAGGCAAGCTTCAGCACTTGTCAAAGGCTTTAATAACTTCCAACTTCATATACAAAGAAACGGGTATCCAGCCGCCACGCAGAATCATCTTAAGAAACTCGGTTGCTAGCTTGTGTATATATATATATTTATATGTATTGTTAGGACCAAAAAAAAACAACGCTGTAACAGCATGGCACGCTCCACTGTCCCAGTAAAGCCCAACTTCCACCAAAACTTTCGACGTCGCCGTTTCGGCGCCGCTTTCCTTTCCCACACAATCGCTGCTGTGCACGTTAGCAAAAAATTACACAGCAATGAATCACTTTCAGTTCGTGGTCCCGACGTGCTGATAACCGGGTGTAACATGTCGCAAAACCCGTCACTTCTCGGCACACCAACGACGACGTAGGCTCCCTAGCTTGCATTGTACCCGTGCAAAAAAAAGACGGTACCTGGAATGTGTTTCCGACACGCGCGTCTCTCGTCCTACACTGCCCTCGAACAGTTTTCGGGGAGGGCAACAAAACGTGTCGTGGGAGCTGCTGCGCGACGCCATGCAACGTTGTAATCCGGTAAATAATCATAAAAGTGCCAACAAAAAAAAAGGAAAAAAAGGCAGACATTGTTTTTGTGGCGTCCCGCCCGTGGCTCTTTGAATTTTAGAGTAAACTAAAGCTGAACGCGCATATACAGTTTTCACCTCCGCCGTTGCGCCTTTCCGGGGACTCCTGTGCTCCTGTGGACCGCAGGCAGTTGCAACGCCACTATAGTAGTCGGTTGCAGCTTAGGCAAGTTGGCGAGGAAGGCTGGGGAGGGGAAGGAAGACAGAATGCAGAAGAAAAAAGGTGGAAACCTCCTCTCTTCAGCATTCCGTCTGCTTCCTCCTTCCCAGCCTTCCTTTCCCTCGCCAACTTTTCTTAACCTGTAACTGTCTATAGACTTTTGCAAAAATCGACTTCTGAGCGCTGCCATCTTTGTCTGCTCGACCGTGGAACACCTGAGCATGCACCGTTGCTCTGCTGTATGGTATACCGGACGTTTTGGATGTGCCCACAGCTCGATGACTCGGCATTTTTATCTCGGGTGATAAGCGAGGGGAACGTCTATACACGGAAACCAATGGGAGAAAAGTAAAGGCTCAAACGCTTCGGTCGGAAACAAATTCCAGGCACCCCGGCGCAAACATACCCGCCACGTCAGAGTTCGCCGGCTACGACATGCTCTTTTCAGCGATCCTCGACGAAAACCGGCGCCCGCCACCTCGTTAGCGTTTGAAGCCAGTTATACCCGAAGGAGCTGAGCGTGCGCCGCGCATCTTTCACCGGTCAGTGCGCCTCGACCCAACAATATGTATAGAATATATATATATATAATATATAACTCCTATCGACAAGGTTATAAACAACGGAACCCTGAACCGTAGCGAGCCGGAACACGGCGGCGGCCCGCCGACCCCCCAAAAAGATAACCCCGGGCGAAGCCGCAACCGTCTCTCGAACGCCGGCGTCCGGAACGCGTCTCCGATCGTTGCGTTCGGCGTCCCGTTCCGCCCACGCGTCAAGAGCGGTCCCGAGGGGGCAACGAACAACGTCACGAAAACTCGAGCGTCGCCGTCGTCTCGGCGTTCCAGCTACTGAAGCTTCGCAGTCACCGGTGCGTGGGTGTGCCAGCTCCGGACATCGGGCTTGCATAATTACGGATAGCTTCTTGCCAAGCTATGAACAATGTGGAGAAGGGGGGAGGAGAGAGCGGAGCTGAGCAGCCAGTAGTAGCTCGGCGTGTCCGGGCAAGGGAAGGTCGCGTGCCCCGGCGCTTGAGTCAAGAGTCTTCCGCCGCCCGAACTAGAGGATAGTACACTGGAAGAGAAGGGTCGGCGAGGAGTTAGCCGCGACGTGTGCACTCTCGGCGAGGGGTGCGGCTTTTCAAAGGGGAGTTGCGGGGGTGTCGGAAAGCGGTTTAGTGCGCCACCTATGCCCCGTCTCGGATTACAGCGGATGCCGCGATCGGTACCGATCAATCCAGTGCTGCAAACGTGTCCCGTGACTTGGCGTTCTAAGCGTCGCCGAAGGTCACAGGACATTAGTGCGACGACGGACTGGATGCGATGGCTCGCAGTGTCTGCTGCAATCTATCCTAAAGGGGAATGCGGTGGTATAACGTACGGCGCCGGTCACTAAAAAGGGTGGACCTCGGTTAAAAAATAAAAAGTGCCAGACTTTTGATGCATTGAGCGAGTATGCGCAACATCATAATTCCCCTAAAATTACGAGTCCCAAAAGTGACAATATCACCTTGAGACTGCCACGTTTAAAGCTGGGGTTACCGCTAATTGCGCCACACACTGTGAAGTTGGCTTTCGTTAGCCATGTAAAGATGTTTGCACTTTTTCCTTTCTGCCTTAGGTAGGGAGGGGGGGCAGTCAGAGAGCACATTCTAAGCATGTAGATGAGAACAGAAAAGCATGTGAAAGCACCTACAACAGCCTGTGATAACAGTATTTGGGAGGCTGTTTAAAAACACTTCACATAATGCAAAGAAACGTAACCATAGAAACGTGTTAGCAGTTGCCACTAACATAGACTGTTGTAAAATACTATGTGCCTCATTAAGCGAGAATCTAAGAGGTTACCGCAGTTGTGTGTGCTAACCATGTACTCCAAAAAAAAAAAAACATGAAAAGGCCAATTAGCATATCTGCAACTTGGTCAAAGTCAGCATAACCTCCACTTATCATTCAAACCACCCATGTCTAGGCGTGGGTCGAATGAATGCAGTTTTCTTTTTCCCCCTCCTTGCTCCATACCCATGACGTGTTGACTCAACCGGCAATGTTTATTAAGACAATACATGTGGTTGTCAATTTTTTTTTAATTATTATTTTTCCTCGGTTTGGGGTTTATTATGGAGTTAGTTCACCAGCTTGCCTGTGTCTTTTCTCTTTCATTGTCAATGCTTTCCTGTTGACCACTGGAGAAATGGTTCTTCCACCTCAGTAAAATTGAACAAATGCTATTTTAGGTTGTGTCCCTGCCAAACTTCTCGTTGTGGCAAGGGCCAATAAAGCAAACTTGACTGTACTTCCCAGTCAGCAATGTTCACTTATATCTAACCATAGCTAACTAGCCGAATTTACGCCGAGGTCATTATTGGTCCGAATACTATGACTGCCAGAGGTGGACTATCTTTCGATGTTTAGGAAAAAATAGCAAAGCAAGCCAAATGTACATAGTGTGAGCTTATGTGCACAAAATGAGAGGCGCTATCAAGAGGCTCCGGTGCAGCGTCAGACTTGGCTAATGCGCAACAGAGGCGCACAGCTGGGCACGCGGCGGCGCTAGTGCGTCTACCGCGGCTATGATGTCGCTCCTCTGGAATGCGCAGACCGGCGAGGTGGGCGCGGCGGCGGCGAAGGCTTCGCGTGGCTCTCGTAATGAGCCATGCTCATTATGCGAGCCGAGCTCATTATGCGTGCTCAATATGCGGCTTATTATGAGAGCCACGCGAAACTGCTCAACCTCGGCCAGTGTAGCTACAAAACACAGGTGGGTTATCTTTCGGAGGTGGGGCATCTCTCGTGGCATTACGGTAGTGTGTAACAACGCGTGAGCAACCGGCGCACCCCAGAGCCGAAGGACTGCGACAGAGATCTACAAGCAGAAGCGCGTCGTACGTCTTTCTTGGAGGCTGGGCTTGGGTGGCTCGTGCCAGGCTGGTGGGCCTCGGCGCCCTGCGGCGTACTGCTGCGCCCTCCGGAGGACCTTGAGCCCGCCCTGTGGTTCTCCTCCTCTTGCAGCTGCTTTGCAAGCTCCTCGCTGCAAGACAAGAGCTCTTTGTCAAAACTGCCCCTGCGAAACGGGCACGCACCGCGGCGTGCTACGACCCCGGGCTCGTTTTTGAAAAGGGTAGCTCTCCGAGACGCCCATAAGGCCGGCTTGCACATGCATCGCGGCACTACAATGCAATCCGCTTATAACAATGTACTACTTATAACAACAAATTTCTAGAGATTCTAGACTAGAAACAATAAGTTTCTAGTCCAGATGCAACGATAATCGGCTATAAAGACTGAATTTTCGGGTTTTTTAATTGTTGTTGTGAGTGGATTTCGCTGTATGTCAACACTACGAACAGTGCTGACGTGAATGCAACCTAGTACCGATACCACACAGTTTCGGTGCTGTGTCACTAATATAGCACGAAGTCGGCGCTGCATCGGCAAGGTCGGTGCCGATTCCAGCGCAGACTAATAGCGCCGGGGTAGCGCTGTGGTGCATGTGCGAATGGGGCTCTACAGAGATAGGATGACTGGCTTTGTAAGTAACGTAGACTGTGCAACACCGTTGCCACAAACACGGCATAGGTGCTGTTTTGCATGTTACTTTGAAATCGTATTGGCACACACCAAATTTGACCACTTGGGTTAGCACCCCCGAAGGAGCACTTTCCAAGACATGAGTAAGTTTTGATGACAAGCTTTGAATTCTAAATGAAAAGCAGAACAAACTGGCGATTGCTTATTCACGCTGACAGTGTCACTCTCTGTACAACGTAATGTTCACGGATGGCAGCTTAGTGCCTACAAAACGGTTTACGGCAGAGGGAAGCCTTTATGTTGTCGATAAACAAGAACTGAGGCTAGTGCTATGAATGTAAATTTTCAACTTTTTTTCCCGACCATGATGCAGCTATCCACTTCCCAAGGTATGCATGCTTGTGCCCTAGGCAAGGGGGCAAACACAACTTTGGAGAGTGCTTTGGTTATGCAGCCACCTGAACAACCACACCTGGTGAAGCAATGTACTTAGCCTTTAAAAATTATCCATGCAACCTGTGACTTCAAGTTGAAGTGTGAGGAGCTTCGAGAGAACTTGTAAAGCTAGCTTCTTCAAACCAAATGTAATAGTATGCCTGCTAAACTGCAAAATTTTCTACGCCGTGTTCTGTTGCCGCGCTGAGCTACAAGCCTCTATTAGAAGTTGCCACATTGATGAAGTACAGTAAGAAAATCGGCACCACAAAACAGAAAGAAGCGAAAAACAGCACCAACACCACACCCCGCAAAGTATAAACTCGAAGTGCAGCCACTTGCAAGACAAAAAAAGAAAGAACAGAACTGCTTACTGATTCCAGAATTGCTCTGAAGCCGTTTAAACCGCGGGTTTGCACACTGAGTTTTTAGGAAGCATAGGTTTGATTTTCGCTCCTAAAAAAGCAAGAGTGAGATCAAATATGCTCTCACCGAGCGAGCCAAGATATCGTTCGCAGATGGTTTGTCTGCCAATGCGAGCAAAGAACGGGGTTTGTCTGCTTTTCCACATGCTCGTCTGCTAATTCGCATTGGAAGCGAGTGATGACCCATGCTATCTTTGCAAATCTTAAGTTGCTCTGCGGCTGTACATCAGCTGACATTGACCGGTGGATGAAGAAGCACTGGGGACAAGCACACCAGAAGTTGGCGAATGTTGGTGAGAAGTCCTTATGAAAGCACTGTCCAACAGTGGACGCGTAAACAAGTCAAAAATTTCTTATTGGTCAATATTGCAGACCCAGCAGAAAGCTGCGACGGCACGTCCCATCGGCATCCAAGAAAGCTCTCACCCTTACCCGGGACCAAGATCATACCCCAGAAGTTCCTCACAGCAGCACCAGAGGTTCAATAAAAATAGACAAATCATGCCAGTCCTTTCTACCCTTAAAGGGCCCCTGAAAAGAAAATAAATGTTTTTTTTTTATAACAGTCTGGTTGGGACACGCGAAACAAAAAATTAATTTTACGTGAAAAAAATTTTACAGCAATACTGACGGCACGAGACGCGATTCAGTTGGCCTCCTTTCCACTTGTTTTCTCTCCCGGCATTTAAGCGCGTGGAGGAGAGGGGGATCGGCTTCACCTTCATGTTGAGGTGGTAAGAGTGAAAGACAGAGATGGTCATTCCGGAATGACCCGCGACGTCGTGGACTTCGTGCGCAAAATTTCAAATAAATCTCTCGCCGTCAATATTGCTCTAAAAATATTTTTTTTCCACGTAAAATTAATTTTTTTACAAGCATGTCGCACCCAGACTGTTTGAAAAAAAAAAAAAGAACATTTTGTTTCTTTTCAGGAATTCTTTAAGTGAAGTGGTTTTCCAGTATAAGCAATATTCGAGCATCCCTAATCATGAGCCAAACACTCAAATTTTCTTCCCAGTCGGCCACAGCATCGTTAACAAAGTTTGTGAGCTTCTGAACTGTTTTATTACAAGGGCATCCTTTCAAACTAGTATTGTGGGACAGCTGGGAGATCATTTTACAGCCCCAGTAGGAGGTTAAGTAGTCAAGATTGTAACAGATGAGAACTCCAGCCATAAAACGAAGTGCCACCCAGTGAGTCCAAACAGAAAACCAGCAGAGCCCAATATGTGGACAATTACGTATGTTTCCACAACAAAGTTTACAACGACCCAAGTAAAGGAAAATGTGCACATATACAAATATCAAGTCTAGTATATCTGCCGTGCACTTCTAAACACGTGGAGGAAAAATCAAAAAAGAATTTGGAAAAAGCATAATATTTGAAGAGAAAAGTTTAAGAAATCTCAAAATATTTTTTGCCTATAATAGATCATGGGAACTATTGATCTAAATATGTACAGCATTGTGGAGGTTATATATTTCAGGTAAAAAATGCGCAAATATGGCTCCTTTGACATTTTATCACTAGATTTCTGTGCCGTTACGTAAAGCAACGCTTCAGATGGGGCAATTTCTCATAGCAACTTGATGTCACAACACGGGCCGCCCGTGTCCACACGCGGCAACTGATTGCCGCACTTTGTCATCATCATCATTAAATTTGATTTTTCTTGCACCATTTAGACACAGAGTTATGCACTATAAACATGTTTTTATACATTTAAATGGCATTGAGAATAGTAACTAATCTTTCTGAAACGGTTTATTACCAGAAATGATCAATTTCAAACAACAACCAAGTCTTTAGTTGCCATCATCACAGGACGGGGTATCTTGTGAAAATATCACGTCCTTGATTGGCCTGCTGCCTCTTCAAACGTCTTTAAATTCTTAACTTGTTTTGAGCCAGACCCATCTCAGGAATTCGTGTCGATCTAAAGAAACCTAACAAACAACCCATTAGCAACCCCAAAATTGCTGAGAAAGTCACCCCATGTGAAGTGCTCCTAAACAATTTGAATACCCTACACAAATTTAATACAAATTGAAGAGGGACAAAACATGGACTCCTCAAGACGCCCTCTTGCCAATGCGGGCCACTAGCGTGCTCAATATCTTTACTCTTTTTTTTTACTTTCTTAATTTTACATTTTTTTTTAAATTTTTACTAGAAAAAAATAACTCAAAATATTTTTAATCTTAACAGACGTCTTACTGAACATCTGTCAGTGAAGTCGCAGGTTTAGCTTGGTCAGCAGTACGTAGAACCATCATGGATAGCAGTGTAACAAGCTTGGTGGCTCAAACATTCATTGATTCATTCATTCATTTGTTTATTTTCTGTGCTCATGAACAGCTTGACGCCTTGGTAATGATGCACAACAAAATGTGCACACGAAATTCGGGTAAAAAACATGAATATCTGCTCCCCTGAGGGTATTGTAGATGTGTTGAATATTTATCATGGGACTGGTTTGGATGATGTGATTGACATGGAAAGTCGGAGAAAACCGCAAAACTCGACTCGGAACGTGAATATTAATAGCAGGTGTCAGATCTGGGCAATCAATTAATCCATGAATACATTTGTACAAGAAAACAAGATCGCGCTCACGTCGTCTGGGACTCGAAGTAGGGCATTTGCATCGTTCTAAGAGTCTCGCATACGAATAATAAACAGTACGACCAATGTAACAATCGTAAACAATTAAAAAAAAAATAAAAAAAACGCTTTTGAACATTTTTACATTAACACAAATATAGGTACAAATATTTGCATATAGTTTGCACCACTGTATTTACTTTTATACTACTTTCTGCACAAAAAAAAAATGCTGTAGTAGCGATTACACGTTTTTATACCACTTTTGTGCAATAAGTTCAGTTAAAGCTCCTTAAACTTGCAACTTTAAAAACAGGTGTATTGGTTAAATAGATATGAAGGACAAGCAATGCGGGTATTGCTTTAATTAGTGGTATACTTGAGCTTAAGCCCAATACCCGAATACAGCACATAAGGTATCTAGGTCATAAAATACAGAATCAAAAGATAACCTCGTCTGTGGTATTTGGGCAAAAATGTCGGTGTGGAAGGTGCACTTTGCAGCGCTGTAACTCTGAAGGAAACAAAATGATGCAACATGTTTTTTTATGAATAAACAAAAGTATGGCGGAGAACTACTAAAATTACAGGAAATTCAGCTTTTTTTTATTAATTTTAATTTTTCTTTGAAATTTTTTAGCTTTGTGCTTTAGAACAAATTTGGAACGATATAAAAATTAAAATTTTTAAGATAAAGAAATTATCTATATATCTTTCGAAAAAATGTTTTAATAAGAATATATGACATAAATTTTGATGTTGTAGCTATTCAATTCGTTTAGATAACGGTGCCGAAATCTAGTGAAAAAACGTCAAAGGAGCCATGTTTGCACATTTTTGATGCGAATATAAATATATAATCTCCACAATGTTGTACATATTTAAATCAATATTTTCCATGATCTATTATAAGTGCAAAATATTTGAGATTTTTTATATTCATAGTTTGCATTGTAGGTGTCACCAAATATGACATAAACAAAAAAAAAAAAAAAAATGGAGTACCATTCTGGCACACTCAAAACTTTTTTTCTCTTCGAACATTGTTTTTTACTGAACTTTTTTTTATTACGTTTCCTAGAGATGTTGTGGAGTAATTTGTCATTTGTCTTGTAGAGCAAACTACGCTGCAACTTTCTTGTCAGAAAAAAAAAAAAAGGTGTTTATGTAAACAAGCATTAGGAACAGTCTAAATGAGGCAACCTCCAAATCGGATGTCTTTTAATATTAATGCGTAGGTCAACAATGGTCTTGTAATCAAGCACCATCTCAATCACAGTTTTTGTATTTATTAACCATGCTTTAAAGTAAAGAAGTTAGACTTCTAGTCTTAATAAGAAAACATTCTAAAATGTTAATTGAAAATAAAAAGACTTCATAAAATTAGTGAAGTCTGGCCAAAGAGATTTTGAAAATAAACAAAACAAATACGAGACTTTTCGTGTATGTCCATAAGTTGAGAATGTTGATCAGACAACCTTGGTTACTGGAGAACTATTTCCCTGCAAGACAAAAAAAAAAGGGGCTCTCTCTGTTGACGGTTTGACAATTAGCGAAGAGATCAACGAAACCAGGAGTTAGCTCTTGCAAATTTACCCAAGCAAGATACACTACCACTGTCACGACATCTATCAGGCTTAGTATCATGCAAAATCGGTGCGAAGACCAGCAACAGTGGCGTAAGAACGGACATCCTTACGCCATTTTTACCGAAAAATTGCATGGTAACTAAAAGCATAAGTTACAAGGGCTAATGGTATAAACTGAACTTGAAGATACAATTTGAGATATGTGAAACATTAAGAGTGGACACTCTGGATCCTCAAACTAGGTTTCTAGGAGCCCAGGGGTTTTCCGAGGTCCCCAAATTTCGTGATACGGCTTCACAGCGCACAAGATCAGACACACTTAAAAGTAATTTCACGCATACGCAGGAAGAACACTCACGCAGCGCTGACTGACAACTCAAGTGTCAGTCAGTGTATGCGTGAAATTACTTTTAAGTGTGTCTGACCTTGTGCGCTGTGAAGCAGTATCATGAATAACCAACTCGCCCCAGCTGAAGTTCTGACCCCAAATTTCCTTGGTATTTCCCGTCTCAAAGTGTTCTCTGGTGCAAGCTCCATTTTCTTTTTCTTAAAATCTACCTAAGCCATCCACTGATGCGTAGCTACATTGTAAACGCATTACTGTTTGCACAAGGTCCACGTGCAGTCGGGACGGGCTCTTCTTGACTCTCAATAGTGGGAGACAGGCATTCCTCGAGATCGAAATGTTCGAAACCCCTGGTACACAGATTTACAACACACTCCTAATGTTTCGAGGGACTCCTTTGTTCTGCTGAACAGTCAGCATCACTACGCACAAATGGCACTGCTGGGTAACTTAAGTCGCAAACACAAAAATTACACCTTGCGGAAGGTAGCACTAGCAAGTGCTACCTTCTGCAAAAGCAAGGCAGAAAATTTACATACGAGGGAAAAACTTTAAAGCCACCCAAAAAGAAATTCTTCCCTCGCGACATCTCGTCAACTTTAAAATAGTAGTCTCTAGAACTCGATTCTGTCACCAGCACCGGCGAGACAAGTTTCAAATTCAAACCACGTTTTTGCTCCTTTGAGCAGACGATTCTTCGCACCCCACCAAAATACGGCAGCCTCGGATTCACACAAAACAAGCTTCCACCGCCGTCTACTTCCCTCTCCTACAACGAAAAGGAGCAGAAAGAGAAGCAGCATCCCAAGAGAAACAGAAACCGGCAGCATGCTAAGGGCAACCAGCAAAAATATATAAGCAAAACAGTAATAAAAAAAAAAAAAGAGAGCAAAGAGAAAAAAAAAATTGACTTAAGATGGCAAGGAAACAAGCCTACGCAAGTTACGAGTGCGTTCGCAGCTTACTCTGCCCAGGAGGCGGCGTTGTCGCAGCGCGCCTGGGACCATTCACTGCCACCTTTCTCTTGCTCCTGTTGCAAGCTTAAAGCAACCAGGTAGCTGCAAAGAGTAATGGGACGCTCGCCACTGCACACCACCGGCCACCAGTCGGGTGGGAAACGTCAATCCCGCCGTCCCTTTTACCTCTGTTGCCAAGTCGGGGCCGCATTTCTGCGGCCCCGACTTGGCAACAGGGGGCAACGGGAGAGAAAGGGTCGGACCGTCGTTGCGTCCGATGTCTCTGTGCGGAGCACAAGTTTGTCCGCTTCTTTTATGGGGGGGTTGTGGTGACGTCATAACGCCGCGCTCAGATTGGCTCAGACTGAAGGATGGTGGGTAGACCTCGGAGCAAGCCGCCTTGAGGTCTACCCGCTACCTTTCCCGTCAGAGCTAATCGGAGCTCGGCGTTCCAACATCGCCGCAACCCCCACGAAAGAAGCGGACGAACTTGCGCTCTGCACAGACTGGTTCGCGCACTTGCATTTGACTGTGAGCGACAGCCCACGACAAGAGGATACTAGAGAACACACTGCCGAATCGGTGCCATCTGTCGGGGTAGCTGTCAAACCCTTTTAACCTCTGTAAGGCAACAAGCCTAGTTGGAGACTGGGCGTTCGGAAGAGAATGACGGAACGTTCTGAGTGTTTGGTGAGATAAAATCTACACGCCCTCTAGGAGGAAGGATATCTCGTAACATTGTAGGAATTATTTTAAGCGCAATGTGAAAAGATGACAAGCGAGATATGCGCATAACAGAAATGTTCCAAGCTCGCATGTTAGACGGCTCCGCTGTGTTACCTCATTGTAAGTCATTATAAGCGGTCGTGCGCGGTCGATCATGGTCAAACACGAATGTGTGAACCAGCCTAAGAGGGGCACTAAACCGCTTTCTGCGACAGTCAGTTTATGGTCATAACTCAATCTATGGGTTCTAAGCATCCAGAGGGTGCCGTCAGACAAGGGCTTTAGGTGTATAACTCTATGTTAAATAAATGTTAAAAAAAACAAAAAAAAACTGGCTAGGTGGAGCAAGTTGCCGCCCAATTCAAAGGGTTTAGCCTCGTCCATCCACCCATCTTTTCCATGTCCGGCGGCGCCCTCTGTCTTTGATCTTTGATACCAATTTTAACAGAGAAGCTGGTCACGCATGAATGTAATCTTTGGTTTCGTAGGATGCTTTGAGCTGATAGACTGAGTTATGACCATAAATACACTATCGCAGAAAGTGGTTTAGCACACCTTTAATCCTTTGCGGTACACCTGGCAAGATGCCGACACTCCCTCCAATCAAACTGTTATAATATTTGTCACCACTGAGAATCGGCATACATAACAAAGGTCTCTAGGGGGAACTAGTGGCTCCTTACAAAAGCTCCTTTAAGACACTTTAATTTCTCTCAACAGCAATTTTTTTTTTCTTTTTAAGTTTTGAGCAGACTTTTGGAAGGCTGGAGACGACTGAAGTCTTTTGGCAAGCCTTAAAACTTAATGCTAATTGTGTGCTTGGAAGGTGAACGCTCAATATTCAGCGGTTTACTGTTTAATGTTTCAGAGCATAAAATAACAATCTAGTGCATTTTGGAGAACTTTCTTAGTGAAACACACCGTGTTGATAATAAACATTTCGGGGACTCCGTAAGCTTTGCAGTACCAACAGAGCACTGAAAAAGTGGTACAGTAGAACCTCGTTGATATGTTTTTCAGGGGACCGCGGAAAAAAAGCGTATCAACCGGGAAAGCGCAGCAACCGATAACGCACTTAAAGGCACTCTATATAAGATAAAAAGCAGCTCTTATGCAATGGTTTACTTTATGCACTTACCGAACACTTTTGGACTCAGACACGTTCACAAAAACGCGTAATATCCACCTGCCGTTTCGAATTAATGGTATGCAGTAAAAGTCGTCTCTCCAGAAGCCGCAGTCCCCTCTCACTCTCCGCGCAGTCATGAACGTTTACGTAGCGGCGCAAGGTGTCCAACGCAGCGATCGCGTCCGCAAACGTGGGTGCAGCGTAATCGTTGGTTTTTTGTTCGTCTTCTTCATCACTTTCTTCGTTGTCGGCAGTAGTGAGGTCGGCCACAATGTCCGCTATGCTCGATATCCGAACGATCAGCAATCTCTTGCGCCTTCTCTCGCAGAATGCCTCCGTCGATGTTGACACAAGATGCCCGGGCTTGTTTGAACCATACCAACAGGGCCTCCTCTAACTTTGCGTGTTTTGCCCCCCGAGCCTGTTTAAAGCCTGGTTGGTAGAAAGGAGCCTTCGCCTCGATCTCCTTTCGTCTCGCGACGATACTGTTTAAAGTTGACGGCGCGAGTCCAAGCTCTCTTGCGACCTCAGACCTCTTCCGGCTGGGATTTCGATCCACCGTGCGAAGTATGTCAAACTTCTCTTTAAAAGAGAGTGCTTTTCTCTTTCGGGATGTCATGGCCGTCGTCAACGCGCAAGCACTCAGAAACGGCACTGTTCGCGCAGTCGAGCTGTCGAGCGGAACAGAAACTGAAGTGCAGCCGTGCAGCGTTCCGGCGTGCGTGCGGCGCGTAAACAACTCGCGCCGGAGAGAGGGGACAGATGAAAAGAAAGAGCAAGAGAGAACGAGCGTTTTCGCAGAGCTCAGCAAAGCCCAGTGAGGAGACCGGGAAAGAGGGGGAAAGGAGTAAAGGGAAGGGGGGCGCCCGCGTGCCGCGCGGCCGCGCGATCCGCGCTGCGTGGTTCGGCTGTTCGGCTCTGCTTCGCTTCGCTTCAAGCCGGCGTGGCACCTTGGCGCACGGCGCGCCGAGGCGCCGCGATTCCGGCACTTTTGGACGTAACAACCGGGAAAGCAAACGTAACAGGCAGGAAACTAATACATGTATCTCTATGGAAGTAAAACGGGACCGGCGTTTTTGAACGCAACGGACAGGAAAACGTATCAACCAAGAACGTATCAACGAGGTTCTACTGTAGTAACAAATTCACAATGTTATTGATTAAAGAAAGCTATGTTGTTGATCAAGATGATTAAAAAGCAGATCAGCTTGCAAAATGCATACAGCATCAGATACTGTTTTACGTTTAAACAATATGCCCTGTTTGCAGTCAATCTGTAACGTTTTTCCAAGATAGGTGGCAGCTTGTCCACCTGATGTGCACATTGGAAAGAATCAGTATCTGCAGAGCCTCCTAGTTCAGAGAATGTCAGCCAATATGTTTTACATATTTCAGTGTTGCAATTGAGCAATTCCAAACTTGCAGAAGTGCTTTTGGCTTGTCACATTATCAAGTCTACACTGTTAACTGCCAACAATGTTAACTGTGCATGCACGTTTGGAAATCTTTAGAAAATGTTAGGTCTAAACGTTCACCTATTGCACGTGGTCCTTCGTATATAGTGGTCATATTTTGCCTGCACTATCCTTAGTGCTATGGCATGATCCACAAATTCTTGAGCCCGTGCCATTGACCACGAATGATCATGCCATTCACTCACAAGTGACACAAGTGTAGGCACTGAGCATGTGAAGTGGCTTTGTCATTTTGAACATTAGTCAATGCAGATACCCAGTGCCCAGACTTGTGCCACTTTTGGGTAAACAGCTCACTTATATTTACACGCTGAATGCTATGTGTAAAAACAATATGGCAGTGTGCATCACTTCCTTCAGATAAAAGCTCCAGGGTAAGATTCTAGTTCGCAGAAGGAACATCTTTATTCTGACTTTCTCATTCATCATTCGTGTTACAAAATCGAAGTGACGAGATGTGCCAGAAGGCATAACACAAAAACCTAAAATGGCCAATGGTCGTGTTTAGCGACATGTGCAGAAGAAGCACAGGATGACTAAACTAGCAATATATGCTGAAGCAGTGAGAAAGCCGGGATTAGAACAGACTAGCCAAGAAGCAGTAGTAGAAGAAAGATTGGGTTAGGCAAGAGCAGCCATAGAGGCAGCAGTGTGTCCAAGCTTCGTCACGACGGGGTAAACCTCAGCGAGGCGGCATGAAGCTCGACTTGCACACAAAGCGTTACGCGAAAGAATGCGACAGTCGTCAGTATGGCACAAGTGAGAAGTCAGCAAAAAATATGACAGTGCACGCACATCCCACCAAATTTAGAAAAGATAAGCACACAGAGTAACGTAATCATGGCCTCTCAAATAACTGGCCAAATTTCTTGGAAAAACAAAATCCCAGTTTCGTCACAAATTTTGACACAGAATGTGTTTTAAGGCTGGGCTTGCAAAGCGACATATTACATTTGACCGACAGTACACAATATAAGCAACATAGCTCCATTGGGGTGTTGTTTACATTCCCGCTAAATTTAGTGCAAAAATCCCGACGTCATGCGACACTCTGACAGCATGTGGCGTCATGTGACATTGTGACACTATCGTATTACATGAAAGCACTATGTCACAGAGCCACGTGACCTTACAATGTTATGGGACGCCCGACTCATTCGTAACATATTCCGTGCATCTCACGATTGAGACGGCTTAAGTTTTCTCCGAAGTCTTGGTGGCCTTCGAAGCTACGAGTCACAGTGAAAACACGCAAGACATCAGCAAAACTAATTTTACTCCTGAAAAAGAATGACAGCACTCACTCCTGGTCGATCTGCTGCTCCGTCGTCAGGTTGCGCGGCTTCGGGGGTTTGACAACAAAGTCGGAGTCGGCAAACTGGCCGTCCCCTTCCACGTTGATGAGCGTCTCCCAGACGACGTCTGCCTCGTTCAAGAAACCCTGATCCGTCACCAGCTGGTACATGTGGTCCTGCCACGCGCACCGGCACATGTCATCAGCGGAAGTCGTCGCGGCAACGAATCTCAGTCGGTTGTGCTGAACGCTTCAAAAGACAACTGAAGAGCCATAAAGGCTTAACTGCATTAAGAAGACCGATGGGCAGCCTCTGTCTTCTGAAAAACAGATCATTCCCTGAACGTTCTCCTCTCCCAACCCATCAAGTTTAAAAGAGGGGGACGCTTACGGCTTGGAGGGAAAAGTACCAAACTCTGGGGACTAGGTTAGGAGAGAAAGGCGGAGCCGGCGACAGCGGAAATCACAAAGTTTTATGGAGCAATTACAAAGAAGTTCAACAGTTTGCATGCATGTCACTAGACCCGTCATCATTCAACCCTGCCCGAATTAAATTTTTGTTCTTGTCGTATCACAACACACAGTGACAACAACATGCGATGAGCTAGGGTGCACGTGCCGAAAATGACGCTACATTTGTGTGACAGGCATATATACTTTGTTCGCTCTTAAGCTGACAGTATGGTGGGAGCCACACAATCGCCGTATCAATAAACCGCTCGTCTTTCATTTCTTGACCCGGTTCTTTGTGCATGGGTACGGGCAGAAGCGTGAACCAGTAACAAAGGATAGACTTGTGACTGATCAAACAAGCATGCAGCCTCTGCCACATTGTCGGGTTAGGGGTGACAATGTCCGCAGTACAACACCACACAATAATTTAGCATTACTACGAGAAGTATAGAGGCAGACTCATTGTGCTGCCTTAAAGTTCCTGCTTAGGAAGCACGAGCATTGCCTCTCAATCTCTAAGCAAAAAAAAAAAAAAAATATGTAGCTTAGGAAAGCAAGCTCGTGGTCGCGACGTCTCCGTCAAGCTCGTCGGAAGAAAGGGGTCCCCACCTTGTGTTTGTGCAGGGTGATGAAGTGATTGTTGCGGAAGAGCACGCACAGTTCGTCCTCCATCAGTGTGGTGTTCAGCTCGCACAGGCCGTGGTAGGTCAACTGGGTGGCCGTCCTCTCCAGAAACGTCTCCGCTATGAGGGCTGCAAGATAGAGAGGAGGGAAAGCTCGGAAAACAAGTTAAAAATAAGATTTTAAACACCACTAAAAAAAGATGACAATGTCAATGTTTATACTATGCTTATATCATTGCCAGCCTTGCATGAGTATTTCGTATGCACCTAGGCATTGCTTATTGTTTCGCAATAACTCAATTCCACATCTCTAACACAAGTGTTTATATGCAAGAATAATTATTCTAACAAGCCCTCCATTTCAGTTTCGCATTCCATTGTAATAGACAGGCAGCTTTAAATATATATTTTTTAAAAAGTGTGCATCAAAATTGAATAGGTACCGTTACAGCATCCCAGTGCTTATGCTTATCGCCCAGCTGCAAAATACTCTCAGTGGCCCGTGGACGCGCGAGTCGTGCCCGATATTCCACACATGACGGCTACCCCTATTCCCAGAACGTGTTCCAGAGCCCACTAGACAAAAAAGGCAGCACGCAGAAGGCGATTCATGAAAAGGTCTATAGACCTCTTCCGTTTACTCTCATCCCCAGCCATGCAGTTAACACACCCGGAGTGGGGAAAAAAAAAATAAATAAAGCGAGACATTACGTTATATAATCTAAATCCCAAGGCACGGAGAAATTAAACCCGGAACATGTAGAAAAAAAAACTTCAAGAGGCAAAACAAGAATGAGTGACAGTCGCGATTCAACCACGAGCACCTCCCAGTGGCGTGGTAAGAGCAAAACTATGTTTCCCCCTATGAGAAGCAACGTGCGTTAACTCGAGTTACTACCGATTGCGAGAAGGAACCGAGCCCTCACCTTCGGTGACGACCTCTGGCTGGGGAGAGCACTTGTTGTTGATGATCTTCTCCACGAGCTGGTTGTAGCTGCAGTTGCCCACGGCCGCCAGCACCTCGGGACTCTCCGGGTCCAGCAGCCAGCCGTGGTAGAGCGGGATGCGCAGCAGGTCAAACACTATGCACTCCGGGGTGTACTCAAAGTCCTTCACCCTGCGGGCACGAGGGGAATCGCCTCGGTCACGTCCCACAGCCCGCGGCGCCGTTTGACAACCTTTCCACACTTTCTTGCAAAGTGCCTACACGAAAACATCCTTCCGAATACCCCCCTTTTTCCGAGACACCATTTTGCGACCTTCGCCTCGCATCCAGAACAGCTACTGCAAACACCTTCCGAAATTTCTAGATTTCCACTGATGCCATTTTACTTCCTTTGTCTACAATGATCCAGACCATTTAGTACAAACATTTCCCCCAAATCCACAACCCTTTTCTTTTCTTGGGGGGGCGGGGGGATTCCGAGTGAAACCGTTTAATGATACATGCTTTTTGCCTGCACTTTAAGCATTTCGTAGTTAACCATCAACACCGTCCGAAGTTTCCCATTTTTTTTACAGAATCTCAGTAAAACCATTTTATAGCATGAGCCCACTTGCATATAGGCAATTTGCCAGATGAACATCTTCCCAAATTTAAATTTTTTGTGACTCTTCCTCGCAACAGCATTCAGCGACATTTGCCTACCATAGACCGTATCACTAAGAAAAGCGGAGAGAAAAAATGCCCTCCCGCTCTCACCCCGTGCATCGTCTGCTCCGCCACAAGGGGCTGTACCTAACATGCGGCTGGCGTTCAAACTCAGTTTGAAATTGTGTCATTTTGGAAATTTCGAGCGCAGATGCACGGATTTTGATATGCAAGTTATCGTGTAGTGCTATGATCAATAAAAAGACTAACCAGGTCCAATTGCACTGTTACCTGCGTGCAAATAAATAAAGGAAATGGGGAAAACTGTGTCAGAGTGGCCGGTCTCTCCGGCAAAAAGTAAATCAGATTGGTGCAGCTTTTTTACTATACAAATTTCGTGCTGGTGTAGGCCCTTAGCGACAATGAGTGGAAATCTAAAATAATAAATAAATACGTGCTCTCCTGACGCAATAGATGGAGTGGTTGAGGGTAGTACTGCCGGCTGACTCCACTGCTATTAAAGTAACGAAACAGGGATACACTAGTTGATCATTTACTGAAATCAAACAGAGCGCAATAGGCTGATTTTGGAGTAGCCATAACTATACTAAAAACGCGAACCACTTCACAACAGCAGCCACGAGCAAGAGTTCGATGTTCCGTACAGCTTGCTGGTACAGCCCAAAGATGGAGAATGGCAACCTCTCGGTTTGTCATCTGCCAGCGGAATCGGGCACATACCATATCTCTCGTTTTACCCTGCCGCACCTGCTGAACTTTCCGGATATATGGAGAGGGGGCTGCGGTCGAACAATATGGCGCCGCCCTGAGAGCGCTAAATGGAACGGTCTATAGCACTGAAGGCATGCACCATAAACACCTCTCTGAGTTTCTTGAGCTTTCCAGGATTTACCATGCTATTAAATTAAAATCACACCGAGGTCACCTAGTCTGGGGGACGTAAGTTCACATCGAGGCAGCGTAAACTTATGACAGAAAAACGGATACTTCCACCAACCTTAGAACAGCAACCAAGCAAACGGCAACTAAGAGCTTACCCTGTAAACCGCACGTTGACATCCAAACCAGTCTGCAGCTTCGGTAAGATGGCCATGGCATCATGCATGTTCTGCTCGTAGTTCAACTGCGCACTCTCCGGAATGTCCTGCACCAAAGCCAAGACAGAGTGTAGAGCTTTCGTATGTCAGAAGGGCAACAAAAGTGTTCATTTTCAGAAGCGATGCACGACAAGGGTCGTCACCAGGTAACCATTCACCTTGGGTATCGAAGACAGGATGCAGTCTCCCAGATGCTCCATCAGCTGTTCTACCGTGATCACATCAAGAGTGTGTGGAAGCTTGATGAGCCCTTTGAGTGTCAACACGTTGATGATGGCAATCAGCGGACAGGGGCCGTTCTCATTCTGAAACAAGACAACAGAACAGGCAGCGTTAGTAGGACATGGCAGCAGCATTACAGCAACAGTGTGTCAACATCACATCAATGTCACAGACATTGTATCAACGTCGCAACAACGTCATGGCAACACTACAGTAACGTTACCATAATGTCACTGAAACACTAATGAAATCTACCCTGACTGGGGCATATGCCGCCTATGATATTTGTCTCGTAACTACGGTTGTAGGCGACAGTGACGCCTCGAAATTTCACAGCCGTGAACAAAGGCTGAAATCAACAGAAAGCATGGCATCCTTTTGAGGCAGCATGTCCCCCGAATTTCTAGTCTCTCACTGGCTTTTAGAGTTTTATTTAGTGCTTTTTTTGCTTGTTTTAAAGAAAAGGTAAATTGTTCATTAATTGGTGTTCACTGTATGAATTCCGTACCCTTAAGCTAAAACTTGGTAATGCCGAAAAGCCCTTTTTAAACTTGAAACACTAAAAATTTGGCAAAAAATGTGTATCTTGTTTATATATAGGACTGTACAGTCAATGAAAAGCTAGAATCATACCTGCCAAGTTAGAAAAACCCAAACCAGGGGAAAAAAAAAGATAAAGGACTACATTTTTTTTTAAAGAAATAATGGTAATGAATTTACATGAAGGCAACTTCCTTAATTTTTATTGCACTGCTTAAAGGGATTGTCCGGTCGAATTATGTATTCAAGAAAACAATTGAATATCATTGCTATTGCCTCGAGACACATCATACGTGCAATATCTGAATTTGATGTGCCCCTCTGCATGAGTAATTGAATTTATACTGGTCAAATGGCATCCTAGCGTAAACGCTGTTTTTGTTGGCAACATTGGAGCTCCGACGGAAGCGGAAGTCGCGGGAGGCGCGACTGACTAGGCTAGATCCAGTATCCGTTACTGTTGATCACCCGATACAAAGGGGAGAGCCGCAGACTCCAATCCAATCCAATCCAAAGCAAAGCAAACATTTCTGTCTCGTCGTTTGCCTGCGAGTGGACGCCGCAGCTTGCTTCGTTTTTGTTGCTGCGCTCGACTTGTTTCGTGAATGGGTGAGATTTTTGTTGCGCGGTTGGGTGCCACAACCACCGGGCAACACATGCGAGCCAAGATGTGACGAGCAAACTGGATCGTCGCCGTGTTTATGGACTGGGTTCCCCCATCGAAATCGAGATCCCTCTTAAGCAGCAATCATCTCACAGAAGAGAGCTACAAGATGAGCTCTAAGCGGACAGAAGGCTCGTAAGCTGAGGTGTGATGCTATGCCAACCTATAGCACTGCCCAGTCGGTGCCAGGGGCACAAAACGTGTATTGGCACCTGCCTTTCCCTGAATGCCTGCACACCGCGCAGCACTGTGTAATATAAGTGCAATAAAATACAATAGAATACAATACAAAACTCCTCGCCCAAATCGGATCAATGGGTTTGATTATGCAGTGGAATTGAAACCAATAGCTAGGCCATCTGGAAACGATGCCAAAAATTGTATTTAGCATGCGTGCAGCCAGATTCTGTTTGACCCGCGTGTGAAAATGAGCCAGCGTGGCTACGACTTACCAAGCTCGACCAAGTCAAGTGACGACATGCATTTGAACGATTCCTCGTTTGCCTTCGACCCGCGAACATCGCCTCCAAGGGAACGACCCGCAGCCTCATTACCGGTCCAGTGGTTCCACCGCTATGCATACCCAGATGCTGCTTCGTATACCTAGGTGATGCTTCAGAGGCAAAATCCGCATCCTTTTCTTTGCAAGCGCTGCTAGTTTGGTCGGCGGCCGTTGTAGTTGTGTTTGTGCAAAACGGCATATGTTTGCTCGAAGCTTATGGCTGTTTTCGAGCAATATCCTGCTAAAAGGTGTGATTTTTGTTGCACACGCTTGGAAATTGCATTAAAAGGAACGTATTTCAGTAGGATACAGCCTACGAGACTATATATATCGAAACAAAATACAAGACACCCACCGACCAACGCTTGTTATTCTGACCATCCGACAAATGTTTTGCGTTTTGTGACGTCACAAAGCAGTTACGGATGTCAGTCATTGACACTGGCAAAATTCTGGGAGCAGTTTCGTACATACGCTCATGACAGGTTTAATTAGTACGGGGAGATCATATATCGAAATTAAACCGACGTTTGTCTATATGATGGCTCCCTTGACGTAACGGACGCAAAAACTTGGGTACCTCCGGTTTCGACCCGATAATCCCATTAAGCTAGCGAGATACGGTAGGGCCTCACTATTGTTACTGCCACCGTCTGTTGTAACAACAAAAACTCTCTAAGTATGTGTGTGCACGTGCCCGTGCGTGTGTATGTATGTTTAAAAAAAAGTTAATTTTACCCCTTTTTGTAAGGTTAAGTTTTGTTTTTCGGGAGATTTTCCTGTCAATCGTACTAATGTACCAATAGATATGGCTGGAAGACTTGGCAGGTAAGTAAATGCATAATAAACTAAGGCAGGGGGTCCTCAAATTTTTCCTGATCTCGACGAATCCCCTTATTTTTTTTAAAGGCAGCCAAGGAACCCTTTTTGGTCTTGACATTGACGCAACAAAGTGGTGCAGAAGTTTCCAGACCTTGTAAACCATAATGCACATGTATACTAGGCATGTTCGGAACACATTAATGCACCAATGAGTGACTCGGATTTGCTGAAACAACGCTTTAACTGGAAATACACATTACTTTGGGGTAGGGACGGTCGAGGAAATTTTGCAGCTCGGGGGAACCTCTGAGGGTGCTCTGGAAAACCCTTGGGGTCCGTGGGAACTCAATTCGAGAACCCATGCGGAAGAGGGTGGAACCTCAAAAGTGCTGAAAGTCCACTGGAAGCTACATATGAGAGAGCGTAACCCACTTATAATGATGTCACATATAACGATGTATTGCTTATAACGATCAGTTTCTAGAGTTTCTAGACTGGAAAGGACCAGTTTCTACTCCAGATACAACGATAATCGGTTATAACGATTGAAATTTCGGATTTCCTCATTATTGTTATAAGTGGGTTTCACTGCATTGCTATGAGTCAACTGAAAACTACATATGATATTGCTAAAAGTCCACTGGAAACTACATATGATATTGCTAAAAGTCCACTGGAAACTACATATGATATTGCTAAGAGTCCACTGGAAACTACATATGATTCACAAAATGCCACACCTTGAAAAAGGTAAAATTCAAGCATACATCCAAAAAGGGTCAGACTTCACTTTAAGGATGGGCTCTACCTGCATGGAGCAGGTAGCCCGACCACCTTGCCCCAGAGTCACCTGTGTGATGATGGGCGTCTTCTGGTTGTTCCATCGCATCCACTTAATGTGGTACAGGGACTGGGGAGGCTCCTCGCTCGAAGGACTGGTAACTGTGGTCTCCGAGTGACAGGCCTGCGGCGACCGCACTTGGCACGGGGGTTTCTCCGAAGTGCTGACGCGGTCCCCCTGTGCCAACGGCATTGCGCTTGCACCCAAAGGTGGCTGCTGCTGCTCTTGCTGCGTGCTGGGCTGCTCCATGGTACCTGTGTGTTGCAGCGATTAAAAGCACAGAACCGTAGGCTACGCACAAGTAGCGGCCATTAAGATGTACAACCGACGTCTACAAGCTACTGCCCCCCCCAAACAATTTACAAGGTTTCTTTAGCCGCAAAAATGAACTATGCAACGCCAAACGCTTGGCCTCAGCTTAAATGTAGCGCCAGCGGCCTGATCCAGATGTCAAAGTTTCGGAACCAACCGCCGTCATATTTGAAAGTCACAAACGATTTTCTGAAATTTTCAACGGGAAAATGGCGGCCGACGGAGTTCTTGAATACGTCATGCTGAATGGCACCGGTTACCGGGAGCCGGGCGAAAACAGGCCCCATTTTTTCAACCTAAATTTTCGGAAAATCGTTCTTACTTTTGAATAAGATAATGGTTACTTCCGAAACTTTGGCATATGGTTGGCTACCTTAGGCGGAAGCTGGGCGTTCAGCAATGCGGGGTGTCCCCCCAACTTTTTGGGGGCCCAACCCGCAGATTGTAAGCCTTCCAGGGCTCCCTAATAGATGGCCCCACAGGGTCCCATTGTCGTAAGCGGCCACAAGTGGTTGCAACGCAGTCAACCACACTCAAATGCCAGTGTGTAAAGCAGTTTTAGGGGCATGAAGCCATAGGCGATGCGCTAAAGTAACAATTAAGATGTGCAACCATCAGCTATGTGTAAACTGCAATGACAGAGAAGGTGCAACTGTAAAATAGGCACAAACTGCAACGACAGACAGTGTGCAACTGTAAGGTAGGCACAAGCTGCAACCAAAGACAGTGTGCAACTGTAGGCGATGCGTGAGTAACAGCCACTATGATGCAAAAGTGGGTCATTCTCCCAAATATTAAGCATTTAGGTTCATGAATAGTTAATTTGGTGACATTAACCTTACTTCACTGTCTTACGTTGATCAATAGGCAATTCATTTGTTTGTTTTTCTTAGCAAAACACAGCTGGGCTCCCAAATGTTCATTAATGTCGTTGACAACAAATATTGCAGAATATACTTGAGATAAATGAGCGATAGCTATTTGATGGCTTTATATCTATATATATTTTTTTGCTCATCAAAATATGCTTTGTTTTTATTTTGCAACATTAATATTTGCAACAACATACGCAAAAAGGATAGACTCAAATTTTGTGTTTAGATTAGTAAACATTCTTGCGAGGGCTGCTTCTTTTGCAAAAGCTTCTTGAAATGTGCCACCTGGTCCGACCAAAAAGTAATTACTGTAGAATACCGAGCATCCGCCCATTCCAGATTAAGCGCCCATTCCTAAATTCGTAAGATCTGATAAAATATGCACAGTACATTGATATGTAAAATTGATGGCCGGACAAGTGCCCGTCCCCGATTTTTTACGATTATCTCTAAATTTTGAGTGGGCGCTTGCCCGGTATTTTACGTAAGCTGTTCTTAAAGCACAATATGATTTATTTGGGAGCATGTCCACTTTTTGAAGAACAGTTTATTACCTTTACAAAAACCTAAAAAAAAAAAATTATCACGCAAAAAGTATACAGTAAAAACATTTTCAGCATACCAAAGCATTCTTTTTTTCTTTTTCCTTTTTTTTTGGGGGGGGGGGGGGGGGAAAGGGGGTGGATGCAAGCGGCACAAATAGTATTTGGACCTTGCATTTTGTGCCCGTCATTAAAAATTCTGCCGTAATATACCGCGGTAGAGACCACTCCGTTCAAGTGACCACTATAAACATTTCAAAACTTGGGAATTTTGCAAATTATATGTTAAAAACACAAGGTAAGGAAGGGGGAAAGAAAATCTATTTTAGCTTTTTTTGCAATTTGAGAACTTTTTTGTTTTCTTTTCTTAAAAAGTTAAAGAAAAACACTTCTTTTGAATGGAAGTAGCGGGTAACCACGCCCCCTTTTGGGATACGCTGCTCGTTTATCCATAAATTTTCTAACACAAAACATTAACACCAGATTTAAAAGCATGTTTGGAATGAGCTACATATTAAACAATCTTGCAACTATTGCACAGTTCTTTTTTTAAAAGGGGTGGTGCAACTATATTCAATTAGCATGTTTTTCACTTTACACGAGTTTACAGGCATTAGGGGGACCCAAGTCTAATCACACGCAACGCCACTGACCAAGAAACTTCTTTGTTGCCACGTAATTTTAAGGACAAAAGCAAGCATTTTTGCAGTAGTTCAGTAGAAAAAGTAGAAAATTGTAGTTCAGTAGAAAAAGCACAAAATTTGGAGCAAGATTATATATACAGACAAAAATACAATAATTACAGATAAAAAAATTCCTCAACATGGACTAAAATGCATGGGGTGTAGAGAACTTGACCAGATAAGCCCCCGTCTAGATTAACCCAGTTTTCAGAGGAAGTGGGGTGGGCACTTCTCCGGTATTTTACGGTAATTAGCCATGAAGTAGAATGATTACATACTGAATACCAATGAAAGATTTTAATATTTTTTTAAATGACGCGACTGACCCGTTGAGACACACCTGATTGTTACGCAACTGACTGTTATACGACCGTTATATGAGTGACCGTTATACGACTGACAATTTGGGCAAAGTTATTTTTTATCAAAAGATGCTGCAGTTCGAATTTAACATATTTACCAACAGATGAATGCATGTCTATTTTGTCATTGCAAATTACTTCTCATCGAGATATTATGATAAATAGCTCATAAAAGATATGTTAAACCACTGAAACATCAAAAAAGGTAGGCATTTATTTCTATTTATAATAATGCTAATGAAACTTTAGGTTTTGGCCCAGGGTGAATGGCTCTTGTAGTAAGTCTTTCCCGACAACGTGTTAGAGAGTCTGCATACTTACAAATTAAATATGGTTAGCATAAGTTTTTAAGTAAATTTGCATATCTCTCGTTATACCACCGACATTCAAGTCGGTCACACTTGCTTCTTTTCAAAATTTGTAAAAATATAAATACTTTAGCAACACTGGACACTGAGATCACATCATAAATAAATTAGAACTGGCGTATGTGTATGACTTTTTAAATCAAACTTATAAAAGTTTATTTCGCTAAAACAAAAGTTCATGCCTTTGAAATTTGTGTGGCAGTTAGAAGATACAAAACAAATGCCGAAACTACACAAAAGGCACAATCTAAAATAATTTTTGTTTCTAAAATAATCTTCACTATGAGAGTTTGCAAATATTTCTCCTTAGGACGCCCTCATGCTATGCTATACAAACTATATTTTAGGAATGATGGAAGGAAGGTGTTTGAAAGTTCCTTGACAGTCACATTAAAGGGTAACTGCAAAGAAAAAAAGTGTATTGTTAAACAGCCTAATTGGGACAAGCATGTCACAAAACAATTTTTCCGACACAAACAAAATTTTTTACAGCAATATTTATTGCGCGAGACTGATTTTAGTTTGCGGCTATTTCGTCCGTTTTAAATCGTGCGCCACAACGTTGGTATTATACGTCACGTAGTGGCTACGTCATGGAGTGACATATGACAGCCACTCCGCGCGCGTCGAAAGAGCGGGAGTCTTGGACTAAATTACGTCCTGTAGCGTAAATATTGTAACAATTTTTTTTTTTTTTTTTTCACGGAAGATTTGTTTTGTGACATGTTTCTCCTTATTAGGCTGTTTAAAAAAACATTTTTTTTCTTTGCAGTTACCCTTTAATGTTAAATTTTCGGGAGAGTGGCCCAACTATAGTCTATGCACAAGTTCCAACAATCGAGAAGGTACAACTGTAGGCTACTCGTAAGCTAAAAGCATAGGGAACACACAACTGGAGGCATATGCAAAAGTAATATGGCAATTAGGGTACACAATTGTAACCTGCGCGCAAGTTTCAATGACTGAGAGGGTGAAAATGTGGGCTATGAGCGAGTTGTAACCGCAGAAGCAACGCACAAACGGGATAGACGCGCGAGCTGAAGCTTTGATGACTGAACAACTGCAAGCTAGACACATATTTGAACAACTGAAAGTGCATGAATCATAAATGACAACTGTCATTTACGAGAATTGTGCATGAGAGATGACATTCATGCATGAGAGTTTCTCCCAATGCGCATTGGGAGAAATGTCCCAATGCACATATCTCGAACATGAGAGTCGTAAGAATGGTACATGTATAACTCTTTTCTGCTCTATCTATCAAGCTGTGACAAATGCCGAGCATGCAACTGTATGCCTGTAATACCTCAGAGTTGTATCGGCCGAGTAAACAACCGTTTCCTGTGCTGCCTACAGCTTGCAATAACCGTGAGAACGAAAATGATATCCATCATATATTTGCAATTACTACAATTAAATGCCCACAACTGTTTTACAAGCTGCTCCAGCTGCATACCGGCACGTCGTTTGACGTCCATTAACTACACTTGGTGGGACACTGCACTTGCGTACCTGTCAACCGGCGTCTAAGCGCATTACTTTGACGTCCACTATCCATTTAGAACAGGGCATCTGACTAGAGTGACGCTTGTTCAGCTGCACTCAAAAACAGATTTTGCATTGTGTAAAAATGGTGATGCTGAAAAACCAAAACAACTGCTCAATTTGCATGCAGCTGTGGATATGAAAGAAAATTTCATTGAAGATAAACACTCATGAACTAACAATGTGTGCTGCGATAGGGCAGAGAGAAACAGATTAAGCAACAACCAGATAAGTGAAAACAACTGGCTATCACATTTAGCTGATTACCGTGCAAGTACCACTAAACATACACAATAGCCAGTTGATCACACGTTCCCCGAGAGCACAAATAGGTAACGAAACTTTGTAAACTGCCTTTGGCTACTACAGAAGCCACGGCGGTCGAGGTACTACTGGAGCTACCATTCACGCAACCGGTGTTAAAATCAACTCAAATATCAACTAGTCAAATCTCCCCCTCTGACGTAGAGTACGGCAGCTGCCAACATAGATGACACGACAAAAAAATGTAAACGCCCAACGAACCGGCACTTTAGCAACCACGGACTTATGCGAACGGTACAGCTTCATTAAATTGGCTGCGTTGAACTCTTTATGCCACTTACTCTGCTCAGTACTTACACAAATTAGGTTACAGGCTTCGCGCTGGCGATCGTGCGGATTCAGATGCCACTACGAAGGTCGGAGGAGTCGGTGTAGCGGTATTTGCGTGCGGCGGCGCAGAAATGAGTTATGTCGCCGTCCTTCAAACTGCGTGCAAACTCGATTGTACGCTCGTAGGACGCGGCTTGTGGTTACGGAAGTTAATCAAAGGGGCGGTAATGGAGGGACACTTATTTACACTGTCCGGGCTCGCTCCACTGAACATTGCCTCATCCCGTTTCTTTAGTTTGCAAAAAGGCAGACTGCTGGGGAGATGAGCTTTGTCGCGGGATCACGGTGTGCTAAAAAAATAAAATTGAAAAATAAATCTTACCCCGACGAAACGGTTGAAAGAGGATTTTTCAAGCGTATAAATATTTGACATTGCAGCCCCCGTTCAACAGGTTCGGAGGATTTCCATTGCAAAAGTCGTCCGTTCTGCGTAGGTTGTCACCGAGAATCGAGCTGTCGCTTGCGGCGCGGTCTCCTGGACTGCGGCGAAGGAGTTTGTAAAAGTCTTTAAAAAAGAACGACACTTCTTTACACGTGTTTGTAAAAACACTCGGCCACCCAAACGCCTATGCACAACTCTTGTTTTGGATTCCTGGGGGATGACGGCCGGACACACTCTCGTCATCGTAGAGTAGTTTCGTACGACACTATTAAACAAATAAAATCGTAACAAGAAAACATAAATTGCCTAGAAACTATCCTTGATAAATACTTAGCAAGTGCGTTCTTTTATTATTTATTTATTTCAACGTGCAATATTCGGAAGAGAATGTGCGAAACAATTGGCTAAGAGTAACCGAAATCAAAAGCTATGCTGGTTACCCTGAAACATAAAACAAAATAAATAAGTTTTCTCCATGCTAAAAGGGTATGCATGATGTCTGTGGCAAAAAAGTTTGTCCCGGTTTTTGAGCGGTTTCCCGAGCATTACAAGCGTTTTCTGGAAGAGCTTAAAAAAACTCCGACTCCCGTTCACTACAAGCCTCCTAAAGAAAAATATGTGCAGAACCCTGAAACGAAAGAAATGTACGTAAGTCGTCGGCTCGGCCATGCGGGGTTACGAACACCAGCGAACCTCGCTGGTCCCATCCGAAAAGATCCCCGGGTGATTGAGATTAATCCTCAGAACTTTGTTTGGTGTGTGGCAGACATCTTTCGTGTGTTTGGCGCGTAGAACCCGCAACTAGCAGTTCCAAACCGATCGCGGGGCTTCTCTCTCTCTCTCTCTCTCTATGTGGAGTGTAAGTTCGTCTGCTTGTCGCGCAGGGCTTGAACTGGCGTCAGAACGAAGGACTCTGATTGGCTCTGATGGAGGGATAGTGGGTAGACCTCAAGGCAGCTAGCACTGAGGTCTACCCACTATCCTCTTTATGCCCCTCCTCTTTCTCTCTCCCTCCCCCCCCCCCCCCCCCCCCCTCCTGCGCGTGAAGTGTCTTCGGAAGAGCGGCTCTAACCTTGTCATTAACTTTCCATGTTTTCTTCTTTTTTTTTTTTTTTTTCTCCTAGTACACGAGTGGAAGACGTACCCATTCCTGTGATCTATCCCAAAGAATGTCAGCAAGGAATCTGGGGTGGAGAAGGGATTATTAGCGGATACCGACGCCGGAAGTATGGCCGCTACAGCAAGTACTTCACTCCCATCCTCAAGCGTGCCGTCGTATACAGCGAAATCCTCGACAAGTACATGCGTGTGACACTCACCGAGAGGACCGTGTTGCTGATTAACCAAAATTTTGGGTTCGACCAGTACATCCTCAAGGTAGGCTTCACCCTTTGTACAGGGAGCGAAACTGAGGCAGAAGGGGGCTTGAGAGTTTGCGGTGATGTCTGAGCGCTAATCTCTGATTGGAGGATTTAGTGGGTAGACGCAAAGGCTAGCTGCCTTTGCCTCTAGCCACTGTCTTTCTCCAACTAGAGCAGACGAGAAGGTTGTCTGCCCCTGGCGTAGAGGGAGCAATTGCACTAGGGTCTGGCGCACGACCTACTGTAATTCTGACCTGCCCGCAGAATGGCTCTTATGGAAGACGCTGTCGCCGATGAAGTGCGTCGCCTTGCCATTGGGGGCGCTCAGTAAAGGCTTTTCTGCAACCCAGAGGTGGTTCACAGCCTGCCTAGCGCACAGTACGCAAGGCACGCGGCTGGTGATATCTGTTTCTCAGGAATAGATACTCTAGCGTGGTGCCAGCAGGCTGCAATAGCAGTAGCACATAGCAGGGTGCGTCGCTCTCGTGTTTGCTTAAATCGAAAGTGCGCGTTTCTCAGGCGCAAGGGCGTCATTTTTTTACCCCCGCCTGCTCTTGTGCCATCTTCGAAATAAGGTGCGTTCTTGGATCTCCCAAAAATAGCCACTGTGCTGGCAGCGAGCCGCTCTAGTGATGAATCGGTCACGCGACCACCGACTGACGAATTGATCCCGCGAGGCCCCAAAGCAGAGCAGGTCAGGACCAGATAAGGCCGTCACACCTTGCGTGCCTTCGATTGATACGGGGATACCCTAGGACAGTGGTTCCCAGCCATTGATGTTTTGCGGACCCCTTGTGGATCGGCAGAGATGATGGAGGACCCCGTTCATGGTGGAGGAAAGAGAGGTTAATTATGATAGTGATTTAATAAATGGATATAACCTGGTGCTAGTGTGAAGTAGACTTCTCTTATTGACATATACAGGAGAAAACTCGCCCAAAAATTGCAACGTTTTCTCTCCGTCTAAGAAAAGACAACTTTTACTGCCGGGCTTGGCTGATGAGGCCATGGGCTTCGTGGGCCCCCTTTTGAGAACTACTAGGAAACAAATACATTTGGCAAAATCATCTAAAATGATTTCCAAGACGATGCGTACTGCAAGGTTCATCTAAAAAAAACCGCATCTCCACGTGGTGAATGATGTTGATTGGGGCGAAGCTCTGGTGGTAATTGTCTGCGTAGACGCTGAGTCGCAGCATGCCGAGCCTTTCGTTCGTTTTCATCCATGTCACGCTGCGGTCAAATGCTCAAATGCGTATATAACCACGTTCCATACCACACATTCTCTTTCTGACATGGATGAAAACGAACGAAAGGCTCGGCATGCTGCGGCTCACCGTTTACGCAGACAAGCACCCACCAGAGCTTCGCCCCATTCAACATCATTCACCACGTGGAGATGCGTTTCCTTTTTTTTTTTCCCTACACGAGCACGGGAGCACGTGAGCTTACGAGCAGGAGCACGTGCATCTGACGGCGGACGGACATACGGACATGGCTAGCCCCTAAGGAGCTTCGCCCCTAAAAAGCCTTTATGCAGTGCCGCAAAGTCATAGCGTGACGAAATGCTGCCGCCACAGCCTGTACTACAAGGTGGGCGCTAGCAGATTCTTCTGTGAACAGGTCAGGATTACAGTAGGTCGTGGTCTGGCGTCTGCTAGTCGTAGCAATAGCTGTCTTAGCTTTTCCTCGGCTTTCGAAAATCCATTGGTTCTTTGCGAACGAGGACTTAGTATTCAAGAAAGGGGAGAGGAAATACTTTGAAAGGTATATTGTTTCTCTCAACTAACAACTACCAGACGCGTTCCAACGAATGAGGAACCCAAGGCTAAGATGTCGTCTGCTTCGAACCCAGGAGCAGCTGGAGGGATGGAGCTTTGTCGCACACGTGATCACTCCCTCTCACTACGTCTTTCGTCCTCTTCCTCCTTATTCGCGACAAGATGTTTCGGTCGTGACCTCTTATGGTTCCAACCAGTGTAGAGGGGGGGACGGGCTTGTGTTGTATGGAACAGGAAAGGGAATTTAATCCCTATGCAGACTGTTATCCTCCAGGCAGGGGAAAGACTTGCATAGGCAAAGAAGAGGGATAAAGTGGTCATGTGAAGTCATGACCAGGATTATCAATAGACCTGTTGCAATGTGCGCAGCGCCACGACAGCAGGGCATTTTGGGAACCCAAATATCATGCGCTTTCTCGTTGCGACTGCGCAGAGTTGGGGCAGCTACCACCGGCAGCCGTCGCAGCCATTCGCCAGAGCCTTGTACGTCGTCGTTGGCGCTCCGTATCCATGCTGCCTGCAGTATATGTAATGCGTCATGTCGTAACTTACCTTCACGTTTTGCAGTGTCACCGAATCCACTTTGTGTAACATGATGTGGATACTCCGCTTGTTCAGTAGTAGTTACTTTGGATGGCAGCTGTGGCAGGGTTCGACAAAGCATCGGTGTAGCAGACGACGGAGATGGTGCAAAGAGGGGGGTTGAGAAAGGGCCAGCTTTGCCAGCCAGCCGACGTAACAGCCCCTCCCACATTTGCGTGGGCTCGCTTGGGCTCACCTGCTTGAGCGGTGTTGCCTCGGTAATGTGCACCCGCTCACATATGTCGCATGGTAGCGGGAGGAAAGACGATGGGAGGTAGCGTACCGAGGACTGCCATAATTCGTTGCGGGATTGGGATTTTTGCGAAAGGTTTATTGCGAACAACAGGTTTGTTGGTATCTGTAAAAAGCATGGTGGAAGCATGGAGTCGTCCTGTTCTTAAACCAACATTGTCAGAGTTGGCAGTCTGACATTACTCTTACTTCCATTGATGAGAACCAATTTTACTAGGTCATCTTGGCTGAAGAACTGTCTGTAGATGCTGCTTTGACGATCAATATCCCTCCTCTCCACCAAAAATACGCCTCCAGTCGTTCGAAGCACCACGGTCTTGAAGGCGCCTGTTATGGTAGCCACAATTTACTCCGTAGAATACATGTTTTGAAGCATAGCGACAAGATGGCGGTCCACAGTATGTATCTGTTCTAAACAATACAGTTTTTAAGCAAAACCTCTTGATGGTGTTCGAACAATGGATGGCTACTTTTGGGACAGGGTGGGGGAGGAAAGCAGAATGAATCCTGCGAAAGATGTCGTGGTGAATATTTGGCTAATTGTGAGCATTTGGCTAATTGGGGAAGGCCGATCACAGCGACGCTTTTGATCGTGCATGTCGCCAGTTGAGAAAGAGTAGTGTAACTGCTACACAAAATTAAAAATAACTTTTTTTTTTATATTGCAGTACAGATTTGATATTTACAGTGATGGGATAGCTGCACAATTTGTACCAAACTGTGCCAAAGGGCTTACCCTGCTAGATCCTGCTACATTTAGCCCAAATGTGAGGAATTTGCGCCAACATTGCAGCAAAACTTGATTTCACCTTATTAATACTGAAAATATAAAGGCTCAGGCCCCGCTACACATCCGGATTGATATGGTAGGCTTGTGCAAATTTACAGAACTTTCGATTTTAGCCGCAAATAACATACTACACTATTTGATCTCTCCGTCAATGTCATGACAGTACTCGGAATTTTCGCAATATCTCTTATGTTCCTAGTCTGCTCTGGCGATTAGGTTAGCTTTGTTGAGTGTGCTTCTCACCGAGCTCTTGTGTACTGCATTGCGGTGGCAATCGCAAATTAAGCATTGCAATTTTGCTTATCTTGCTTCGCCGCAGTGCATCCGAGTCCTAAAGGGAAAGCATTCGCCCAGAGCGGGAGCACGCAAGCGTCGGGTAGATTAAGAAAAGGAGTATTGCAAGTGTTAATGTAACGGCTCTCGGTTACAGTAAAAATATCTGAATTAAACTGCGGCTGTTATTTATGATAGACTGCGGTATTCGGGCAATATTTTTTTTTTACAAATTTGGGATTTAGCGAGGGCACTCGCAAGAAAATTTATAGGAACTTCTCTATAGGTTTATTTTTATTTGATCTTTGTTGTTTAGTTGTCACCTTTATTTATGTTTTATCCATTCGAGGTAAGGTCAATACAACATATTAAAACTGAATTAGGTGAAGCACTAGAAGCAAGCTTGGGAATAACCTTAACGACTTTGGCTGGATTGTTTTAAGAAAGTATACTTATCATTTACATGCCACTCTTTGTTATTATGGGTACTACATGCAAAATGTCATTGATTTTCACAATTAAAGTTTTGTTTTCTTACAGCCTCTTTAGTATTTAAAACGTCAGTTTGTGTGCTCAAGATTATTCTAGCATTATTTTAATGGAGTATGCTATTTGGTTTACATGTTATTTCACACCTAAATTGATAATTCACAGCAGTCCATACTGTCCTTCATCGAGTAGCATCCTGTTGTCATGCCTAGTGCTCGTGTGTGCACTTAAACAGCTAATAGTTCTGTGTTTGAGGAAATCAAACCTGCCTTTGCACAGAAGTCTGAAGGCAAAGCATGCACAATTTTTAGTAGGATTGGCCAACACACAAATCTTAACATATAATATTCATAGTGGTATGTATAAAAATGAAGTGTGTGCTTGTGCTTCACAAGTACTTTTTGCTGCTTTACAATGGACTTTTGGCTGCTTCAAAAGGTGCTACAACATATTGCCTTGTCCCAATCTTGCAGACGCCGGTGCAGGACTTGAAGTCCCAGCTTGCGCTGGATCTGAGGCGTAAGATGTTGCTGGCTTTGGCAAGGAAAGACTTGTACCACGACAATGAGAAGAAACAGAGGGAGGTCCTTGAGAAGTACAAGGAGTTCATCATTCCTGTAAGGGAATGTTTCGTGTAACCGGATTTTACGAGCATTGCCTTCTGCTTAGCAAGTAACTGTTGAGCGTCTAAGGGACAATCATCTATGACTGTCCCTTAGACGCTCAACAGTTACTTGTTGTCTGGGTTGCTTTTGGGCTTTGGCGTTTGCTACTATAGCAGCTCACTTTGAAGTCATCTGCTTTGTGTTTTGGCTTTCCGCCCCATTGCTGTCAGCTCTGCTTCTATTAACTGCCGTTTGTTTCTGCTGTCTTGTGGCTGCTATGGCTATCTACTCAATGAGTGATCTTTGTTATGTAGCAGTTATATAATGCTTCAAGATTTGTGTGAGGCATGTGTCACAAATATGTTTCATCAAACAGTCACAAAACGACTTGTCACTAACGTTGCGTTTTTACTTAGAGTAATATCCCGAGAGACACCCAACTTCCGAAAGATATCCCACCCCCATTTTTGGCTGGATTTGCTATTTTCTTTTAAACACCAAAAGAGAGCCGAATAGTTAGCGATGAGCGAACGTTGCTGACCGGGAAGTAGTCATCTTTGGTTCATTGTCCCTCGCCATGATAACAACTTGGCAAAAAAACATATGATTAAATTTTTCTTTTTTTTTTTTAACTTTTTTTAATTTAAATTGAAAGTTAGCTTAATCCTTATTTACATCTGAATTGCTCGATTTTAGGTGGACTATCTCTCAAGATATTACTGTAGTTGGTGCGAGTTTAGGTTCAGAAATGTTAACGATTCTATCTGTGTTGGCTGTGTGATACTGTGTCCTGGCCAGTGACTTTGGTGGCTTGCCAGTGGTTTACAGTAAGCTTCAGAAATTAATTGCAGCAAGCTGTTTATCTGACTTTGATTTTGTAAGCTTACACGTTGAAGTGTCAGTTCTATCTGATGACGGTTGAAATCGGAAGTTCGGATTCGGCAACATGTGGAGTTTGCCAGACGTTACCAGAGAAATCCGGCAGACATTGCAGACGTCCATTAATTAAGAAGTCAAAACGATTGGAGGGAAAAACTTGGCTGTTCCCTAAATTTCAGTGGAAAATTACCATCCTTCGCCAACAATTGCAAAATATAAAGACTTACTATATACCTATGCCTCATCCGCTTGTTTGGAGTTTTGATTTAAGACAGGGGAGATCATTCCACATTTTTGTACAGTTATAGGGTGAAGTTTGTAATGTCTTTTCAAAGCGCTGAGGAGAGAAACCAAACAGAGTCTTTTCCTCATTTGTTTTTCTAGGAAGAAGAGGCCGAGTGGTTTGGCCTGACACCAGAGCGGGCTGAAAAAAAGCTTATGATGGAGGAGGACAAGGTAAAAGGTGTACCCCTGAAGTACCAGTTCCTCAAGGACTACCTCGCCGAACTCGAATGTAAGCTCTTTGGACTCACCCATAGTTGGAGACGTAGTAGCATTTTGTTGCGAGGTACTGACCTTGCGCTTTGTCGTTTCAGTGAAGGAAAAGAACCAGGAGCCTATTGTGTAAGTTCCCTCATTTTATATGGTGATTTCCCTTGTTTGAATGTATAGCAGATTTTTTTTTGTAGCCCTGGGTGCCCTTGAGACTTTGGTGCAAGATATTCTGTAAACGACTTTATTTTTGCGGGCTCTATATTTCGTGAATTCGGTGAAGTGAGGCTTTTAGGAATATTTTGCGGACATGAAACTTTGCAACTAAGGGCGGTATGCCGTGTATTTGTTACCATAGAAAAACACATTCGCAAGCTCTATTATTATTCTAGTCTGGAGTTTTGCATTCTTATTCTAGTCTGGAAATTCGCGAAAATTAAGTTGGTTATAGTATATTATAGATAAGGACGCAGCTCGGAAACCATTACGACGTGACCAACCCAATAGTCCTATTAATGTGCGCTGAGTAGCCACAGCCAACAACATCTCCGCCGTCCAGACGGTGCGACTAAGAAAAAACTAAACGTGTCGTTCCATGGCACCCAGGCACGCATTCTTTCCGCTCGAGAGCGTCTGCTCTGACCTGGACGGACGCTGGCTCAAACGCCGCACGAGAGATCTCTCCACTTCAACGCATTCGTAAAACCACTACTGCCGCCGTCGAAGCAGGAAACTAGGGTCAACGACAAAGCAGTGTCTAGGCAATATGCGAGGTGCAAGTGCCAAGTTCTACACAACGTGGCGCAACCAGGAATCGATTTTAAAAATAATCGTGCCTCCCAGAGAGGAGCATGGGAAGCCGGGCCTGCGACAAGTTGCCATTAGCTGCATATCGAGGAACTTTGTCTGGCTGCTGCAACGCGCGCTCTGTCCAGACCTGTTAATACCTTGCACCAAGCCGTAAATACCTTGCTCGACACATAGACGGCCACCCTCCTTTCATTTCCGCCAAGCTTGGTCATAGACGAGTTTGGTGCTGTTATCGACATAAGCGTACGTTTAGAGTAACTAAGTATGCCACGCTTGGAGTCGCGACACCCCGTTCCTTGACATTCTCGTGGGCACCACCGTTTTGTCACCTAGTACGGGCGGGTTTAAGTCGCGATAGTTACGATTAGAAAATGCGACTTCCTGAGCTCGGGCGAGAATGTTTTGCCCAGTGACAAACTGTTTCACCATTTCCGGAGGACGGAAAAGAGTTTTTTTTTCCTGCGGTTTCAGATAAAGCTTCGGATGACTGGCAACATTAATTTTAAGGAAAAATATTTGTTTGTTTTGTAGCTTTTAGACTACCCTAAAATAGTGTGGAAGTGCCCACTTCGTTCAAGCGCCCACTATTAACATTTTCCAAACTTGGGAATTCTGCAAATTATACATTAAGCCCTGATTTGACTGGACAATTGGCCACGTCTAGGTTAACCCAGTTTTCAGTGAAAGTGGGGTGGGTGCTCCCACGGTATTTTACCGCAGGTAACGCAAGCTACCGTCCATTATAAAGCGTACAGCTATTAATATCCAGCCATCGACGACCGAGCCGTCGTTACTCTAAAGCGTAGCTTAATTGTTTGCTCTATATTGGTTGGTAACACTTCAAATACTAGGTAGGAGGCAATGGCTGACCCTGAGAGTGAGGAGAGAAATGTTGGTTGGTTCCAAGTATTTGTTTAATTTTCAGAGAAGAATCCCAAACGTGGCTTTCCAAGCTGAACCCTTTCCGGAGGTCGCCCCAGTCGAGTTCGGACCCATCTTCGTCGTAGCTTCACATACCTGGGAAATGCACACCCCTGGACGGACCTGGTCAGCTATGCTGACATAGTAGCATAGTCTTGGAATAAAATTAGGACTTGTTGCGAAACATTCTCAAGTTTATGAGATTTTATCCCTTGTGCTCCGCTACATTGTACGTGGCATTTACGTACGACCTTTCGAGTCTGGATCACAATAAGCACGCAAAGAAGCGTCAAAAGCACCAAGACTGTTTTTGAGACATTTGCTTTATGGTAAAATCTTTATCTAGGTGGCCTAAATTGCCTAGAAAGCCCAAAATAACTAATGTGCACTTTTCTTTTTTTTTTAATATTAAACACGCAACCATACATTGCAACATATCCCTTTCCCCAAGGTTACATTGCAAAACAAGCTCATGTGATGTTTGGTAGCGTTTTTAATAAGGAAAAAAGCCACAAATTGATGTAAATCGATCGAGTTTGCAGCATACAAATACTTTAGTGCTTCTATGAACCTTGTGCAACGAGTAAAGGCCCGTTCACACTCTTGCGACCGAGTACGACTGAGAGAGACGAGATCTCTTACAACTTCTTAAATGTTTCTAGAATGAGGGAACACACTGACATTGTGGCGCCATCTATGCGGTGACCCTAGAACTGCATTTCACAAAAGTGAAGGTTTTGCGGGATTTCCGAGGTCAAATGTGCGTAATACCCATAGAAAGGCTCGTTTATAACATTAACAAAAGCTTTTCGACCCAAAAAAGAAAGGATATTGCGCGAGAAATAAAAAAAAATATGCCGGACCGCCGAGTTTACATTGCTTCCCAATAGATGGCGCCAGTGTGTTCTCTGGTTTAAGAAGTTTTAAGGAACCCAGGTTTAAGAGGTCGCAAGCAGTCGCAAGAGTGTGAATGGGCCTTAAAAGGTATGCAATACTTTCCCACGTAATGCTAAGGTAGCCAGGCCGATGCACAATTTGCACCAAAATATTTTGCTACAACACTCAGTTTCACCGTGCGTTGAACCGCAGTGGCCTCTATGAGCCATTCCAGCTGACCCAGTGGGGCGAAAGTATCGCGCGACTTCGTTCCCTGCAAGTCACTGCTGCAGCCCTGCGGAAGGTCATGCGACGCCGACATGGCATTGGATTGGCTGGAATGGCTCGTAACATCCGCTGCGGCTCATCGTAAGGTGAAAGGGAGTACAGTGGTGATTGTGGCACTGGTTTTTCTCTGTTTGTTGTATGAATGCATTCACATTTATTCCCAGGTTCTATGTGGAGTATTCTCTGTCCTGGCCCGAAAGCTTTGGCATCTGTGAATGCAAACTCTTAACCTGTCAGACTATAATCACTGCAAGTTCAGATCTCTCAAACACCACTAATACATAAAAACTTTATTTAATGGACATTAGAAAACAGCATGTTAATCAAGTCATTTTGGTCGAGGAAGCACATGTTGCAACAAGTCTCCATTTCAGAGCCCGCTTCATCAACAAACACAACACTTTGAGATTATGTATTGCATGGACTATTTAGCAACCTCAATTCTTTTTTTCATTTTTTAATCAAGAAGTTGCACGAAGTGTGGAGATATTTTGTATTGCAGATTTTGTCTTACGATAGCGATGCATAACATGGTTGACGGCATGTAGTCATTGTTTAAAATGGAGTCCTATTGCAGGACGTACCATAGATGAACATGTTCTTAATAAAAAAAAAAATAGTGGGCCTGTTTAGAAATATCTTGAAAAGCATTTAAGAAGGATGTGGCACGATAGGAACTTAACAAATAAAAGGTTCAGTGAGGTGGAAAAGGCATTGCTTTTGACGATACCCCCAGATAATTAATAAACGAGGTACCTGTTCTTTTTATTGTTTCTTCTTCACATACCTGTAGAAATGTGGGATGTGAATACCAGACATTTTTCTACAAACACTTCTTTATAAAAATATTCCATTAAAAAGACCACATTGATGCCCAATTACCGGTTTCTGACACAACCCTAAGCAGCTGCCACGGAGATGCCCCGGAGTGTGTTTATGCGCTGGTTCAATGTGTCAATCCTCAATTCTTTCAACTTTTACGAGTAGAATGCAAATCTGCGTCTATCTGGGGCAAACGCTCTACTCCATTCACCCCATAGCAGACTGTGCAGTGGGCGCTTTCCTAACCAACGGCCGCCTCCCTTTTGTTGTCCGACCCCGCCTTCCGTGCGATGGTATGGGCAGGACCACGCAGCAAAAGACAGACGTACAACCGGCACAGCCAGCACGTAGCTTCCACCACAATGTCGGCCCAGCGACGACCGGGGTGTGGCAGCATTGCACGCCGTACATTCTCCGCACTAGCGTCTTGCGCGGAGAGTCACGTGACCCTGTGGAGCAGGCAGGGTGCCGGGGAAGTGCAGGAAGCGTGTCCGCTCTTGCACGAAGGCATGGACGGTCCGGCCGTCCACTCGTCCCTGTCGGGGTCGTAGACCTCCACGGTAGACAGATACTCCTGGCCGTCGTAGCCACCTAAAGTCGGATCAAGTTGGGTACCGAGTCAGTTCCTCCCGGGGTTAAACAGACATTTTTAGAACAGTGCCAGTGTCCGTCGCGACAAAACGTCCCCGGCGCGACTCTCGCGTTTTAAAACTGCACGAGTGCCGTCGTCCCAACTTGTGCTTGGATATGGATGGGTACAGTGGACCCTTTTCAAAAGACCGTTGAGCAACGCTGGCAGCCACCATATTTACAGGCTAGGTGGCGCAAGCTACTGCCTGTTACGAAGGATACGGCCATCCATCCACCGCTGGTGTCATTTTTTGCACGAAGCTTGCGATTGAATTTTAGCCGAGCGCCGACGCAGCACTCGCGGTACAGTGCGGGCTGGAAATATGGTGGCCTCAGATAATCGACGCAACAGCTACTGGATCGAGTGAACAGACTTTCTATAAGGGTCTATAGAGGCCGCCTATCCTGGTTGTGGCCCAATTGCTACTGATAAAGTCACAAATCATGGTGTAATGTACCCTGCATATGGTACGCAAATTACCGTTTGAAAGTACTGCAGCAAAGATTGCTAACCATGCGATGAGATGTCCCACGCTGGTAATAACCTCGTAAGGTATTTAGAAGAACATGTAGACAAATGTCGGGCATTAAAGAGGTGCTGAAGTGCTTCCGAGGTTCTTGTTTTATGGTTTTTATGGTCGTAACTCGATCTAGGGCTGACCAGTCCCGCCCATCCACGCGGGAACCCATCGCTCTCGAGTGGCAGACAAGCGCCGTCCGTCGTTCAACCATATTCAGCAAGGTTCGGTAGTGCCATCTGCCGTTTTGTACCAACGGCAAGTGTCAGGATTGTTGATCACTTTTAAAATAAACAGCACACAAACATAATTTTGAGTTTTTAGGATGATTAGAGCTAATAGATTGAGTTATGGCAATAAGACAAGGATCTCCAAATTCACTTTAGTGCCCCTTTAAGAGGGATTTGTTGTTTTCTGTGTAATTAGTGAAAAAAAACTTCATAACTTGGGGTCATGAATTTAATATATACCAGTCCAGTATAAAGATTTCAGTGAAAAAAGATAAGGCAAACTTGTAAAGTTGTTGACATGGCGCAATGTCTGTCGCTTCAGATAGAATACTGGTAATACCACGCTTCATTTATAGCTTCCCTCAACCACAAGTTGCTTGTTCCAATGTTTTCTCAGCTGCTTAGTTACGCTTGTTCCACTTTGCCATACTCCCCAGATCTATCGCAGTAAGTTCAGTTTTTCTGTTCTCTTGAACGTTGTTCGCTCTAACTGTATTGCTTCTTGTTGTTTCTGGGTACCTTGGAACTACACCATGTTAGAGATGCAACCTTTAAGTTGTATCTCTAATGTGTATGCTGTTTCAAAGACACTAGTAGTAGTTTTGAATGCCAATTTGAGCCTAGCATTTAGAACTACTACTAGCAACTCTGAAACTTGCTAATGGAAAAATTCTGTACAGTGAGGCCCTATCAGGAGGAACTTAATCCTCCATGTAGACTCTGTAACCAGAAGTTACTCTCCTCGTAACCCTTGTTCCCTATACCGCCGAGTTTTCCCTAAAAAAATAGCTCTGAAAGAGGTTCCGCGCACCTCTGCACTCCACATATCTCACCTAGCGCGTAGATCTTTCCGCCAAGAACAGCAGCGCTAAGTGCGCTCCGTCGATATTTGAGAGGAGCCACGGGATGCCAGGTGTCCGTATCCGTGTCGTAGCGTTCCACTGAGCTGACCTGCCCCCTCCCGTCGTAGCCTCCAATCACATAAATGTATTTTCCGAGAGCAACCGTGCCTGCAAGAAAACATACCGGTTGCTTGATATTAATTCAAGGGTGGGGCGCTGCCGGCATGTAAAGCTGGGCACAAAACTAAAAGCGTGAGAGATGAGACACGCAAAAAGAAGGGGAAAGGAAACGAGGGACGTTTCAGGCACACACCCTTCGTCAGACTATGGGAAAACTAAGGGAAGCCAAGGAGAAGAATGCAAGGGCTGTTGCAGTATGATGCCAGAAGATCAAGAAAAAAACGAAACGAGAAGGGCACAGCAGCAAACGACAACCAGGTTGGGAAACGAAGGTTGGGAAGAGGGTTTACTGTTACGAATGGGGGAACGAATGGAAGGGGGAGCCCAAGCAGCACGGATTATGGCCAAGCAATGGCCAATGGCTGGGGATGGTCTCGTGGCCAGTGGCCAAAGAGTGGCCCTTCATTGGCCAATGCTTGGCCGATGGCTGATGGCCAGTGGCCATTGGCCAATGGCCAGAGAAAAGCCAGTCATCGGCCAATCTCTGGCCACTGTCTGGCCACTGGCCAAAGGACCATTGCCAGCCATTGGCCAATGCTTGGCCAACTCTGTGCTGCTTGGGAGAGGTGGTCGACTTTGAAGGAAAATTAAGGAAAGTGCGAGGGCTGTCAGGACATAATGCTAGGCTAACAAACAAACAAAATAAAACGAGGAGGACACAACAGCAAAACGACAACCGGATGTGGAGACAAGGGTTGGGAAGAAATAATGTGAGGTTCAAGACTGATAGGGAGGGGAAGGTCGGCGGAAAGAAGGGGAATGGGAGAGGGGTTCTGCTTTGGGGGAAACCGTGGAAGTAATAATAGCTGAAGATGAATCTATTGTTTAAGCCGTTGTGGAATTCAGTGTGGCAATTATAGATGCAAGCGGTTTTCTTCCTTTTTTGCGAGCGAAAGCAAACGAAGCCAGATTCAACAACGTAGACGTGCATATTGAGTTCACCGCATTTATTTTTAGCGAAGCGGCCAGGGGGACATAATATAAGGAACTAAGAATGGTTAATTCATTTTTTATTAGTGAAAATAAATGTATGGCTCTCCAAAACTACTACAAACCGATAAATTTTATAAATATTTAAAGGGTCCGGGAAGCGTAGTGTTGCGCCAATGTTACCACTCATGCAACAGGCGCAAAGCTAGCGGTGCAAAAAAATCGGACGATAAGATAATCATCCGCATTTTTGCGCTGCCAGTCACGAAGAGTAGTACGTTGGCGCACCACTGCACTCCCCATGCTCTCCAAATCTTTCTCAAATTTACCGATTTAGCAGTTTTTGGTAATGCTGAGCAAGTTTCTTATACAAACCATATGTTTATTCTTACAAATTCAAAAGTTAGATGACAAATTTTAGTTACTTATGTTAGTTTTGACGAATGTGCCCCTGCCCGAATAACTCGCCTGGGCACACTACATGGTGTACATACCACAATTTTGTTTTTAATAAGTATGTTCGAATTAAAATCGTACACCCTGTGTAAGAGGCCATTGGTGTAAACTGAATGCACTTTGCAAAGGATGCAGACGATATTGGCATGTGTGCTTTCCGTGCTATTGATTTAAAGTTACGAGAATGATTTCCCACGCTTCACTATGCATGGCTCGTGCAATGGAAGTACAGCCCCACCAATGTGAAATACCCATTCGACGAGGCAGTTTCGGGTTCTGTGCTAGGTTCATTTGGGCCAGGTCCACATTTCTTGGGGTTAGGAAATAAATCAACCTTTATTCTATTCTATTGCTCCAAAAACAAAACACCTCTGACCAAAATGTGTTTAGCACTACCTCATTAAATGGGTCTTTCATAATGGTAAAATTTGTACCCCTCTTTTTCTATTTTTTTTATTTGTGCTGGCTTGCATTTAATCCTTCTGCAGAAACTGACTCGCTGCAGAAGCACTATGTATTCGTTGCTGTGGCCCAAAACAGTTAGCAACCACACCTTTCCTTACACTGAACCGCAGGCTCACACACCTTTCCCCCCCCCCCCCCCCCCCCCAAAAAAAAAAAAAAAATCTGTTTAGAAAGATTCTAAAAAGGTTATGCAACCTTTATAAGTGCTGCATAGTGATTCTGAAAGCCCACAAAACACAGAAAATATGCACGGGAACTCATTTATCTCTGAATGAAACAGTAAGCACCGTGTGTATAAGAGTTGCAAAAGTTTCGCGGTATTATGTAGTATTTAAGAAATTAAGTGTTACCTTACACTGCACACGGTAGTGCCAGGTTTCTAAATATCAGACGCTTTTTACTTCCGTGTTTTCTTCCCAGATTGGCAGACTGGCGTGGCTAATAGAAGTGCTTACCAGCTCCACTTCTGGGTATGTGCAGAGAAGAGACAGCCTCCCACTTGTCTGTCTCTGGATGGTAGCGCTCTACGATCCCGAATTTCTCGGTGCTGTTACAACCTCCAATAGCATACAGCCATCTCCGTACCACCGCGGTCCCAAGGCCGTAGCGTGGTTTCGATAGGCTGGCAACGTTGGTCCATTCGTCCTTTGCCGGATCGTATCTGGGGGGTTGAAAAGTGTTTTTTACGCTTGCTACACGACGCAACTAGCACGAACACGATGTCGGCTTTTTTTTTTAGGTCTTGGTCATACAGAACAGTGACGAGCACAATACCCGACTAAGTTGCACTGTTGGGTACAGTACATCTAAAAAGTACTTGAGGTAAAGTACAAAGTAAATGAGAAATTATCCACCTCAAGTAAAGTAGAAAGTACATCAGGCACAATGTACTTGAAGTACTATAAATACAATGTATTTTCAGAGTACCAGTACTTTACACAATCTTTTATGATGTCCTTTAATTTCCCTATACAATGTTTTTTTAATCAGTTTGCATTGCACCAGGGTAATCGGTGGTGCATCTGTTTTCAGAAATAGCAGCAAATATTGGATAAAGTCAAATGCATCCTAGGCCATTTTTTGTTGTTGTTTTCAAACTTGTGGGACATATATTAAAGTCAGGAGTTGTACTTTCATCGGAAAGTAGCAGTAAAAAATACTTTTAAGTACAAGTACATACTCAGAGAGCTTTAAGTAAAGTACAAGTTTTCAAAACCCACTTGAAGTAGTGCTTTAAGTACAATGTTCTCTAAGTACTTCTTAACACTGCTAAGAATTGGTACCCTGGAAAAGCATATTTTACCACCCGTGCAGTTTTGATACAGAGCTCTGATTGCAAGAACAAGACTAGGAATATCAGAGATCGCTTTTGCATGCTGTTTTGCACTCTGTGAAACATGACTTGTGAGTTGTGACCAACCACATTGTAAGCCTCCTATCATGACGTGAGCAAAACAGAAAGAAAAGTACATGCTATGCCCCTCTTATCTTATTATTATTGAAATTGGTACCTGTATGATGCACCTCAGTATAGTACTCATCAGTAAATTTGACTAAAAATCTTGATGCATTTGGCAGGGAAATTTGGAGAACAACCTTATATCGACATTTCTCTGTGCATTTTTTTTCTTGGTTTCAGCTTAAGCCCAGACGCTGCTGACGCTACGAGCTAATGGGCCAATCAAGTAGTGTCAAAAGTGCAAGTCACTGGGCATTTTCTGTTTACAATTATTTCAGCTATAATAAGCACCTACAGAAACATGATGAACACCATGATGGCGCGCTTCTGGCGCTGCGTCTGGGCTCAATCTGAAACGAAATATAGTTTGTTCATGCGCAAATTTTTGTTTAATTTGAATGCTAATACCAGATAGACCTCAACTAGAGGTTGTCTCAAAAAATCGTTACAGTTTTTTTCACTGCAAATATAAAGGATGCATACGTCCTTGAACACTCGGCCTCCACGCAAATATAGCGCTAGTGGTGGAAACTAGGTGGCAAAGTTAGAAAGCTAACCGTTATCATATTAAAAAGTTAGACGCGATTCGTAGTAAACTTTACTGGAAAAATGGGGCCCACTCTTGGTAACTGGCACCATTCAGCTCCTTGTACTTGAGGGCTACATCAATTACCATTTTCCCATTGAACATTTTAGAAATTTACCCAATTTTTTAAGAAGACAACGGCTAGATCTGACCTAGACAACACATAGTCCAATGTGTCAGCCCAACGCCCTCACCTCTCAACACTGCTCAGGCAATTTGTGCCGTGCGATCCGGCCACCGCGTACAGCCTGCCGTCCAGCACAGCGACGCCCAGCCGATGCCGAGGAACCCCCATGGAGCACTTCTCAGACCACTGTTTGGTGGCCGGGTCGAAGCAGTGGACGGTGGACACGTCTTCGCCGAAGTCTCGCGGCGGCCTCAGCACTCGGCCTCCGACGACGTAGAGGAGGCCTTGCAGGAAGACCCCGCCAGGACCGCTGCGCTCCAGGGGCAGGTTGGGGAGGACGCTCCACCGCTGGGACACGGCACTGAAGCACTCGATGGTGCTTAGCGAGCGACGGAGGTAGCCCCCGGCAACGTAGAGGATCGACGGGACGTTGGGCAGACGCTCGAGGCAGCAGCTGTACCGCTTGTGGAGCGTCAGGTCCTACAAAAGTTGGAAAGCAGACGTCTTAAAGGGACCATGTAATTATTTTATTTTCACCAAATTAGGCTTTGAATCGTTAATGTTCATAACCCACGAAATGCGCATTACATAGTTCTTTTCTTCTATGCACAAGCAATCGCAAGAAGAAAGAAAGAAAAGAAAAAAAAAAGCATACAGTAAGGTTCCCAAAGAACGCCCACCCAAAATCAAGAGATAAATGGTGAAAAACATGGGGTGGGCTATCTTTGGGGATGCCACAACAAAACTGTATCAAAAATTAATGATAAACACCCTGGCACCGGCTACAAACCACGTGACGCGGGAACTGATACCGCAGATTGCGGACACCGCAAATTCGCATTTCACGATGCGATGAACAGGCGGGAATTCGCTACTAATTCCTGTATCACGGGAAAAGATACCGCGGGTTGCGGACGCAGCAGATTCGTGTTTCACGGTGCGAAGGACTCGCGGAAACCCGTCGAAAACTCGGATCTCACAAGAACGAATACTGCAAATCGCAGACGCGGCAGATTCAAGTTTTATGATGCCACAAACCCCACGGGGGAACCCACTACAAACTTGCCTGTCACGGGAACCGATATCGCGCGCACGGACAAAAACGCGGGAATCGCTCGAATGTTACGGGAACAAAGGCCGCAGATCGCGAACGCAGCAGAATCGTATTTCACGATACAATATACACGCGGGACCAACTCGCCTGGAATCGAGATCGCGGACAAAAACGCGGGAATCCACTACAAACCGATGTCACGTTAACGGATACCGCAGACTGCTGACGCAACAGATTCGCATTTCACGGTGCAACATACACGCGGGAACAACTCGCGAGTTACGAGAGCCGATATCGAGCACGCAGATATCGGATAAAAACGTGGGAACCCGCCATTAACTCTCCTGTCAGACGTGCCGGTACAGCAAATTGCGCGGTTAATGCGATTCCCGTCGGACATCGCGTGATGTCTGACGGTGATGAAAGAGGGGGGGGGGGGGGGGGGGGGGCGATGTTTCGGAATTTTATGTTACAGATATTTAGCCAGAAAAACGGGATGGGCGATCTCTCGGAGGTGGGCGTTTTCTCAGAACTTTGCGGGTATAGTTTTTTTTGTTTTTTTTTTTCAACTCGAAGCCAGGGTTATAGCCAGAGCATATAACCATGTAATCTGGTGGTGTCAATTATATCATAGCCACGCGCTAAGATTAACAATGTACAAGGCGTGCGACTTGCTCCGGATTCGATGGAGTCATGGGCTCTGCCCTTTACCGCAGTTACTGCACAAACTACAACAGAAATGCCCGACAAGGGATTGACTGCAGCCAAGCTAACATCGAAGGCTCGTGAACAGCATACGACTATCGTGACTCCGGGTAGCGTATTCGGAAAAGCTTGCGGGGTAAGACAGGGCCGAATCCGGCACTCTGATCGGCACGTTTTCGTGGACGTCGCATCGCCTCGCTTACGAGGGGAGCCGAGGCTTAGTTAAACACTCCTTTGAGTTTCACACTCTAGAAACATGACAAACACCATCTCCGAGACGTGTTTACCTAAAACTTGCCGACCCCGCCCCCCTCCCCCGCCGTAAACGAGGCGATCTGACATTCACGAGATTGCGCCTATCAGGGTGCTGGAATCGGCCCCGTGGTCGTTCTCCGTAAGCTTTTCAGAATATGTCCCAGACCATCCCCGCGACTGCGTCGACATCGCGATTCCCGTGGCTGCGTCACAAACTATGCATAACAGTAACTAAAGAAAAAAAAGTAATACTTTGCCGTTATTTTCGAAGTAGCGCTCACCTGGATGACCTTGCTGAGGTAGCCGCAGCACTTTGGATGATTTTTCACGAGGGCACAGTTCCTGACCTGTTCTTGAAGGAAATGTGGCGCCAGAAAGTGGCATCGCACGGCTTGGAGGACCGGCTCCAGCTGTGGACCTCTGGAAGACTCGTCTTGGCGAGCCCACCGCATGACGGCCTCGAAGACTTCCGTTTCGCATCGCACGTTGAGGGCGTCCTTGCGCAGCAGCGCCACGAGCCGATTGGAAGGCAGCGAAAGGAACTCATCCAGTTGGCTCACCTGTCGGAGGATAAAAAACTGGGAATGATGGAAGTGTGTGTCATCGCTCTAGCAGGGACTGGGTTGGTCTAGCTGTCGGCGCCGGCCAACGTTCAACGGGGCACTAACAACCGCGGCGTCGATATTATTGTTGCAGACGACTAGGAATTATTCCTATAATCCTAAATATTCAAAGCTTGACAACAACAAAATTGCAAAAAAAAAAAAACCTTTGATATTAATATTTGCTACAAACAGGCAACTTGCAAGATCTCCAGCAGAAGAATGCCCCTACTCTGCGACACCTTGGTAGAGGGAGGGAGGGGGGAGGGGGAGGGGGGGGGGGGGCGGATTTTTGACGGGTTGGATCGCGCGCAAGAAAACTTTCGATGCAAATTCTTCCCAGTTACATCACACTCCTAAAATGTTGCAGTCCGTCGTGTCAGCTCGAGGGTCCGCCATTAATAGATACTGTCGATGTGTGTATATCGCTTTCCACCGAACGAGAAGAAAGAAGACACTTTCTGTCGCATGCGACCAGAGGGGCGATCGGACACCATTTTCTTCGAACGACTCATGTGCTGTGTACCTCAGCGTAACACAATGTAAATAGGCATGTAAATATCAAATCCACTAATTAAAAAAAAAAAAAAACTATCAATGGTGTGGTGGTAGTGGCCCTTGGTTCATGGTTTCTACAATGCACATATTTGCGTATCTTTCCTAAACAAGCCGATTCCGAGGGTTACCTCTCCAATTATTTCAATACAATTCCCCCAAGTTTTTCGCCAAAACCCTTCAAAGGCAAGAAAAAAAAATGACGTCACTGAAAATGAGTTAGCGGTTCTTGCAAAGGCTCAACATGAGTGATTCTTAATCTCGCACTAGGCTTCTCTGTACAGTTGCCTGGGTAAAATCAAAACCATTTTTACGAAACAAGAGATAGTGCGTCATCCCCTGCTCTGTAAATCGGCTTTTACCGCACGCTGTGTTGCAGTGCGGAGAAGCCGACAGAGCACGATGTTGAGCAACTTCAGTAGTGTTGACGATTGGGCTAGTTGGTCATTCATATTAGCGGAAAACAAACAGCGCAAGGACAAGGACAGAGTAGAAGGCGGTAGACACACACAGCGCTGTCAGCGCTGTGTGTGTCTACCGCCTTCTACTCTGTCCTTGTCCTTGCGCTGTTTCTTTTCCGCTAATTGAGCAACTTCCTGGGTCGCTAAACTCGTCTAGCACAAAGATTCTTTGTGTTTATGACATTGTGGGGGAAGGTGCCGAAAGATTTCCGCGAGGTTTTCTTTTCTCACAAACCCGCAGATCCGTTTATCTTCGCGACGTTTTTCCCACTGAAGGGGCGAAAAATTCCTACAACTCCCTAGGCGCCGTACAAGAACAGCACGAGATAGCGCGCGGAGGGGACTGTGGTTCATACCTGTGACGTCACATGTTTGATGGCCTCTGAAAAGCACGGCGGAGACTTAAGGTAAATGCAGTCTAAAATCAACACCGTCGAAGTTGGCAGTCTGATATCGTTGTTATTTCGGACGATAAAGCAGAATTTACAGAAAATTGTCCCTGTCGTTCCTTTCATATTCATCGGCCATTTGGATGTGATCAAGGTGTAGCCCAGCGCGGTTAGGTGAGAACAAGCCGAGTAGCATTGTCCGTTTTCGGGTTGATTTCGTCTCCTGGCAATTATGACCCTATCGGCGGGATCAAATCATTTTACTTTCTTTTTTTCTAAGTTGTGACTATAGGCCACGTAGGCTACCAAAAGCGTCGGTATGGTCGGGTTGTCAACATTGACGGTGATGTTTTAAGAATGCGATGAGTCCAAGCTTCTATGGTACACAATCCAACTTGTCACTGTCGAATTTGTCGTTCACAACTGATAATCCTGACCCTGGCGTCAAGGGTTCGAATTATAAAAGGGCGTCACTGAACGCACCTGCACACTACGAGCCCTAGCACGAGTCTCTCACTTGAAAGTCTCATGGAACGCAAACAGGTTTAATTACAGAACTTCTAGAATCATTATTTAGGAAACTGCACACTGTGCTGTTCCTCGTCGTTTCTCAGTTAGTCATCTCTAAGCAGGGGCGCCGGTCGAAAGAGGGGGGCGGGGAGGGGGACAAGTCACCTCACCCCCCCCCCCCCCTCAGGTGGTGTCGAAAAAGGGGGCGAGGGGCATAACGGGGTAAGAAGAGGGGGGGGGGGGGGCGATGGCCCCAGCCCCCGTCTCGCCCACATCTCTCAAGCACTACCGACGTCACTAGACACACCGCCTCCGAGTGACCTCGGTAGCGTTGTTGACAGTGGCAGAATATGAGCTCTAAAGCCGCCTACACTGCGCACGGCTCCCCAATATCACGAAGTTCGATCTTTGCCTCAAATAACTTGTTTCCAAAGTCGTGAAACGTCAATTTGTCACCACCAATAACTTCCACAAACGACGATCTTGCGACGAGAAAACCGTTCATTCGCCTGACCCAGCGATGTTGCTCGCGCGCTCCGATGAATCCCGCTACGACCTTGTGAATGTAAGCACCGAGAGTGTTTGGATGATTGATATCTCGTCCCGAGCGACGCCATCGTCGCGAGAGTCTAATCAGAACACTCAGCGAACTTCGCGTCCCAACTTTGTGTTTGACGTGTTTAGTGACCCTGGCGTTTTCGTTATCCTTAACTTCTCTGGGCAAGATTTGAATGATCTTAAGTTACTAAATAATAAAAAAAGTGATTATACTATATATTTTTTTACCCTTAGCCGGTCACGTGTATAGTTAATGGGGAAATGTGTATATCTAATGAAAGCACTGAAATGCGAACTCAATATACTTTGTATACAAGAGAGCTCGGAAATGAATTCCTATGCTCAAAAGCTAAATATAGCATAGGCAGAATATATTTCTAATAGTAATAATAATAAACCGTGAGGTTTTGATGTGGTGGCACATACATACATACACACACACACACACACACACACACACACACACACACACACACACACAAAAAAAAAAAAAAAGACTCAATGAGACATTGTTCTTGGCATGGTAAAGCAGTATGTCAAGATCACGCTTGAAGGAAGCAAAGTTACGAAAAATATCAAAAGATGATGACGCTAAGTTGTTCACTGAAATTTACATGCGAATTAACGGTGTCAGTGTGTCCTTCGAGGACGGATAGAATACAGAGTGCTTTCTACAGACGCGAGCAGGCGCGTGAAAATGTACAGAGCTGAGCATGTCAGCATTACATTGACCGTGGATCACTTTGTGTAAAAATATAATATCACGCGGGAGTCTACGTATCAATAAATTTTGTAAGCTTAAAGTGGCAAGGAAATATTCGGAATCATAATAACGCCTTCTATTAAAATTCCTGTCGTACACAATGCGAACAAACCGTTTCTGTACGGATTCAATTCGTGACGCATCAGACGCCGTCAGCGAGTTCCATATCACACTACCAAACTCAAGTTTAGTACGTACTAGACAAGAAAATAAGCGAACAATGCATAAAGGATTCTTGAAGTCACGAGATAAACGAATAACAAACCCAGCATTCGCATGGAAGAGGAGACAATCTGCGTGACATGACAAGAAAAAGAAAGTGTGGCATCAAGAGAGATCCCAAGGTCACAAACCACAATGACTCGTGCGATTGTGGCAGACTGCAGTACGCAAGTGTACTAATAGACACTTTTAGTTGGGCGTACGCAACGAGCTTGCGTACGCAGGAACGTTGCGGGCCGCGAGTGCGCCTGCGCAGAACGTAACGTAACGCTGTGCTGCCGGCGTGCGTACGCACGCAGTCAGACGTTGCGTGCGGGTCCCGCGGGCCACTGCGGGACGGTTGGGACGGTCTCGCGAGATCTCGGTCGAACGAGAGCGCATTTCAAGATGGCCGCTGCCACGGGAAACGGCTATGGAAACGACGCCGCTCCTAATGGAAATCGCGTGTTTTATACGCTGAAACTGGATATAGCGTTGCTGCTGGAAGTGCAAGCCAGTGATCCGTTCAGGAACCCGAACCAATGGGAAGAAATAGCCGTAAGACTCAAGGCAGTCCTCGGCAAGCCGTTCAGCTCCCGCAGTCTGCGCGGGCGGTTCGACTTGCTCGTGTCGCGTTACGCGGCAAATGACCGCAGAAACCTGCTGAGCACTGGAGAGCTCATCAAAATCCAGCTTTTCGAATCTAAATTGACAGAACCTTTGCTTTGCTTGGATTAAGATGCAAAAAATTTTCAGAACACAACGCATATACACGTAGTTTATCGGCTTGCAGAAGACTGCAGTCGTAGGATGCCCGTGCATTCATAAAGATCTTGATGTCGTCAGCAAACATTAACAAGTGTGAATTTCGTCCGCAAAATTCCAGGTCATTTACGAAGACGAGAAATAGGAGAGGCCCCAAGTTCGATCCCTGAGGGACCCCAGATGTTGGTTTAAAAGTATCAGAATAGCTGTCTGAAAGCCCAACAGTGCTCTGATGTTCAGTCGAATACGTCCTGAACCAACTCAAAAGTCCCGGTGATACTCCGTACAAGGATAATTTATACAAAAGAAAATCATGGCTCATTTTATCAAAAGCCCAAGTCATGTCGAAATACACAGTATCGACCTGACCACGGTAATGAACTAGAGGAACTGTATATTCAAGAACCGAATACAGAATCGTTTCCACAAAGCGACCCTTTAAAAAGCCGTATTTAAATTGCAAAATTTCTGTCGGAAATAATAGGAACCATGCGAGTGAATAACCATCTCAAAGACCTTTGAAGAAGCACACAATAAAGATGTAGGTCTGTAGTTGTTTAACTTACACACATTGCCACTCTTGTGTATCGGAACAACAACCGACCTTTTCCGTGAGGCTATAAAAACGCCAGTTCTCAAAGAGAGGATATCTGTTCTAAAAGAGGAGCTATAATGGTAATTACATTTGTCCGTTCACCTGGTTAATGGAAGCCGAATGATTTGTTAAATTGCAAGTCTCTCCACAGATAAACGTCTTGCAGCTATGGGGTCAGAAAAAAAAAAAAATAAAGTCTTACGGAGTGTATATGTATAATGTGAAGAATAGTTACGTACTTATTTCTTTTAATTTCTCAAAATAAAATAAAAGAACATTAGGTAGTTTAATTTTGCTGCAGAATCGATCATTGCGTTGCTGAGCGAGCAAGAATAGCCAGAAGCATCTGTCGGTGCGCATTTTCCTCGGTTCAAGTAACAGCTAGGTCTGCGACCTCAATTCCACCCAGAAGACCATTTCCCCTCCAAACGTCATCATTAGGTGGGCGGGGGGGGGGGGGGGGGGGGGGGGGGTTAGTGTTTTTGCACGATCCCTAAAGGTCATCCTGGTGATATCCCACAACGCCTAGTGATAGTTAAAAATTGTAGAGGGTAAGCAAATTCGTGAAGGGAAGAAATAATTCTCTTGGTTCTTAATTTCTAGGCTAGGTGGAGCAAGCTACCGCCCGTTTTAAAGGGCTCAGCCGTTAGCATCCATCCACCGAGCTGACGCGGCGACTCTCGTCAGACCACAGCGTCAGACTTTAGGGCGCTTGTACCTTGGGGTGGGATCGTTGTGTGCAGGCTACCGCCGTTATTAGCCCCGAGAGCGAGCACAAGCGTCGCTGCGGTCGCCGCGCCCGGATTGGGTGAGGTGTACTGTGACGTCAGGGCGAGTACTCCGCTCCGCGATCTCGCATCGGCTCGCCTCCCAGCACCGGTTTCCTGGTTTGGCGTTGTGTGCCGCAAGCTCTTCATGGAGCTGCACTTCGTTTACCTGGTATGCAAGAATTTGAGTTAGGCCGATATTGACGTGCTTCCGTACATTTTATAAGCCTGCTTGTCCCTTTTACCTTTAAAATTGCGTTACAAATCCCGAAAGCTATCGGCGGAGGCAATTCCGCCGATGAGCCTCCCCGTCCGTCCATGCACACGACACAAGGCAATCTTGCGAGAGGTCAGTTAAGCGATGGCGCAAGCGTTTGAGACGCTGGAATTCTGTTCCTTGCACGTTCATGATTTAAGACAATATTACATCCCGCTTTCAATGCATTTGAAGTGGCATTTATATCATGGGCCTTTGGGTGGTCGGCAAATTAGCTCGCGACCCTGACTCTGCGGTGCCACTCTGCATGCGCTGGTTCGCAGATGTTTTCTTTGAAGTGCTCGTGGAACAGGGTTGTTTTACATAAATGTGGCTTCTTCGTGAATTAATTATATAGTTTATACACGTATGCAGGCATATTTCTTAGAAGCTGCACACTTACTGGAAATTAGTTTGTATGGTAGCAGCAAAAACGGCCGAATTGCCCCCAGTTCTCTGTATGATATGTATTAACTGCCAAACTATGCACGGCAATATTTCCGTAATGTGGAATGCTTATACTTTTTCCTGACATTCTTTATTCCAGCCTATTCCGAAAATACACCGTTTAGTCTGAATTGTTATTTCCAATTAAAAGAGACACTGCTGCATGTCTCCAAAAGCTTCCTCAGCCTCCAAACTCCCTACAGCTGGACTCTCTGACAACAGAGGAAAACAGGAGTAAAAGCAAGCATTCGAACGTCTGTCCAGTGGAAGATGCAGCACTAGTAGCAGAAAATGTGGAACCTGTGAAGGGCGATAGTCTGCGTGAGAAAAGCGTCTGGTATTTTAACTTCAGGACAATTCGATTTAAGTAAAATCTCAATTTTAGGGCTTAAGGGGCTAATAACGAGCTAGACACCTTCGCTTACGTTTGTTATACATTACTTGAGGGTTGATATAAACAGTGCACAGATACCACCCGTGTAGTCCATTGAAATACCATCCGAATCCATCAAAGTTCAAATGCAAGCACTGTATATAATAAATGTTCCTTGTTTTTTTTTTTTTTTTTTTTACTTTGCCCCTGCACTTGGGCTGTCTTACTTGTGATTTTTTCTTGATGGCCCAGACTGTATTTAACATGTTGCTCGAGCAGCATGCAGCTTTTCTGCTTCGGCGATCTTGTTTAAAAACAGATACAAAAACAAAAATAGTATACATAACCTCCCAATTCATTCAGACCATCAGCAGCATTTATTGTGCGAGATGTAAATCTATAGTGACGCTCCTGCAATTGTGGCCATATTTCTTTATTTTCATATACCAGCTGTGATTCATGCGTTGCCTGCCCTGTCAACCATGTTTAAAATGTTTGTTGAAGCTTCGCCTGTAGCTGCAGGCCGTACCTCAATAAAGGTTCAAATAAAAATTTACACTTCCTAAGAAAAACACGCCAAAAAAATTAGATAGAAACGAGCGCGCCGTCAGCTAGCGTCGTCACAGCCTCCACAGGGCGAGCGGGCCGAGTCGGGGAAAAATTCTCTCCTCGCCGTGACGTCACCCCGGTTCACCGTAAGGGGGCGCCACGCGAACTTCTCGGGGCTAATAAAGGCCTTTAGACATCCATCCATCCATCATTGTCTTCTACAAGGCGGCATCAGCGACCTACCATGGAGAAGTGCTGCTCGATGAAGTGGCTGGCCTTGGTGTGCAAGCTGGCCATGCCGTGTTGCAGGGCGAAGTCGGCGATGCCGATGCAGTTGGACGGGTCCAGCTGCCGCTCGAGGAATCTGCAGCACGCGTTTGTTATACGCTGCACCTAAAACGGTGCCTCGGGTATCACTCTTCGGCACTCGTCAGGCTTCCTTCTCTCCTCGTACGTAACACCTTAGAAAATAGGGAGTTTTAATAGACCGTCTTTCCCTCTCCGCTAAGCCCTCCGCAACGAAGAAACCGCCGCTGCGGCCTGCGTGCAAATGGCTTTGGCTGTAGAGTTCCGGGTAGCGGAGAAGCTTAGCGGAGGGGGAAACACGGTGTACTAAAATACCCTAATAAACCCGCACACAATGTACCAATTCCTCTTCAAAAAAAAAAAAAAAAAATCGGCTCTTCTAACTCGGTGTAAACATAACAGAAAAACCGACTTGCAAGCTATGGTAAGGCAGCATCAAGTATGCCTTCGAGGAACAAACCGTACGGTAACGTGATCTCGTCACACTTTTGCAACGTATACGCATATGAGAGGCGTGTACGCATATGAGAGGCGTACACGACAGCAGAATGACATCATTCGCTTTCCTAGCTCCGCGCTCTTACTGCTAATACATCATACAAAAGACAGCCTGCAAACACTATCTTCTTCACATTGGTCGTACAAATCTGTCTGCAGACGAAACATACATGGGCATGAATCAAACATGCTTCAAACACGCATGAAGCATGTCGACCCTGCAGATAATTCGGCAGAGACGAAGGCAGCTATGCGGAGGGCAAGTTCGTCTGCTTCTTGCGCAGGGGGGTAGCGATGACGTCAGAACGCAGAGCCCTGATTGGCTGATCGCGACCCCCTATCTGAGCGTCGTCTGCTCCTTTGCAACGTCGTCTGCTCGCAACGTCGTCTGCGTCTGTCTTACCTTTCCTGCGACTTTCGGAAGTGCAGAGGCCAGATGCCAGACGATCTTACTACAAAAATATGCTTAAGACAAAACTTGAGAACAAATTCGTATTCACGAAACGAAATTTTCGTAAGTTTTGCGCAGGTTACGGCAAAATCCTACGACAGCTCCGAAGCTGTCTTACGCACTTCTTACGATCAAATCAGCATGGCCGACAGCGTCGCGGTCGCGACAACCAGCGGACGTTTATTTTTCTACGTGCGCTTCTCACGCGTCCCGACTTCAAGCAGCAAGAAAAAAGTAAAAAGTACTTGAAACAGACCACGACGAACAAGAACGCTGGATCCACAAACACCCGGGAAAAGCTCCAACGGCCACGATTCCACCGACAACAACCAAGCGAGCACAGCAGATAGGTCTAGCAGGCACTCCGACTCGGCGACCGTCTGCCCACGACCGGCTGGCGTGCTGAATGGAGTATGCCCGCGCGACCCTTGTGAACCCTTCCCGTCTTATACTTTGATCGCTGACTCAATTTTAGATTAAGAAGTAAATCTCTTCCTCTTGTCATCTCCTTGTTTTCCTAGGCAACGGTGACTCTCGCCGGTAAAAAAGCGGCGAATCTCCGACAGACGCAGGAAAGGTAAAGCAGCCATCGCTTTGACTAGCAGACGTGAAGCAGACGACGTTAACTGCGCCAACTCGCCGACGCCGTTAAGGAGTGAGGAGTCTCGCCGCACACGAAAGGAGGGAAAAAGTATTTGGGAGGGAACTTGCGGACACTAACACGCTCACCTCTCTGTTCTTAGCAAACAAACCTCGGCGCCTCGGGACACCTCGCCAGTAAAGCGCGAAACAGATGTACGACGAAACCTTCCGATCCGACGTGCGGACTGCCGGAATGACCTTGGGGGGAGAGGGTGTTCGTAGCTTCGGAGAGCGTTGGAAACCCTCGCCTCCGACCGTCGTATTGCGCGGTCGGACGTCGGATCGGACGGTTTCGTCGTACATCTGTTTCGCGCTTTACTGGCGAGGTGTCCCTCCTTGATGCGCGTCTGCTAGTTGTTAGACAAAAACAACGTACCGCTCGAGTTATTTCGTCTGCCCTCTCTGAAAGGCGAAGTCGAGCTCGCTCGACTTCCAAAAGTCACAGGAAAGGTAAGACAGACGCAGACGACGTTGGGAGCAGACGACGCTCAGATAGGGGGTCGCGATCAGCCAATCAGGGCTCGGCGTTCTGACGTCACTGCTACTTCCTTTCTCATTCGCAGAAGACGAAAATGAGCCCACTTGCGAGGCGTATAGCTTTAGCTCTACCCCCTACCCATTCCAACCAGAGCTCGGTGTTCTGTCGTCTCCTCCGCGCTCTTGTCTCCTCCTCTGCCTCAGTTTCCCGCCGCATAGCATTCTTGAGGATGAGTACCTGAAGCATGTTGGCTGCAGGGAGAAGTTGGCAGACGTTTTTCTCGTCCACTCGTATGCGTCCCGTGTAGGCAAACTCCACGATGCGTTCCAGTGTTGCCAGACTGACCCCGTGGATCGGTATCCGGGTCATTTGAGACTCCTTGAGGTTGCACGTGAACATGGCGCGGAAGTAGGGGCTGGCCGCCGCCAACATTAGCCTGCGAAAAACGTGAGCAACCGTGTGTAATGGCGCGCGGATGCCTCGACTGCATGAGCTATGCCAGAACGGCTTGACGTAAAGGAAGCGGATACTAGCGCAGCGTTATCCCGTCTAATAACTAGAGTCGAGTTTTCAGTAAATGCCGATGAACCCTGATAAATAACCTCCGAAAGGGTTTTTCTCGGAATCGAAAAAAAAAAACGGAAAAAAAAAATCGTCCGCGTCTCCACGTGGTGAATGATGTTGATCGGGGCAAAGCTCTGGCGGTGCTTGTCTGCGTTGACGCTGAGCCGCAGCATGCCGAGCCTTTCGTTCGTTTTCATCCATGTCAGAAAGAGAATGTCTGGTATGGAACGTGGTTATATACGGATTTGACCGCAGCGCCCTCTCGTCTATAAACGTTGAGCCAATGCATGCAAAGTTTAACGCGATTATATACGCATCTGACCGCAGCGCCCTCTCCTGTGTATCGTATTGCGCTATACAAGATAGCCACGTGACGAAGCGATGAAGTGCTCGCGCTACCAACGCGAGCTCCCGGGACATGGTTCGGAGCTTTTGGGCTGAATGGACACACGCTGGACACTGTGGGACATAACATCGAACTGGTAATGATGTCGCAATAATAAACATCGATACATGGTGTCAGAAGTGGGATTTGTTTTTATTTGTTTTTTTTTAACTAACGTGATCGCAAGACATTTTTATAAAAAAAAAAAGAAAAACAGGGGGGGATGTATCGTATTGCGCTATACAAGATAGCCACGTGACGAAGCGATGAAGTGCTCGCGCTACCAACGCGAGCTCCCGGGACAGGGTTCGGAGCTTTTGGGCTGAATGGACCCGCTGGACACTGTGGGACATAACATCGAACTGGTAATGATGTCGCAATAATAAACATCGATACACTGTATAGATGTTGAGCGGCTACATGCAACGTTTCATCCATGACAGAAACCCCAGCTCTTGAGTTACTACCACATCTCAGAGCCCCCTACTCGTCCCGCAGTCGTGGCCGAGTGGTTAAAGGGATGCTGAGCCGAAATCTGGATTCCCCAAAACACGTGGCAATAGCGTGCAACGGGATGCTACAAACACCAAAACATCACTCATACAGCGATATCTCGAACGAATGACCGTATTTTTCAAGAAAAGAGGCGCATTTGGCAGGAATGTTGACGTCACGTTTCTCCGAGAAGGAGAGGGAACGGCCTCGCACCTTCTTCGCCTCGCGGCCTTGAGGGAGCGAAGCGAAGAGAGGAGGAAACTAGGTATCTTGACGGTCATGCGCCTCGTCGGCCTGGTTCAATCTCGACTTCTTCCAAAAATACGGCCGTCCATTTGAGATATCGCTTTACTAGTAGTGTTGTAGAGATCGTAGCGTCCCGCATACATCTCCAGCATTTTTTTTTTTAATCCAAATTTCGGTTGGACTAGAAATCCATTGGGGTCTTCCCCCACAGGTTAGAATCCTGTCGACTGCGCGAACATTTTTTTAGGGGCGAAGCTCCTTAGGGTCTAGCCTTGTCCGTCCGGCGTCGGTGCTCACATGCGTGCGTCCGTGCGTGCGTCCGTTCCCAAGAAACCACAATCGGAGCTGCTCTTGCACAGGGAAGCCCCAGATTTTGGGGAAAGAAATCGGAGTATTCGGGTCACGGGCATAAGTTCCAGGGAAGGGGTCACAAATTTATAGAGATACTGTCGTTTTATAAGATTAGCCCCCAATAAACCCGATTTTGTGCCCGGTGCTGAGAGTAAACACCGGTTGTGGAAAAATAATAAACCCCAATAAAACACTCAGTGGCGTCACAAGGGGGGGTGCCGGGGGGGGGGGGGGGGGGGAGGTGGGCGGACCGGCCCGGGTGCAGCGCTCTGGGGGTGTCGTGGCGGGCCACGAAAAACGGGGGGGGGGGGGGGGGGGGGGTGTCGCGGCGGGCGACGAGCGGGGTGAGAGGGGTGGGGGCAACGAAGCCGGGGGGGGGGGGGGGGAGGGGGGGGGGGAGTTGGTGCGGGCCACCGCCCCGGGTGCCGCTGGCACTAGTGACGCCACTGAAAACACTTCCAAATTTAAAGAAAAATAAACCCCGAAAACAAGGAGCCCTACTCATAACTGCAAAGAGCTGGCATGTCGTGGCTCACCCTTGCTTTGTGAAGGCTATGAATGACGCAGCACGTTTTGATGCATGTTCCACTGTTCGCAGAACCCTAATAATAGACATAATTATCACGGGCTACCTTAAACTCGGATGCATTGGTTATCGCCAAAATTTTACCCCAAAGACTGAGTGATATATATGTATATACTATTATTATTATTATTAACACTACAATCTTTAAGTTGTACCAACACGTCATAGGGCTGCCTATTCCATCGATATGCCGGCCGGATTACGTGAGGAGGTGACGTTTCTAGAATGATCCTTTTCGCAGGACCATTCGCGATTTGAACGAGTAGATATGTCGTATTTATAGAACATATTGGCAGTTTTTGTTCGTTACCTGTGGGCTTTCAGGCTGCCTTCCCCTGCAATTTCGATCTCGACGTCGCAGAGCTTCTTCTGCCGCCACAGGGATTCCAACATGCGGAACGCTTCCAAGGGGTACGACGCACCGTCCGAGTCGTGCATCGGGGAAGACGCTTCTTCATCGATCGATGCACCTTCTCCACCCGGTGACGCTGCAGCTTCGTCAGCCGACGACGAAACGCCTCGAGCGTCTGGCCTTCGATGACCCAAGTCGAAGCAACCGTCGGGGTTGCAGTCGGGACTCTGTGCTTCGACTCCTTTATTCATCCTAAACCTGAAAACTGCAAGAAGCATTTTTCTAAAATTCGTTTTTATAGTTATTTTGCGTTATGGGGGATCAGACTGAACACATGTTGATTTCACATAAAGAAAACCTTTGTTGAACATGCTTGAAAACTATTCACAAAATTATAGAGAACTTCCCCACGCTCACATGCTTGCCAGCTAGTGATTAGTCTCACTCCATTCAATGCCCGACATCCATTCACTCCTGTCAGCTTTTTGAAGGTTGGGACGCAGTAAGGTGCCTTCATGTACTACCGCGGACAATGCGAGCTAAAACAGCCCTCCGTGGTTCTTCGGCTTTCCTGCCAGTTTTTAAAAGAAACTGATTCAAACCTGACTGGAGCGGGAAGTCTTCGAACTTTGAACTCAATCTTTGAACTGACAATTTGAGAGGTAATGGAGCTTGTGGGAATGGTGTGCGAAGCAAACATACGCGGAGCGCAAGTTCGTCTGCCTTTTGGACAGGGGTTGCGATAACGTCAGAACGTCGAGCTGTTTTTGGCCGATCGAAAGAAATAGTGGGTAGACCTTAAGGCATCTAGCATCGAGGTCTACCCACTATCCGTTCAATCAAATCCAATCAGAAGTCGGCGTCGTTCTGACGTCACCGCAACTCCTCCGCAAGAAGCAGACGACTTGCTCTACGCACAGATCAGGTGTTTCAGCTCATATTGTCTGGGAGTGTACGCTTTGCTTCCTGGGGCATATATCTCCTTTTTCGCTCGCTTTGTTCCTTTCTGTTAATTCTCTCGCTGAAAACCTCCTAACAACGGCCTGCCCTGTCGATTGATGGATCTGGCCGGCACCGACAGTGCGCCGCAGGGTGTCGCGAGACCAGGGACCCTAAGCTGGGCACTCGGCAAGAATGTCGGCGAGATTTTTGACCACCGCGATCGGCCAGCGCCGAGCTTGACCTTGGCGCTGACCAATCGCGGCGGTGAGGATTCTCGCCGTTTTTCTCGCCGAGTGTTCAGCTTAGAGCCCCAAGGATCGCAGATACCCGGTCCTACGGGTTTCTTTACTCGTACGGGAGACAAGCCCAGACGCGGTCACAGACAGTGTGAAACGATAAACATACGCAATCAGCTCGGCGTCCTAGGTCATTCCCAACTCACGGCTGCTATCTATTTAGCCCAAAAGGAGACTCGCTAGCAGTTTTCATTGCAGATATGAAATGTCACTAACTTGAAGTTCTCACACTCCAGTGACCTTTCCACGGCTGGCACCCAGATCTTGCTAATACATCACCTTCCGATGCCATCAAGGGAAAGAAAAAAACTTCCATCTAAATTTACACTTGTTCGGAAAGGCACTGGGTATTTTCTTTGGGTTGGATTCTATTGCGACAAGAAACGCAAACAAATCAGAAAGTCCGGTAGTCAGAACTTGTATAGAAGAACTCGCATGAAGCTCCTGGAAGATACGTAGCTAAGAGCTAAGTTATTTCCAAGTAAGTGTCGCTCCTGAGATTATTCGAGACAGAGAGACTTGGCTTAATCCCTCGCGAATTTGCCGGCTGCCAGTGTAAGCTTTCAAGAGAATTATTTCCAAGTATCACAAAGGACATTAGACTAATACATTGGTCATCCTACTACGACCTCATAGCTGTGCATGGACAGGCGACGATGTAGCAGTAACTTGTGGAAGGCTGTGGAAGACGATGACTAGACTATGTTCTAGCTCAAAACTACAGTACAAAATTCAATCAAAACGTTAAGTTAGATAACTTTTGATGACCTGAGGACCGAGATACGCGAGACTGGTATTTCAAGGCCATGAAACTAGCATAGCGCGCATCGGTTGCATCAAGTCCCCCGCAATTGTTCATATAAAATAAACAACACATTTTAAGTATGTTCATCTGCCTCTTTGTCATACCTTTTCCTATATAAATGAGCTTGATCTGGAGTTTGAAAAGTATAAACAGGTAAACAACCTCCCGAGGAATCTGAACTTGCGTGCACGCTTTACTAAAACTGGGATACCCTCAGCACTGCAGGGAATGACGCAGGAATAATAATTAGTTGAAGCAGAACACATACAGAATTTTGATCAGCACATGTAATTAGGAAGGCTTGCCCTCTGGTAGAAGCTGTGGAATCCCTGCACAATGGCGCACTAAAACTGCAATGTCACGGCTCACTTACTGCCTTTTGTTGGATTGGGAGGCAACAACACATGTATGCGCATAGAGGCAAAGTGATGGACGCTGGGACGTCGGCGTTGTTTCATTGGTTCGTTGGCTCAGCGTTGACGCTTCGCCGTCTTATGCAATGACTTACACGTTGTGCGGTGTCAGTTCTTCCATCATTTTGCAGTGGTTCCCACCTTGTATCAATCGGCACGTGACTTTCGAAACTTGTCGCCCTGTTGTCGCGCTAGAGTGACGACTACTCCGCCGTCGACTCCTACAACAGTGTCTCCACGCTCGAAAACAAGTACTGTACGTAGTTTCTTCTCTGTACCGGAATGATCATAACACGAAGATCAACTCACTCTTTTTTTCGCTGGTCTTGTCAGCTACATGGAGGAGCTATCCGAACGAACGGACGGAACTCCGTTTTTTCGTTACAGAGTGACGTTGAAAACGAAATGCCAGTCTGCCAGTCCAGACGGCGCAGTCGCTGTGCTGACTGTAATTTTTTTTCTTTTTATTTCTGCCGCACTCTTATCGAGAAAGAAGGACAACTGATAAGGCCGTTCGCTGCGCCAGGCTGGCCAGGCGCATCTCTGGGGTCTTCTAGCCACCGCGCTCGATAAGGCGTATTCGACACTTCGGTTTACTTTGGCGGAAGGTCGCAGCGTGGACCATCAAATCCCCTTTGTCACCGCGTTTTTTTTCTTTTTTTTTCGATCAGACCAAGCAATCACACGCAAAAACGCTGCCAATTATAGATGCGGATGTTTTTCGGTGTTTATTTTTTTTTTCAAACATAGGCGTATTTCAGTGATAGCCGTTTTAGGCAAAGGTGAAAAATATTGAGAAATCCAACAATACCCATTCTAGCTAAAGCATAATAATAATAATAATAATAATAATATTTCAGAAATTGTTTTTTTCTTTTTTAACGGACTTTGCACTTTGAACATCGGTTTTAACCGATTTTATAGGTTTTATATTAACAGATGTCTATCGCTTTTTTTTTTTTTTTTTTTTTGCGGTTTAAACCGGAAAGAGTGCGGTCCACTGAGCCAATAAAACCTCGAGAATGAGTCAGCACGTTTTACGATCGGCCGACCCCGAACGCGCGACTCGCGAAACCGCGACTGTATGCATGCACCGATTGCGGTTGGCGATAGCTGATTGTAAAGTTCGTGCAGATAAATGGTGCACTTTGGGCCTCGCTCAAGATAGAGACATGCGACATTGTTTGCGCTTGGCCGAGTATGTAGCGTGACGAGGCATAATTAAGGAATAACGTACGTTACACACTTTTTCCGCTCTTATCACCCACGAAAAAATGCGAAGGTCGTGGACGCACGCGCGACGCCTAATGTTCCGTGGAAGAAAGCTCTACTACGCGTGCTCCACAATTCAAGGCCTCTAAACCCCTCAAACACAAAGTTGGTGCCGAAGCTGACGGAGCGCACCGGTTGGCCTATCACGACGATGACTTGGCGCTTTTTTCGCCAGCGTCCAATTGGCGCGCGCCGCGAGCCTTCGGCTCAACTTTATATTTGACGAGTTTCTCAGTATAAACGAAGGCAGAATGAGCCGGAAGGTGCGCCATGTTTTCAAATGACTTCACATTTTTTTTGTTTTTTTGTTTTGTTTTTGTGAACGATAATGTAAGAAACAGGGCGTGACTAGCGACTAACGAGATGTCTTGTCTGTTATTTTATTTCTCATTCTCTCAGTGTTTAGATTACAGTCCTCTCCGTAGACAATGAGATTTCAAAATTCGACGATAAAAGCCAAAGAACAAATTATGAAGCGTAAACTTTCAGGGAATATACAAATGACGGCACCCATACCACGCGTGACGAAGCAAGTTTCGAGGGTACAGAACGGCGTCGTGTACACAGTTCGTTTTTCTGCTCTGCGCCGCCATTCGCATCCTAAAAAAATGCATCGTCACCGAGTCGGCGCTTTAAGAAATGTTATTACTTGTAATAGCCTCGTCCCACTAGAGCGACAAACACCGATTTTTGTCCGGCGACACCACAAAGTTCCGTGTCGCTGATGCTGTTCCGCTGCAACGACCAACACCAACACCAGGAGAACGTGCTACCACGAAAACAGGTTTTAAAAGCGCAAGTCACTGAGCCTTCCCTGTACATGATTCGTTAAGCACTAATGCAAACAGAAACATAAAAAACAACAACAAAAAAAAAAACGAAAAAAAAAACGTGACGTTCGTGTTTGGACGGCGTAAGGTCGGTCTGCCTTCGAGGACTGGTGTACAAGGTTCTAGATAAGAGGAGTGCCTCTTACAAGTAGCGGCATTCTTTGAATCGCCGGTTGCCAGAGCAAGCTTTGGAAAGCGAATGGCGACGCACAGCAGAAGACTGAACTGGATGACGTCATTCTGTTCAAGCGCAATATGCATCGTCATTCGTATTGGTTGTCTTTACGGGGGGAAAAGAAGTATCAAGGAACTTTACGCTGTAGAAGGTAAATTTTGCCAGTGCAGTACGATCTGCTAGCCTAAAGTGCATCATGCAATAGTGATAGCCGACCACAGGCCGGTGCGATGCTCATCCAGATCGAAACGGGCAGGGGTTGCGAATTGAGCGCAGGATCCCTCCTGGGTTCCGCAGTGCGACTTTCTTTCCCTTCCGAGCTGCGGTGCGCTAACACACGCTCGGCCACCAATGCCTCCCCCCCCCCTCCCCTTTCCCCAGAAACATGACGAATTATCATAGCGTTGTTCCTTTTGAAGTTGTTTTGATTGATCGTAAGGAATAATAGAGTCGGTTACACTCGGATTAAAACGGCACTGACAGGTAAAAACAATTTTTTTTTTAAATCCGAAATGATTGAAAATGATGCCTGGACATTACCCTCAAAATTCAAAACTTGAAAATTCAATACTTGTAAAATAAAAATAAAAAATAACAATAAAAAAATGGAATTTGAAGTTTTTGCGCGATCCAGTGCAGTGACGTCAAAGATTCAGTCGTTCTGCAACTCGAGTTTCTCTACTCTCACGCCTCCGTGTCGTGTTCGCCCACGTCCCGTGGTCAATCGCTCCGTGCATGCCGCCTATCGCTGTGAGCGTACGATAAGACGCTTGACTTTCGAGTTTGAACTTCTTTTAGGGCTCTTTCAGCGATCTCAAATTCCTTGAAACGGTGCGAGGTGTGATGTCAGAAGAGAACGCGAAATAGACTTCTGTGAGCGACGTGAGGGACCACATCGCGCCGGTTCTGCGTCAAAGGCTGCCCCGGCGGAGTCACAACCGAAACTACAGAATACACAGACACCAAACACAGTTGTTTTGGGCCGTTTGACGATTTACTTTTTAAAGTCTGAGAGCTCGTCGGGCACCTAAAAAAGATAACTTCGTCCGCCTCGACTCCCCGATCATCCTCAGTGCTACATGCGTCGAGGGCCGCCAAGTTTTTCTAGGGAGGATACAAATTAAAAAGCCAGGAGGCGGCATCACTGCGAACTCCCGATTTTCGGTATTTCAAAAGTATAGGGCCGTATTGCGTTCGAAATTACATTAAAAAACATGTATTACGAATGCCGGTATTAAATATTATATAAATGTCGCTTACAAAGTTTCTAAAATTCATAATTGGTTACGTCACAAATAAAAAGAAGCGAGGAGGTGAGGAGAGGGAGAGGAAAACGCCAAAAACAAAAAGGCGCGCGCGCACACGCGTGGGCAAGTTTGTTTTTTCGCATTCTCGTATTTGTTTGCGTGTCTATGCCTACAACTTGCATCGTTTCGGACAATAAAAACAAATACGACCCTTGGGGTGTCAGTGCCCCTTTAGGTATGAAACGGAGTGCATGGGAAGTTCATCTGCTTCCCGTGAAGTGCGCCTCCTCTTCCGAGTGTCGTCTGGCTACTCGTAAAAGTACGTTAATATTACTGTGTAAGTTTGGGATGAATGCACGAAACCCCAGGGTTGTGCTTCAAACAGGAAGGTCACCACACAGAACGACGGAATGACATAGCGGGCAACCTGAATCGTGCTAACGTCTCGAAGAAGACCTTAGAATAATTTGTGTGAACGCAAAAAATCTGCTAAATAAAAGAGAAGAACCAGAAACCACATTGTTAACGTATGACCCACATATGTGGCAGTCATAACAAATACTTGGTTAAGAGACGAAGTAACGGATGACTACCTGTTTCCGCCTTCATGTACAATGTACAGAAGAAATCGGCAGACCAGAGGAGGTAGCGTAGCCATATTAATTAAAAGCAGCGTTTCAAGCGTTATGATCGAGCACATAAGGGATCATCTGTTGCAGAAGGATTTCGTGTAGACGTATGGGGAAATGTTATACAATTTGTTGTAGTATGTAAGCCACCAGCAGCTCCGCCAGATAAGCGTACATAACCCTAACAAACTTTTAACTGCCGGGGATTTCAACCTTCAAGAAACTGGCTGGGCGAACCACAGCAACGGTCGTACAAACGTATAGACCTTTCCAGCGGCAGTCTCGAACGAAGCGATTTACAGCGCGCGTCCCTGGTTTCGAGAGTGTACGTCAATGTTGCCCGACTGCGCTGAGCTGTGGAGTTTCTCGTCAGTGAGCTGTGGCAGCCTGCGTAGGCGCAATTCCGGACGCTGGTGGAGGCTAAATTGTGTTCTGAGACGAACATAATTTATAGCGGTATTTAAGAAATCAGTGCTCTATTTTTGGGAACAAAAACAAAGAAATGAAAGCTGTTTTGGTGAGTTCGTGCGCGACAGAAGAAATGCAACCATGGAATGTTTGTTTCATTTTATGTTCATTGTTTTACGGCACCGTACACTCAGCCGTGTCAATCTATAAAGGTCAAAATATTTGATCACACAGGATATCCGTACTGCATGGATATTCCCCGCCCACAACATGAAATTCAATGAGTCTCATCAATCGAACAACATAGATTGTACGTACCCCACGGTGCCGCGTTATCCGAACAGGATTTGAGAAAAGCCTCAAATAACACAGCATATCCAATATACAGTGTCGACGACAGTCACTTCACGACGATCGGACGGAATCCGGCGTGTTATAGAGAACATGTAGAAGGGAGTTCCTTCTCTTCACAACTTAAAGCAAATGAAGAAACGTGTCTATTCCGTCCCCGCACCCCGGACCCGACCCTATCAGCTATTTTTCGCGAAGACCCGGAACACAGCCGGGAAGGCTTTTTGGAGATTATCTCGACGGAAATAATCCTCCAAGAACGTCGAACTGCCTGCGTCGCGGGCTGCTTGACGTTCGCTCTCTTCGTTCGTTTCCTGCGAAGGCCGAGCAGGCTACGAGCCCTGATATTCCCCGGTTCTCACAGTGGAAGATAACACACAAAGGGTAAGCATCCTTAAAGCCCGACGACCAGTTCGCGCTTTCCACTTTTCTCCCGCGTCCTCCTCTCCCCCTTTCTACCCTGTCTACCGTTGCCGGTTTCCTCCTCCCCCATGGTGAGGAGGATCTTCTGCCTTGCAGAATCTCAAATCTGGTCGTCGGCCTTTAACAGGCGAATAAAGTAAACACTTCCAAGAAAAGCCGGCGAACTCCGAATGCAAAATGCAGGTGGGGAGTCACGCTGTCCGGGTTTCCACAGCTCAGGCGGGTGCCAGAAATTTCTGGTTGATAGGGGTCGCTGGATTCGCAAAATGGCGGCGGCCAGAGCGCTCTTTTTGCAAAGGTCTATACAGTTTAGAAATACTGCTAGACATGATCTTCGCATTCAGTCTTGTCCAGATAGTAGATCAACCCACAAGAATTACCAACTCGAGTTGTTCCATCCTTGACTTGGTTTTTGCTAATACTGACATTCTTATCTCAAACGTTTCTGTTCAAGAAGGTATATCAGATCATAGATTGGTGTATGTTTCCTGTTCCCTCCGTAAGCAAAAGTCTTACGAATTACCTAGGTAAGACAAAAACGAGACATAAGACATAACAAGACATTTCATTGGGAAGTTCTTTACTGTTTGAGGTGAGAAAGGGAGTTTTGAGGACGAGGGACGTATAAGACTAAATATCAGGAGACAGACACATTATGTACCGCCTGCCATAATGAGACCGAGACACTAGAGCACTTGGTATTGAAGTGCACGGGGCTTCGCCCGCCCTCCCTGAATTGGTAACAGATTTGGCCGGGGCCCTGGGTTTTGCTGGTGACGATGGAAAAACGGAAGATAAAAGGATTACAGTCATAAAGAAGCGATTAGAAGACCGGTGGTATTTATATAGGGCAAATTGAATGATGCACAACTAACTAGCACAGCTGGAGACAGGCGGGACAGCGGGAAATTAACACCCCCTCCCGCGTGGCTCCGACCCAAACTCTCAACCCTGTCGCTCAGCACAATTACCCTAAAACATTACCCATCTCGCTCCAGACTTAAGCTTTGGGGATCGTCATCATCTGGAAGCATACCAGTGGTGATCATAACTTTAGCCTTGCTGTCATGCGGTAGAAGTTTTGGTAGAGAAAATGAAAGCTACTAGAGGAAGTTTTAGAGTGTTGCCGTTGCCTGCGTCCCTAGAGGGCTGTGGGCATGTTTCTCGATGGTATATTTATGGTGGTAACCCATTCTCTGCACAGACCTAGTGACGGATAATTTACAACACCTGTCACTACGCCTAACGAGCTTACAGAATATAGGGCAACGAAAGAACTTAAAAATTGTGTTAAATCGTTTATTGACAAAATTTATTATTATAAACTATTCATACTTCATATTATGAAACATAAATACGCAAATTCACTTGTTGAAACAATTACACACAAAAAAGGGAGGGCTAAGAAAAGCTGAAAGGGGAAAAATATCATTGTGTGACGCAATATTGCACAAGTGAGTTGCAAAGCTTGCAATATGCTTTTCTCACTAAACCCTGGTATCGCACATGCCGAGACTTCGTTCACAAGGTTGATGCTTTGACAGTCGTGCCATCGTTGTCCACGACCCACGTGGGAGCCAGAACTTCATCCAAGGTTGCCCGCTCCTTGGCCACCTTTTTCAGGAGCTGTGAAAGAAAAAAAAAAAAAAAGAAAAGAAACAAATACCGCTGAAACTAAATAAAGAACAGGTGACTACTATTCCAGCCTAATCTCAGCGACCTTTTGTACTGGCTCAGATTATTCGGGACAATCTTTATTGTCCTCTAAATTTTGAGTGCTGCACTGATTATTCTGCAGCATGTTACTTTTATGTGACGTATGTCATTTAACACAAATTTAAAAAAAACAGCAACACAGACATTGTTTTTTGCCAGAATGGCACAATTCCACAATGTCATGTCAAATCAAACAACTGAGTATTTCCCAACCTGCAGTGCACATGGCGGTAAACCACACCATGTTATTATCATGAGGTACATTGTACAGGATTAGAGAGTTGTGCAATTGTCTGCTCAGTTTAAAGGCAAGTTTTATAAATCTTGCCTTAGGGAAGAAAGGCTTTGGAAAAGCCTTTTGTCGTGTAAATTCTGTGATGCCATCTACCCGAGGCCTACGAAACCATCCCCTCTGCTGGTTCCGTAACATACTGACAAGAACGCGCATTAAAGGGGCAATGCAACGATATTGGGTGGCAATGGCCATGACTTTTGCAGACGTGTACTGGCCCTAGTCTGGCCCGAGTATACTCGCACGGACCGCCGCTGATTCAGAAGCCTCTTGGCCGCGGTGGAAGTGCGAGGAGGAAAAGGTACTACTTCTTTCAGATTCGCCTTCGCAAAACTTGATGACGTAATTGTGGTATCGAAACCACTCGCCTGACGACAGTCGAGCACGGCTCATGGGTTGGACACGAGAACTGCGTGAGCATACGCCTTCCGCTCGTAACGATCACAGCCTCGGCGGACACTCGGGTAGTGGCTCGTATCCAGCCACTGCGGTGATGAGAATAACCGAACTCTAACAATGCCTGGAGCTCGGCACGCGTTTTCTACTTTGCCGACCCAAGCGCGTGGCTATGATTAACGTTGGCGGCATTGGATATGCACCAGGACACGTGGCCGCTTGTTCTGGCTCCTAGTTCGAGGGGATGTACGATGCTCATATCTCTCAAATTCATTTGCCGATTGCCATGGCTTAGACATAAAAACTAAGGCAAGTTTATTCGGTTATTAATGTTACAGAGTGATAATGATTAGTATTTAGCGAATGTAGAAAAATATTTTCATGACCTTTAGACATGGTCATCGGAGATCGGCTACCGGGTGCAAACATCAGCGAGGCCGACCGGTTTTGGTGTTCCGACGTGATTGAACCGGATCTCGATAAGTTTGCCGCTCAGAAACGAGCACCTCCAGGCCACCGAAGAAGGAGGGGAGTTTGTGAATGTGTTTGAGATCACAACCAGACGCTTTCCGTCCCCAACATTCAGGTTATTCGGCACGCGACTCGGAAGACAGTGTAAACGTTGACGGATCGATACCAAAAAACAAATAAAACTACAGCACCTAAGCAAAAACGGTTTTCTGTCCATCAGTCTAAATTTCGTGAGAGTAATTCCCACAATTAATGGGCCGAAGTTTAAGAACCGTTGCAGGGCCTTGCTGTGGGCAGAGGCACACTAAAATGTATTTAGAAATACAAATACTGGGATACATGACAAAGACAGCTAAAATACAGATACTGAAATACCCCCGTACTAAAGTATCGCGATACATATAAAAAATACATTTGAAAAAGAAAGAAGTATTTTGAAGCAAATACACTTCTAATTTTGTCGAGGCAGTAACGTTCACAAAAATGTTTCTTTTAAAGATGTTTTTTTTTTTTTTTGCGATGAGAACCTTCGTATTACCGGCAAAAAGTTGTTATTTGGAAAACAAAAACTAAACGACCTTTTGCTATATATTCTAGTTTTTTTTTTATATGGAAGCAATACCAAACAAAAGTAAACATACGACTTTTTTGCTACACTCGACTACATTTGACGAAAATTAGTTTTTAAAGATCTCGTAGGTCAGCTGCTGTGGATTTGAGCAAAGAGTCATGTTAGCAGAACAAATTAAAACACACGAAGGCCGCTTGTACAATGGGAAATAAAAAAAATATATAGTTGTTTTTACAGTATATATAGGACCTCGCTTAGAGGTAGTAATATGTAGGCTTCGCTATAGGGTTTGTGATTCTACGTCGAAAAAGGAGTCCTCCCGTGAAATCAGAACCTCATATTAACCGTGAGGTAAAGATTGAAGTTAAACTCTGGCGTTCTTGAGCTCGAAATTATTTTTTCATAGAATATACTTTCTTTTTAACATGAAGCCGTAGGAGCTAAGTGGGTCTTCAATATATTGAAAATGCTTTCCATCCAGAATGCAGTGCAGTTCTCTTAAAAGGGGAACACTACCCAGAAAAAAAAAATTCTGCAAAAAAAGTTGATTTTGAGAAGCGTCATATTTACATCCACCAACATCTAGACTAGAATATTCCCAGAAAGTTTCACTTGTTTACACTGCATTGTTATTTTCTTAATACATTATTTCCGTTTTACACATGCTGAAGAGAAGGAAGAGGTTCGACCACTTTAAACGCGTTTTCTTCCTCTCCACTTTTTGGAATAAATTTCACTTTAGAAAAATATTGTTTCACTTTAGAAAAATATTGAAAAACATTGTTTGTGAAAAATATTGTTATCGGGACAAAAGGAAAGGCTCACTGATTATTTTTCCTAACCTAATGGGCAAGGCAACTGTGGCATTGTTTGTTGATGTTTTCATAAAATTTTAAGATTTTGTCGGAAACATCAAAGGCAAAAAAAGAAAACACAAAGAGCCACAGCTATTTTAGCGCAAGAATAGCTAAAATAAATTACTTTTTGGAAATTTTGTTTTCAGAGTTGCACTCTCCAGGGATCCTGTAGCGTATCTAATGAGGAAAAATGTTGGTTATTACATTAGGCTTTTAACGATAGTTTTCTTAAACAATATATCAATGTGTTCCTAATAAAAGCGACTAAAATTTCGTTCGCAATCTATGCACACAGATGAAACTTTGCACTGCATTCTGCCTCGCAAGTGCCAGTATGCGCTGTAAATTTCCTTAATTTTAAGCCGAAGGTTCAAACTTAATGCAAAGCACTACGCTTTTGGGTAGTGTCCTGCCTTAAGATTGAACGAATTCGAAGCAATATTACATGAACCGCTCAATGTGTTTCATATATATCCAAATATCACCGAACGGTAGGCATCCTCTAGTTCCATGTCGGTGCCTTTTCTGCAGTCCTTTCAAAACGTCGCCTTAGAATGAAATTGTGTTTTTATTTGATTATCTGACAAAAGAAACTTTACGCTCGCTCCAGTAAATGGGACTGGGAGTGCAATGTACAAGCTTGTAAAGCTTGTAAACACACTCTAAAACAAGGGTGTAGGTCTTACACCCCTTGTCACATATACGACACCCCAAAACTTTAGTTGGATGTACAGAGCACGGACGTCAAACTGACGGTCCCAACTTTTACGAGAGGCTTGATGACGATACGAAGTAAGATATTAAACAGCTAAAGTATGTAACAAGGTCTGCAGAAAACAAGCACTGAGGTTTTGCTGTAGTGCCAAGAAAGCCCTGAAATAAATTTTGTTTGCAGTCAGTCACACCTACTTTAGCTATTTTAATAAGTTGCCCAACTGAAGCCCCCCGGAAGACATACGAATTATCCCTGGGAAATGGTGGAGCGAGTCACCAATCTCAGTGGCATAATTTTCGAAACAAACTTTGGTTTTTGCTTAATAACCTCAAGGTCCCATTTACTGTACCTTCTACCCTTTAACACACACACAGACACACACACACACGCACACGCACACGCACACACACACATACACGCACGCACGCACACACGCACGCACGCACACACACAGACACACACACACACACACACGCGCGCATGCGCAGACACACAGAGAGAGAGAGAGAGAGAGAGAGGGCGATTGAGATATGCGGCTACTAAATACGGTGAGAATGAATTCAACGGTCTTTTTTTGAATGCCTTCCAGTTGGTTCAATCCTTCCGCCGTATGGGGAAACCAAATGGTGTTACGGTATTCCAGCACAGGTCTAATTAGCGTCTTATAGGCTATACTTTTTGTTTCAGAAGCGCCATTTCTAGTTTCGCAAACAATATTATCATTATGTTGATTCCATGTCAGTTGTCTTTTTTTTTTTCATTGAAGATAACGCTTACATATTATTGATGGTCCACATTCTGTATTTTTCTTCCGTTCACTGAATAGTTAAATTTCATGGGGATTTCCTTCAAGTAATGGACATCGCTACAGTTTTTGTTTCGTAATTTCTCTGCATCTGCCATCTGCTTGTCCATTTCTCTATCTTTCGTAGGGAACTATTAAGCTTTAGTTTATCCTGCTGGGATTATATCTCGGAAGAAACAATGTCAGAAGGAACCCACTCGTAGGATTGTGCAAATATTCCATTAATACACTATTCGATATTTGCTTCGAGATGAACTGTAATATTCATATTTCTCGAAGCCTTAATCGAGGCGAGTTAGCTTTGTTGAGCGCACTTCTTACCAAGCAAGGGTGCCCTGCATAGGGGCAACAAAATCTAAAGGAAGCTCCGCGGGTGTTGCTTCCCCGCAGTGCGCTCGTGCTCGGTAAGAAGCGCACTTAACAAGGCTACCCCGCCGCGATCAACACTTTGAAGAGTATAAATATCGCAGTCGCGTGCTTAGGAGAAAAGCATACCTTTAAAGCGGGATGGGGCATGCAAGCGCTTGGTGTATTAAAAAAAAAAACGGAAACTTTGTTGATGTTTATACATTGCATAGATTTTCCAAGATTAAACTGTGGCTATATGCAAGGGTGTGTGTTAGGCAAAGATGCCCTGACAACCAGCGTTCACCATTCGTGTTTTTTTTTTTTGTTTTTAATTTGAGATTGAAGAAAGGGTCTTTGGACGTAGCAAAATTTATAAATCCCCTCGATGAGGTATAGCCGGGCATCTTTGTGGGTATGATTTTTCTGTCAAATGCGTTCTTTACTTGTTATCACAA